TTCCTGTCTGGAACTCATATCCATCCCCATCACCCCCCAAAGAGCCGGTTCTTTAGATCTCAGGTATTGGTTTTTGATGTTGAAATTGGGGATGTGTTATTACTGTTTTACGAACATTGTTGTTTTGGATGATGAAACGAAAACATTGGGATCGCAACAATTCTCAACACAAAATCCTAGAGCAAATCATCCAATGTTTGATAAGATATACTGTATCAATCGGGGATGGAGCGCCACAGCGACAAACAAAAAGATTACAATTTGTTGAGTTTGATTTCATGATGGATGTTTTCCAAAATTGATGGAAAAGGTCTGTTTTTTTGTTTTAACAGGTGATGAAATTTGGTATATAATATCCAGTTAAGTCTATGGAGACCCATCATGGAAGTGTTGGAACATGTTTCACTTTTTCGGCCTCAAATAACGATGGACACTATGTCCCATAGGAATCCATAGGAATAGATAAATTACCCAGCCTAGCCCAAAAAAGATATAGTGTTTTCAATAGCTAGTCATGACCACATCATTCTTGTTGATACTCTTGATCTCCTTGCTAGTGGTTCAGTTTCAGGGACTTCCTATGGCAAACCCGTGTTGATTTGATTCAAAGCAAAGGCAGGTTGCTTTGAATCCATCATAGAGGCGTTTACAGTTTATGTGGCAACCTCTACAAGCCGAGTACAGTGTGCTTTTGTTGTTTTACTCAAGATTTTGATTAATCCAAGTCATGTATAGTAATCAAACGGCTCTGTATGGCCTGTTGCTGATCCTTTTCATGACTTTGGTTTCAGTAAGCCATAGTAAGCCCCAAAAGATCACATCAATGGAATAAAACTTAGCCTCTTAGCAAAATGAAGGGGACATCCGAAATATGGAAATTTTCCAGATCATCTCCAAAATCAACTTGAGCATAACTATCATCATAATTTATACATCCAAAAAGTTGATTTGGTACTTACATAACAAGATCATCTCCAACGACGCCCAGCACTTCGCCGGCGCAACGTTTTTTTTTCCAGGTCGACCACCATCCCTGGAGGGATTCTTCAACGAAAGGCTGATTCGCTCTGCACCAGGGAGTCAGGTGGAGGCGAGGGGCGCTGGGCAGCTGAATTCAGTCGGGTAGCCGAGTTTTTGTTGCAGAAATCCCATGGAAAGTTGTGGATCATGGGCATATCATGTTAGTTTTAGTATGTTCTATAGTTTTAAAATGTTTTATATAGTTTCACTCAAGATATGATATGATTTTGCATGTGCTGATTTGCTGAGGGATGATAGAAACATTGGAACAGTCCCATAAGATCCTTGAAGACATGTCAATGTACATCTACAGTATTGGGATTATTCACAATACTCACAACACATGACAAAACCTCAACATGTTCAGTGTGGAAAAGGTCAAAAGGTCCGAACAATATTAAGAGTTGTGATTCCCCACTTTAAAACGTACCCTCTGGTAAACGTTTACATAACTATGCAAACTCACCATGTTGCATGGGAAAATCCACTATTTCTATTGCAATGTTCAATAGCTAACTGTTCAATTACCAGAGGGTACTGGTTTCAACCGAAAATCGTAAGTACGGCGTGATTTCCCTGCGATGTCCATGGCTCAACGTCATCTCGATGTCGTCGGAGGATCAGACGGAGGAGCCTCTGAAGGAGGCAGATACTCCGCCGGTGATTTGCTTGGTCCGGGACCCAAGGGTTGCCATAAATCTGGGTAAATTATAACGACCTCACGTCGCGACCGAGCCCTGGAATCATGGTTAGTAAGGGGAATCATCCCCAAATAGCCTTATTTCAGGTGAAATATTACAATTTACTTAGATAAATGGATAAATGGTGGGTACCCAATAGCTGGATGGTTACAATGGAAAATCCACAAATGGATGATTTAGGGGTACCCCCTTTGTAGGAAAGTTTCATTTTTGTTCAAAGGCGGGTAGTGCCAAGGGGTGTGGGCTGGGCCTGACGATTGGCTGTTTGACACTTACGGTCACACAGAACAGATCCAAGAAACGATTAACGTTGTGGACTTTGTGAACCACCCATTCAATGCAAAATATTGAAACTAATATGGGTCGCAAAACATATACACTATATTATATATATATAACCTGAACCAATCCCATTGTTTGTTGGGTGAAACAGTGAAACTGTTGTTGTAACAACTAAATGACATGAGAGGGGTGTTTGTGGGAGGGAAACCCTTGAACCAGCTTGGCCTGGGGCCATTTTGGCTCAAGGGTGTGATTTTGAAATCCCATGGCCTTGATCTTAAGTGGGGGATCCGACCTGACGGCAAGTTCAAGCCCATCCGAACCTTGGTTTGGGGGCGTTTGGACTGTGATCGGGGTAGCACTTTGCGGTGCTGTCCTGGTCGGTGCCGTCTTGGGTTGGAAACTTCACTCGTGGGTCAGCCATTGGAATTTGCGCACCCGAGGATCAGCCGGTCACCCGAGCACGATTGGCTGGCACCAGCTGGTCAGTCGAGCCTTACGGTTTATCCACCGAAGGAGAACCGTGGCACTGGCCTTCCGCAACTACTCTCCCGGGCCCAAGGCAAGTCCGCAAGGCCCAGTCTCGAGACAGGTGTCGTGGAGCGAAGGTCCGGTTTACCATGGATCCAACCGAAGAGGAACTCAATAACCTCAACACCTTGGAGAATGCAGCCGACTGGGCAGGCACGACAGGTGCGGTCCACGACCATCTCATGGGGAAGTTGGGCAAACCGTCCAAGCTGCGGGACCTGGTCTTCATTGCCCGTCCTGCGTGGGATACGGTGGTGGCCAGCCTCACGATCAAAGAGCCTCAAGCTGATGGTACAGAGGCCGAGCGAGACTTGACCCCTGTGGAATTTTCACGGGTCGAGATCTTTCGCCGGGTGGTATTCCTGAGGCTCAAGGTCAATCCAGATGGACCTGGTGGTGCAGGCCCTCCACAGCCGATTGTGGGAGCGGCCCCATTCCCAGGCACTGGAGGAGGACAAGGTCCATCATCTCCGACAAGAAAGCTTAAACTGAGCAGCATCGTAGATCCCACACTCGATGCAGAGATCCTGCAATTGGGCCAAGAAGAAATTGCAGAGATGTTCTCCAAGTACAAGTCCAAGTTCGGCGATGTCCCGTCAGCAGACGTGGAACCCAGCGCTGATCAAATATCAGCAATCAAACAGCTTCTTACCAGTGGAGCTCTGCCGTACATAGACATGTCAATCTTCGGGCCACACGCCATCCGGTCGCTGCGCAGGAGTGTGTTCTCCTCCTACACCCTGAATGCGGCGACTGGGGAGTGGTCGAAGAAAGAGAGCCCAGGTCCGGCTACTCTCCAACAATGGGAGAAGAGCTTCAAGACCTACAAGGTGGCTATGCTCTTGTTGGAGGCTGCAGATGCGGAGAGACTGGAGGGCTACCTAGAACATATAAAGGACCTCCATGCGCAGTTCGGACAGGAAGCATGGGGCATCATATACCGTGCAGACGTCAGGATGAGAAGTGAGTTCCAAGAGCGGATCCGCAGGGCCCTGGATGAGGACCCAAAGTATGGGTACACTAGGGCCTCTCCATGGAGCTCAGTCTTTGCGGCAACGGTCAGGGAGTCGGACTTTTGGTCCAAAGAAGTGGCGACGCCAGCCACGCTCCTTCTGGCCCGTAACAAACAGCTGGCACCTGAAGAGAGCAGCTCTCAAGAGGGTCGCCCACAGAAGCGCAAGTCTCGGCAGCCAGAAGGCACGCAGAAGAAGAAGGCCAAGCGCAAGTACACAGGTGAGGACAGATCACGTTGGGACGCAGAACAGTCAAGGTATACCTTGAACCGAAAAGGGATCCAGATCTGCCAGAAGTACAACAGAGGCGCCTGCGGAAACGGGAAGCCGCAGTCACGATGTGAGAACAATCGTTCACATCAATGTGACAAGTGTCTAGGCCCCCACATGGCCAAAGACTGCAAGGGGCCCAACTGAAAGTTAGGGATCAAGCTGACTCCAAACAGAGAGGCCCAGCCGAAAGACACGCGGCCACCGCTTCCACGAAGGAAGAGGCCACATGAGGCCATTCCAGTCAGGGACAGGAGGGATCGCCCAGTTTCCCCTTCCAGGTCCCCTGGAGGCACTCATCGGCCGGCGGTGATGAGACCCAGGTCAGAAGCTGCCCCGAAAAGGGCGAGCCCAGAGAATGAAGCCGCTTCACACCACAAGAGGCCGAGGCAAGACAGAGACCGGAAGGCACCAAACCCAAGAGAGGAGGAAGAACCCGGGAGCTCAAGTGACTCCAGCTCATCGTCCACATCATCATCCACTACGGTACAAGCAGGGATCATCATCCACTACGGTACAAGCAGGGAGAGAGAAGATCCCATCAATGCCGCTGTACGTGGACTACAAGTATGGGGCCACCAACCTGGACCCGCAGCTGTGGGATGACAGGCCCAGGGCCCCCCTGCTCTTCTCAGGGCGCCCGAGGGATGGAGACCTTACCTCCTATCTTCATCACATGGGATGGATAGTGGTGGTGGTCGACAAGCAGGGGCCAACTGCGGCAGACCTTCTGGACACGGAAGTGTGTCGCAAGATCTTCGCGGATATCAGGGCTGGAGTCTTCGACGTAGTGGGCATGGCTACACCTTGCGAAACGGTGTCCCCACTGAGGGAGAATCCGCCGGGCCCGAGACCACTCAGGTCCCTACAACATCCGGATGGGCTGCCCCTCAAAAGCCTTTCCTCAGAGGAGAGAAAACAGCTCAAGGAGGCAAATCATCTCATCGAATTTTCCACACACGTGACGAGAGAAGTGAGGCGCATCAGAGCGGCCTACTGGATAGAAAATCCAGACCACAAGGAGAAGCTCGACATGTGGAAAACGAGCTGGTTCAAAGAGATGACTGGTCACGCGCTGGTGGAAAAGGCGTTGTTTGACCAATGCCAATTTGGAGCAGAAACAACGAAGCCCACAAGGATTCAGACGGACTCCCTTCCCCTTGGACAGATCAAGGGGAGGAGGTGCAACCATCCTCCGAGGGAATGGACCAGACCAAACGGAGAGACCTACGTTTCACCACATGAGTCCTTGGTCCAGAGGTGGAGTACAGTCAGAGGAGAAAAGGAGCGAGCATCCAAAGCTCTGGGTGAGTACCCGCCAGCCTTGAACAAGGCCTTGGCAGAGGCGATGGAGAAGGCGGACCTTCCCCGCGTGATGAAGCATCGCGAGGGGAGTCTCAGGAAGGCAGCGAAGTGAGGCGTGAGTGCCGGACCAACAGGACCAGTCTTAGAGGACCAAGCGATGAGACAGAGGGAGATTGAGAATGCCGAAGCCATTGGGGGGATGCGCAACCCGCTAAAGTCCATCAGGAGGATCCCAAAATCCGACATGGCAGGCAGGGCCGTTTTCAAGCTTCTCAAGCAAGCAACATCTCACCCCTCTGTCAAATCGCTAGTCGACCAAATTTTAACGGGCGGACAGGCAGCTCCGATTTCAGCTCAGCTTATTGACAAGCTTAGGCAACTGGTATGTTCGTTGTCCCCAGGAACCATTCAACCTAGTACTGCAAAAGCATGCACACCACTCCAACCTCAGATTTTTGACGCTTGGGGAAGAATAAGTGGGGACCCGGATTCCCCGGTGCTGGCGCAGTGGTTGAGGTCGGGCGCTCCCCTAGGCTTCACCGAACCCATTCCTCGTACGGGCATATTCCCCGTGGTTAAGGAGGTTGAATGGGAAGCTGAGGCAGCAGAACAATTACAAAGGGCATTCGAAAACTGGGATAACCATCCGTCTGCCGTCGAGTGGGAAGAAGATCTACACAAACTTATTGATGAGGCTGCATCTAAAGGTTTCTGTTCTTTCTACCCCAACATGGCTGCTGCGGAAAGGGAAATCGGAATAAAACCCGTATTAAACAAACTGGGTCTGTTGGTCAAGGAGAAACAAACACCTGAGGGAGTGATTAGGAAGGCACGGATTATTTGGGACATGAGGGAGAGCGGCACAAACAAGCTATGCTCCCAAGGCGAAAGGGTGTTACTGCCGAGGGTCACCGACGCCATTGAGGACGCTTTGGAAATTTTCCGAAAGGGGGGGAAGCCAGCGTTTCTAGCAGTGGACATCCGCGATGCCTTCCACAACATTCCATCGGGTAAAGACAGAGCATTCACTTCAGCTGCATTCAGGGACAAAACTGGCACACTGAAAATTGTGGTTTATGATGTCCTGGTTTTCGGTTCAGTTTCATCTCCAACTTTATGGGGCAGATATGCAGCATGGTTTGGAAGGTCCCTTGCCTCTATCAACCCTGACATCAGACTGCAAACGTATGTGGACGACCCGCTATTCACGTTTGACTGCACGGACCCCTATCACAAGGAAAGGGTGGGGATCTCCCTGCTCTGGTCACAAATAGCCGGGTACCCACTCAAACTGGAGAAGTCTGATTCAGGAACAGAGGTGAAGTGGATAGGAGCCGCGTTATAAAAGCAGATCACGATAACCACACCATATCTGTAACTATACCTGAAGACAAAGTTGCTGAGCTGAAGTCAAAAGTCCAGACCTACCTGAGGAGGCCGGTCATTGGACGAAGACAGCTACAAAGTCTAGCAGGCGCGTTGTCCTTCGTGGCGGGATTGGTCCCTCTCATGAGACCTTTCTTGAACTCCCTGTGGGCTGCACTGGCAACGAATGACGGTCCGAAGCAGACCAGAAATGTTGTCCATGTGCGCCGCATTGGGATAGCCTTACAGTGGATAGACGCCTTGCTGGGAGAAAAGGCAGCTCCGTTCACCAGGGTAGTGAGGGCATTCAGACAAGAGACAAAATGCATTATTATTACGGACGCATCAACCAGAGGCTTGGGGGCTATTATGATAGTTGGGGACAGACCAGTCGAGTTCTTCAGCACAATCATACCCCAAGAGTTCATCGTCCGTACTGGGGCACAACCAGGGGACCCCAGCCACATGGCGCTTTGGGAATCCCTGTGCCTCTTACTAGCCGCAAGGACATGGCTGATAAGGTTTCCACTTGGGTCCATCATCCGTGTCAAGTCTGACAATATATCGGCCCTCCACATGTTAGCAAAAGGCAAGGCCAAGTCGCCAGGGTTGGCTATGATCGCCAGAGAAATAGCTTTAGATCAGGCGAAGGGAATATACGAGTTCACAATCCTTCAACATCTGAACACCAAACTCAATAAAGTTGCAGACGCATTGAGCCGGCAGTTTGAACCTACCCCACCATGTTTTCCGCACGAAGACCTGGGGGCTGCATCACGCATACCCATCCAAGTGGATTCTTCGTTTTGGCATTTACCAAAGGGTAACGCCAGATCTTTCAAAGGGGGGAAAAGTGGTTTGGGGGGCATAGGTTTTCACATAAGAGCTGAGGCTGTGCACTGCATGTTTTCTTGGGTAGGTAACGCATGAGTTTTGGGCTCGAAATGAAGCGTAGTCTAGGTCCACAGTTTTGGCTGGGCCAGGGAATACCCCAGGCAAAACCAGCCACCCATTCTGCAGGGCTACGCCCATTGCAGGAGGGGCCCGTATATGGGGCCGTCGACCCCGGGCATCCCGAAGCAGCCGCACCATTGGCACAGCCAGGTGTCAAGGCTTACGCTAGGGGCTCGTTAAACGACGCCATAAGGCACGCATCCACAGGTCCGGAAAGGTGTGCAGAACACATCACAAAGAGAGCAAAGGCAGATACGTCCAGAGGCCCCTACGAGTCAAGGAAATCAACGTGGTCTGCCTTGGCCAGGGCGGCGGGTTTCTCAGACCCGTTCCGTCTTTCACCGGACCTCATCAACACGGTGATGGGAGCGATGGACATGGCCGGCTATAGATCAGCAGAGCTATACATGGACACAGCCAAGCAGATACACATTGAGAGAGGACTGGATTGGACAGCACAGCTCGCCCAGGCCTCTAGGCAAGCCAGAAGGGCGTGCCAAAGGGGCCGAGGGCCAGCCAAACAGGCGCAACCTTTGCCGATGATCGAGCTAGCGAAGCTGAAAGTTCACAAGGACCCAGCAGCTCCTGGAGGACCAATTTTCCCGATGAGGTCCGTCATGTTGGCATCATGGTGGCTCCTTCGTGAAATCGAGGCAAGCTCGGCAGAGAGGTCGCACATCGAAATCGACAAGGTCCAAAGACTTATCCACTGGAAGCTTCCATCCAGTAAGGCGGATTGGCAGGCCTTGGGCGCAACTCGAACGCATTCTTGTAATTGCGAACAGAATGCCCGGCAGCCAGAGTGTCCATACCATTCCATGGTGGAGCACCTAGAGGCAGTGGGAGCTATCAGCGATCGCTGGGTTTTCCCATCAGCCACAGGTGAGCAGTCATCCAAATGCGGATGGGCCGACACCATGCAATGCATGGCACAGCAGCTGAATCTTCCTACGCACACAGACACTGGGGCAAGGAAATTCACCGGACACAGCGCTCGGGCAACTGGCGCAGTGTACCTGGCACAGACCCAGAGGCGCTGGGGTTCGGAGTGCTTCAGGATATACATCCGCGACGCTCCACTTCAGCAGCTGCACTCCTTGGCAAAAGAAGCTTCTCTCACAACTTCTTTAGCAGCAGCCCGGGCGGAACTTTCTGCGATCCTCAGCCAGGCGCAAAATTGTTCCCCGCCAGCCGCAGCAGTTTCCTTACGGAACCAGTCCGTGGACTGCCTTGCGGACTGCGAGGCTGCAGTGGATATTGCTCCGCAATTGGAGCAGCCACCTTCAGTGGAGTTTGTGATTAACAGATCTGCCTACGGCAAGATCCACAAGGTAGCCTGTAGTGGACCAACACGTCCTCACTACCTATGGCGCACCCAATGCAACTGGTATTTTGCACGTGGTCACGCAGACTATGCACTTGCAAGTCAAGCGGACCCAGACAAGCCAGAATGCAACAAATGTTTTAAGCCCAAGCAACAGAAATTGGATGATGAGTCCTCTACCTCTTCATCATCCTCATCGGAGTCATAATGCGCTCGAACGCAGAATGGACCAGGTTGGCATCATGGACTCAATCAAGCACATGTTTGACTCAGCCAGAGTGGGACACTTCAAAAGTGATCCTAGCTAGCTGAGTGAGTCACACTCATGGCCAACGTTTACAAAAAAGTGCGTCCGGCTCCGATGCACATTTCTATTGCTGCTCTCATGGTCTTAAAGAGTTGTTGGGTGAAACAGTGAAACTGTTGTTGTAACAACTAAATGACATGAGAGGGGTGTTTGTGGGAGGGAAACCCTTGAACCAGCTTGGCCTGGGGCCATTTTGGCTCAAGGGTGTGATTTTGAAATCCCCACCCGCCCTCTCCTAACTCAAAAGGGGAGGGAAGCACATGTTTGACTCAGCCAGAGTGGGACACTTCAAAAGTGATCCTAGCTAGCTGAGTGAGTCACACTCATGGCCAACGTTTACAAAAAAGTGCGTCCGGCTCCGATGCACATTTCTATTGCTGCTCTCATGGTCTTAAAGAGTTGTTGCAAAATAAAAAAAGGTTGTGGATGAAACAAAGTTGGGTCTTAAGGCAGATCTTGAATTGAACTCCTGTCGCGAGACTGTGGAAATTAGAAGCCTCGAAGCGTCTCGACTGCAGGTTTTGGAAATACGGGACCTCTTTTGTCAAAGAAAGAGAAAGATTGACTTGATCAAGACAAGTCGGTACAAGGGCCAGTTTTCGGGTTGTTTTGGCACCTGAAACTGATGTGATTTTGGAGACTGATGCGTTTCTACAACCATGTGGCCCTTAGGCAATGTGGCGACTGACCACAAAGCATTGATGGTTTACAATTACGTCTACAGTGATGGTTCCGCGGTATCCTCTGCTGGTTTGACGATGCGAAGCCATCAATCAGTTCTTTGTGCACAGTCATTGGCTCTTTCTATTCTCACAGGATCAGCTTTTTCAGTCTTTCAGGAAATGTCCTTCATCGGCATAGCTTACGCTTGTCAGCCAAGCAGAAGGTCAATCAGCATAAGCATGGCTTGGGCATTTCATTGGCCGACCCTTTGGAACTGGTCTGGAGGGGGGGCTCCTGTGCTCACATTAGCTCTAACTAGTGACAATATGCACAGGATGATGAGAGATCTGATGAGATGACTTGGAAAAGCACACCTGAGCGGACTCTGAAGGGTTCTGAGGCCGGACTGATTCACTCAACCCAAAGCGGTTGCGGATTCTCTTCCTCTTTATGATTGAAGTTCAACTTTCACTGTTGGCTTGAATCTACTTTACTCCAACCATAGAATGTGCTGGGGCCTTACTGGGCGTTTCTTTAAGATAGAGTAGTGTACGAAAGTCTTGGCTCATGGCATCTGGGTGATTTTTGTTTGTTTGTGTTGGGCTCCGGCCCCGTTGTTTTTGCTTTGTCTTGTGTGTCTACCTGGGGGAGACACACTTCTGGCTGTGGGAAGTGTGACTCGCCTGCCTGGCGTGTTGTTTTTGGTTGGTTTGGTTTCTTGTGTGTGTGTGACACCCATGATGACCAATCTCTCCGCATGCTAATTATTTCTTTTGCGGCCTTTGGAAACCATTGGCTTTGCCTTTTCACCCTTTAATTGTTAACCATGACCGTGCCCTTGTGCATTGACGGCCAAATCCGAGAAAAAAAATTGCACTCACACATGAGTGCATTGGATGATCAGTGTCGTATTTATATGGCCACGCTTGGCTTCTCTTGGCAGGTTCCCATCTTGGAAATTCCTGGTGGTTTTCGTTCGGCTCTAGATCCTCGCTGGATCATGCTTCATGATCGGACATGGCTGCTCATTCATATTGTTTCACTTGCTTCACACTGTTTTGATTTTGCTCATGCAAATTTAGGTGAACATTTCAATTTCAGTCTGCGCGCTCGAGCTGGTCCTGCCACCCAAGTGTCGGTGGGGTGAGCAGCAATGGTTTCCAACCAAATGGCACTCGACGACCCAGTGTCATTTAGGGCACTTATGGCTGAATGCCACATGCAATCGATTCATGACCGATCTCGCATCATCTTGTCAGCAGTTGATCAACAGGCGTGAGTCGTGATCCTTGAGAACCCTCCCAAGGTCCAGACGCTGGGTTCCTGCTCGACCTCTAGAAAGGCGTGCCACTGGGTGTCAATGACCCAATGAGGGCTATCCGATGAAGTGTGCCCATCCTGGGCTGGCCTCCTTTTTGCCTGGTGATGCGAAGTCTTCTACCTGCTGCAGCCTGGTACTATGCTACACCATGTGCGCCCCTGGTGGGGTTGGTGCGGCCACCTCCACACTGTGAAGCTTCCCCTGAGGTGGTGGAAAACTCTGCTTGGTGGATCAAGCTGACGGAGGGACTTCGGTTTTATTGACTCGAGGTTGCCCCACAGTCGAGACCAACTATTCGTTATGATCCCGTTGCCCCCTGATCTGGACTGGCCCCCTCGTGGGGGTGGTGACCCACTCGGGCATTCCTTCGTTGTGCTTACTCTACGATATTGGCCAGTGTATGTGGTCTCCCATGACTCAGTTGTCTGAATTGCGTAAGGATGACCAGGACAAGAGCTACTGAGAGGATTCTGAGAGACTTTTCATTGGCCTTGTACAGCTAATCTTTTCACTTAGGTTCGCAGTATTCTGACGGCCTAGTCACCCCCTCCTATTTGGGGTCTTGAATTCGTTTTCATTGCATCTGATGATTCGGCATCGAGGGTTTTTCCCTGGATGCCACGGTGGCTGTGCTGTGGTGGTTTGTGTTTGGGCTCTGGCCTCTTTTTGTTTTGTGTGGTTTGTGTTGTTTGGTTTCTTGGTCTGCGTGGAAAGATACACATATCTGACCGGCGGATGTGTGCTTCCCGGCGCGTTTTGCATTGAGTTGTTTATTGCCACCTGTAGGCCCTGTGCAGTTGCGACAGAGATTTTTTCTTTGTCCTTTTGCCTATTTAATTTTTTAAGCTTTCAGGACCGAGCCTTTGAGCTAAATCGGCCGCACTCCGAGGAAAAAAATCAAGCAGGGTTCATCGCTCATGTCCCTGGGTGAGTCACCCAGCTCAAAAGCTAATACAGTCGCACTGCTGTTGGCAAATTGGGTGTGGTCATCGCAGAGGGGCGCTGCCCGCGACTAGTGGTTGACAGTTCCATCAGCAATGTCACTGCCAACACCATCATACCGAACCATATGCTGCTACCTCGGATTTCGGACGTCCTCCAATGTGAGTCGTCAACGATGGCCCAACAGCAGATGACCCAATTGACTCTAGATGTGTCCAAAGCCCACCGACGCATTTTGATTGACCCCAAGGATGGTGGGTTGTGCTTTCACGCCAATGGTGAACTATATCGCTGCGTCACATTGAACTCTGGGGCCCGTGCCAGTGGCTGGTATTGGGGTCGTGTTGCGGGACTGATGGTCCGCACCAGTCCTGCTCTACTTGCGTACGGGCATGTGCTATGGCAGCATGTGGATGACCTTTTGGCTTGGATCGACCGCGTTTCAGCCTTGACGTGGTGCTGTTCCTCATTCTGGGCATTCCCATGTCGTGGCACAAGGCTGCGCTGGCTACGGAAGTTGACTGGGTTGGTTGGCGTATCTCAGTGTCATCTTGGACGATTTCAGTTCCACCTGAAAAACTCCACAAGATCTTGCGCCAGGTCCGATCAATTTCGAAAGACAGTAAGATCTCCGTCAAAGACCTCCAGTCATTGATCGGCCGCCTACTTTGGCTCACTTCAGCATGGCATTACTTGAGACCTCTGTTGATCCCACTGTGCAGGGTCCTTCACCAGATCCGTACTACCATGGTGGGAATGGATCATGTGATATTCCAACAGTTTTTGTCTGGCCTATCACCGCAGCTGGCCCTTATGCATGACCTTTCGCACAAGCATCAATCCCCATGTCAACATGTCAAACTCGTGAGGGTGGCCAATTCCAATGTCCGTACGTTGGAAGAAGTCTACAAGTCGTATCTGAAATCCAGACGGGTGTGGGTAGGAATCACTTATCCATCATCACCCCACCGTATGTTCGACGCTGAAGCCCCCACGAAACTCTTCAGGTTTGGTCGAGGCTGTTGTTCTTTACTCCATTTTCCCTGTCTATGTCACCAGCCGTGCATATCGAGGTGACTGCCACAGCAGATGCAATGGCCTCACAAACATTGGCAGGCTTGGGTGGTGCAGCCTTTTTTCCCAATGGAAAGGCGGTCGGGTTTCAGTTTCAGATCACACTGGATCGAGCAGGTGCTATATGGAACTGGGTGGGTGATGATATGCAGAAACACATTGCGGCCTTGGAACTCTTGGCACAGTTTGCCCTTACCTACTGCATTGTCTCGTGCCTCCCAAGATGTCGAGGACCAGTGTCATGCCATCAAGGTACAGACAATAGTGCAGCTGATGCGGCATCCGCCAAGGCTTATATAGCCGTTAAGGGACTCTCAATGACCCCAGGAATGGCTATGGTGTTGTCTCCATTCTTCACCTTCATGCGTCGGTTTCAAATTTTTCCCAGAGTGACGCAGATCCCTGGGTATCTGAATGTCACTGCAGACTCGTTGAGTTGATTTAAAATTTAAACAGCCCCTTCCAGAGACACTTACCCAGAATGATTTCTGTGAGGTGAATTGGCGGGCGCTGCTTGAGTCTTCTCCAGTCTGTATTGCGCAGCATGGGTCGAAAGTGGCCTGCACACTTTGGCAGTGGCACAGAAAAAGACCTACCGCTGCAGTCCGCCGACTGTGTTCGTCAATCGATTTTGTTTCGGGGAGTTATGTACTCCGGCTGGTTGATTTTCGAGTATGTTTTGGTGTATTCATAACTTCCCACCTTTTATCAACCTGTTTGCAACCCCGTATTTAGGGTCTGTACACCTGGGTTGGTTGTGGGGGGTTGCCTTTCTGATCCATATCGGTTCGGACTGTACACTACTTGAACCCGCGGGTACCACACATATTTGTACAGTCTAACAGATCTGATTTGCACCAAAAATAGTGAACTCTTGCAGCCGCAACTTGTATGTGTCATATGCCTTTAGTATAACCTTGTGGCAAAACTCTTAGCTGGAGATGTCAACCTCAAATCTGCCATTGTCCATACGTAGTATCATGAGTAAATTTGGCCTTTATGTGCCATATTTAAGTTTGCTAAAAATGTTGTTTTCCAACCTTACCCAAGATTTACTGTTAGTAAAACGATAGGATACCATAAATGGGTGGCATAAACGATCAAAAAACCAGTGATTTTTTATTTTGTTTTTCCATTAGTTACTGGGTTCACAGTTCAGTTTCCTTTGCTTCAACTTTGACAGCAAGCTGTGGATTCGCCACCGGTGCGTCGCTTTGACCCGGAATTCCATGTCTAAGACATGTTTGAAAGCATGCAAACTTTGTTCAATTGCGAAGGTTTTAAGGATTTTTAAGGTCTAAGAATCAGTTCGCAGTTCGGGTGGGACATTTTAGAGGAAACAACCATGGGTTGATCCAATTCTGAGATGGTTAGCACCATTGATTAGCAACAAGTCACGAAAACCGAAACAGCAACGGTATGGAACACCATTTGTTCGACAGCAACTGAATTGAGACCGCGCATTTCTTTTAACAACCCGAGTTTATAGATCTTGGATAACAAACTTCAAACTGTGAAAATTGCGACGAATTTGCATCCCGGCACTTGATGACTGAAATAATATCACCCTACATAAACCATATAAAACTGGGCCGGACGCACTACAGCTGAGTAAAGTTGACGCATTTGTTTTGAAACTCTGCTGAATACGTCCTTTGGCCACCTTGTTGTTGGGTCGCCATGTTTTGGGGGGTCGTTTGTTGCTATCGCCAGCGAGCCAGCAGCCGAAACCGTGTGATTTTGGCTGAAGTACAAGATATCGATATGTATTTACAAACATATAGAATAAACATGACTCATGACAATTTGCGGCATTTCCTGCGTTTCAACAGGGGTAGCAGACACCCACAACGCAGGACAGGTGGCAACCTGGTACGGTTCACTTGTTGCTGTTGGAGTGTCTCAATTTAGGCTATTGAATCTCTCTGCTTAGCTGCTGGATTTTCCTAAAATCCGAATTTTCGAGCACCTTTTGAAGCACAATGGAGCGTGCATGTCCCGGCGTGCCTGAAACTTGGGAGTCCGAAGTCTTGATGCTTGGCTGTGATCTGGGTTGACCAATGATTGGTAACTTAGGAGGCACGGGTTCAACTGGAAAAAATCACAAAGTTGGGGAATTGACTAAACCAAGATTGAGGTCGAAGTGGATATTTTTCTGGAAAAATTGGGGGGTGTTCCATTTCCATTTCAACGGGCAAATCGGTAAACCGACGGCTAGGTTTTCATTGTTATCCATATAGGGTTGGTTCATGGTTGTTTCAGGGTGTAGTAGGGTCTATTTGGGGTTTCTGTAGGGTTTCCTCATGGTTTGTTTTAGGGTTTATTTAGGGTTGACTTAGTGTTGGTTAGGGATGTTTAGGGTTTATTTAGGCTTGGTTTACGAAGCTAGTAGTTGGGCCATGGCTATGCCTGTACCTCTTGGTAGAATTTCTCAACAATTTCCTCTATATTTCTTCAACACATTTCCCTGGTAATCTGGCATATAGTTGTTCAATTCTTGTTGGGGGGGAGGGGCCACTAATTTTCCCACAAAGTTTCCATAAAATATCCAGTGTTTTCTTCGTAAATAGACTGTTTGACCATCGAATTTCCGGGACATGTACTGTCTTTTCTTCCAACAATGTTTTGTTTTTAACCGTCAAATGTCCCATAAATTGCCTGTTGTAAAAATGTCCCATATTTATGATTATTGATGTTCTGTTTTTCGACCAAAACTGACCTTACTCCAGTTTCCCAGATGTCCCAGATGTCCATGTACAAAAAAAATCCGCTCCAAAATCTCTGAGGCCCTCGATTTTGGAGCTCCTGAAATCCCAATTTGCCGAGCTTCGAAGCCACCTCACCGCAGAGCTCTGCGATGCTGTGCGCGTTGCCGCCACGGCCCAGTCGCTGCCATCGCGCCGGGAGTCGCGGGAGGCGGAGCTGGTGACCAGGAGCCAGGCGTCAGGTGTCAGTGGAGCCTGGCATGATTGGAATTTTCCATTTTAAAAAACTTTGGGTGTTTTTTTTCTTTTTTGGGATTTTGGTTTTTTTTTTTTGTTTTAATATTATTTTGGTGATGTTGTTTACCAAAACAAGTTGATTTTTAAGTGTTTTCCCGCGACCGTTAGATTCTTTTTCGGGTCTCAGCCGATAGGTTCTTGGCAGCCCCTCCTCCCCTCCCTGCCCCCACCTGGTTTTTTGCAAGCATTGTTGACGTGGCTCACGCCCCCTGGAACAATCAGCATCATCAGCCACTCCTTCACCACATCTTCCTCCCTTCACCTTCTCAGCTAGCTTTTGTCCCTTACCAACTGGCAGCTCGTTGATGAAATTTAAACGTCTCAAATTTAAATTCAAACCCTCGAGTAAAGTAGATATATGATATGATATAAATATAAACCCTAGTGACACAGGATAAAAATATTGTATGATAAACATTGTTTTTATATATGTTATACCTTGACCCCGCAGGAAAAAAAATTGAAATCAAAAACCCAATGGTATATGGTTGTAAACTCTTTCAACCGTTGAATCTTTCCCTTTCCGCCGCTCCATCTGCCAGGTTACCAAGTTTCAGAGGGGGAAAGCCGCAGTATCCTGCGACCGCATCGAGGTTTTCTCTCGCAGAAGCTCCTGGCGGTACCTTGGACGGTCACGGTAGGGTGTGAAGGTTGGGTGAATGGGACATTCATATGGGGATTTCCATAGTCATGGGGGTACTTCCAATAGCTGGTTGGTTTATTTCCATGGGAAAATCCCAATCTAATAGCTGGATGAGGTTTCCTGGTACCTCTATTTCAGGAAACCTCCATATGGAGGCCTAAAGAAACATCCAAGTCCTTAGACCATGACTTACCATGACTTAGTTAGGAGGGATGAGACCCGGAGCTACGAATTGAGCTTCCCTGCTGATACTACTTGGAATGATATCTGAATGGATTGCAATCCACCAACGGATTTGGGTGATTTGGGTGATTTACAATGATTTACCACCCATTTTGGTTGTTGCTCATTTGGTTTTTTTTTGGTTGAAGAATGGGGATATGATATGAAGTAATGATGATTTGGTTTGTTTTTCTGCTCTTGTTGAAACTCTGGAATTGGGGATATTTGAAATTGAGTATGCAAATGATGCTATACATACATGTGATATTACATATATAACATATATATATATGAAGACTAAGGTTGACTGTACCGTTCCTGTCCTTGCTGCTCAAGTCAATGGTAGCTGGTTTGGGTTGGTTTGAGCAATTTTGGGGGTGGATCACTGTTGCAAACGAGGTCAGTAGATTAGCATCTTGTCCCTTCCATTGCTCCCCGAGCATTTTGCCTTGGTTGTTGCTTGGGTTTGTCATTGGATTTCTTTCAGCCATCTTTCTGACTCTCTGTGTCATCTTGGCTTGGACTTTCCGTGGTGACTTGCTCAGGTTTTGCCATCCTGCACCTTCGTTCCCTGCTAGAAGGACTAGGCTGTCAGGTTACCTTGAATGAGCAGCCCCTTTTCATCAGCCGAACTTCAGGATTTGATTTCGAAGTTGCATAGGCTGGAGCAGTGGCAGCGTGAGGTTGAAAGTCAGCGAGGCAACCAGCCGGCAAAGGGAGGGCACACTAGAGGTGATCCAAAAGCACGAGCTCGAGCTGCTGGCCCAGTAGGGGCTCAACAGGGTTTTCCTGGAATCCCTCAGTTGGCAGCTCTGTGGAAGTTGGAGGAGGAAGCAGGCCTGGAGTTCTCTGGTCCGGCCTTTGGTTCAGTGGAGGAGGGCCCGGGCCCCCTGCCCGATCTGTGTGAAGAGCAGTGTATCTTCGTCTCCTTGAATCATCGAGAAGCACTGCAGAGGGTGCATTTGGCCTATTCTGCCGGGTTTTGGGCTAGGGTTAGTCTGGAAACGTTCACTGATCAGGTTACTCCTTTGTCCTTCCCTGACACAGCCGCCCACTTCATTGTGCTCCGTGCCTGTGGAATTGGTGGTTACGTGCGCTTTGCATCCCGTGAGCATTTCAATCGTTTGAGGGATCAGATTTTTGCAGGTGGCCTCGTCGCTTTCGGGTTTGAGTCATTTGCTGAGTTGGACGTCTTTTGCCAGGGAGCAAGGATCACCGTGCCTCCTCTCTTTGTGCCATGTTGAGAAAGAATAGGATCCGACCAGCCAGCAGAGGCGATCCGACTCTGCTGGTCCTGACCTTGCCAGAGCATGCATCGGCGTTTGGCGATGAGGTTGATGTCTTCGCCATGCCGTTAGAATTTAGACAAGGGGGAATGCTCCTTGCTATCCCAAAGGACACTTTGTCCGCCCAAGCACTTGCAGATGGCCAGTCGGGGTCCGAAGAGACCTTATTTGGGCCTAATTCAATTTTTGCTTCTGACCTTCTAGATGAAGGTGAGGATCTCAACTTCACTGTTCCCGTTGGTGTCGAAGTGGAGGTCTTAGTCGTAGATGTCTCAGATGATGTTTTAGCACTCTGCAGAGAATATGATCCAGTCACTGACACCACAGCCACGATCCTAGGATACTCCCACGAGCATCCGGCCAGCCTTCCTGAACATACTAGGTTGCTTGTCCAGGTGAATAGTTGGCTTCTGTCGCGCACTGACGATCGGACAGGTTTTTATACTGCTCAAGAAGGCCAGGAACAGGGTCCGAAAGCCAGCAATCCCCCGGGCACCGGGGTGCCACCCGGCAAGAAGCCTGCGACCGCAAAGAGGGTTTCCAATGCAGCCATCGCCGAGCAACTGACAGCTTTGTCTGCCCAACTACAGCTGTTGTCCCAGAGGCAGGATCGTCTAGAGTCGTCTGGTCCTGGGTTTGTAGGTCATGCTCCCGAGCCTTTTGTTGGTCCCACGCCAAAGTTGCCTGCAGTGTCGGCACAGATTCAGAATCAAAGCGGCATGTTGCAGACAGGTCAAGCCAAAGCATTGAACCTGATAGGACCTCCCCCTCGGACGCGTGCAGCCCCAGCAGCACCAGGTGCGAACGATGCCGTGCAAGACGAACCTTACGACCCATTGCAACCAACTGCAGGCGATCCCGAAAGCATAGCCAGTGCCATTGCTCAGCAGAGCACAGCGATAACAGCTCTGGTAGCACACCTCACGTCGCAGTCCGGCGATGTGATGGGAGACTTTCTGTCAACAGGGCAGTCATCCAGTACCACAAGAGGCGTTCAAAGAAGAGAGAAAATGCAGAACGACCTTGCGACAGGCAGCAGTTGTTATTTCTTCCAACTCATGCAGCAGCTTCACAGGCGCTTGCACCCATCGAAACCTGTTCCACAGCGAGAGGAGGAGTTGCAAGGTCTGTCAGTCCTTCACTACTTGGAACGTCAAGGAGGGTATCGGAATCAGAGGGAAATGGGTTTGGTGGCATGGGTTTTAGGACATGCCTTGCATGCGGCAGCAGCAGGGGACTTTCGACACACGAAAGAAGTCCTGGCCTTGTTGATGGTGGCAGTGGAGCAGTCCGTCCTGGATCGAGGGGATTGGTCCCTCGCCTTCATGCTGACGTTGATGGAGGAGCCACCTTTGCAGATGTTTCAGGAAAGAGCCATGACCCTTGCCCAAAACGCCAAGCCTTTTGGACCTCTAGTACCACCACAGTGGACCGCAGTCTGCCTCTCTTACTTGAAGGACCTGGAGGTGTTGGCAAACAAGAAGGTAGAAACTGCCAAGCGAGCTGCAAAGCCTCCGCCTGCCAACCCATCGGCAGGGAGTACGGGGGAGCCGGAAAAGGAGGAATCTCCGCGGCGCAAGCCGAGGTTCCCGAAGAAACCAAAAGCGAAAGCCCCAGCGGATGCATGAAGAGGGACTCCACCAGGAGTTCCGCTCCACATGTTGGTAGCATGTACAAAGGTGCCTCTTCCGGTAATGTGGATTTAATTAAAGGTGGACTTTTAACTGGGCATAATCCCCGTAAATGTCCTAGGTGTAAATCGGCCCTTGATGCTTTTCCTTGTAAAGCTTGTGGACTTAAATCGGTGGGCTCACCTAGGCCAAATGTTCCTGACTCGGCTGTGGACTTCCTTAGCTTTCGCCGATGGTGTTCATTTTTGGCCGTGTCTGTTCTCAGAACCCGTTCTGCCTTTTCTGTATTCCTTAGAGCAACTTTGCATTTGCCTCGAAGCAGTTTGCTTTCGACATCGCCGGCCTTTCCCCTTCCAGTGCCCTTCCCAGGGGCTTTTGGTAGGATGCCTCCAGGTCTTTCGTCTGCCAAGAGAAACCGTTGCCATTTTAGACGTGCTATGCATATTGTGGTAATGGCTCTTAACTACTGGTGGTCGGGAAGCTGTTCCATTCCATTGGAGCATCTGGAGAGGACTCCATCCAAGTGCCAGCTTGCAATTTTTCGCAGGCTGGCGAGTCTTATGCTGGCTGACGGCCCTGTGGAGCCTTTTGAAGTGTTACGTAGTGGTCGGCGTTTTCATTTTTTGGTAGCACGTCTTGCAGAATTATCAGAAGCCTTGACAAAGCTTGGTGTGGGAGCTGGCCCTTATGAGAAAGTCTTCCCTGGGCATGATGTTCCACTCAACAATGCACTTTTTGAGGAGCTTGAACCCTACCGAGCTCTTGATGCTGAGCGCTTGAAGGTGGTGGGAAGTGGCCATTTTGATGCGTCTCCTTATTTGTCCCCTGAGCTGTGTGTTGCCTATCGGTACCCGGATGCTCTGTTGCTTGATCGCTTGCCCAGCAGTCATGAGTTTCCGCAAAAGGCTGATCCAGTTGATGAGGTGGTCAAGTTGGCAAAGCTTTGGGACGTTCGTGGCCTTCTCCATATCCATGATGTTGACATCATGCGCGAAAGGCGCTTTGAGCTAGTCAGGGTTTTCAATTGCTATAAAAACTCAGCTTGCGACCGCCAGATAGGAGACAGACGTGGTAGGAATGCTGTGGAGGGACGCGTGGTCGGACCTTCATTGAGCCTCCCTACGGGGCCTGACCTATTAGATTTGAGCTTGGATTGCAAGTCTGAAACATTGTCCATCATTTGCACAGATAGGCGCGACTTTTACCACCAGTTTTCTACGACTCTAAATAGGACCCTTTCAAACACGGTAGGCCCTACTTTGCCTGTTGAAGCAGTGCGAGATTCTCTGGCCTTTGGAAGATTCCTTGAGTCGAAACGGTCGAGGTATGGGTCCAGACTGCAGCAAGGTGATAGGCTTGGTACTTCTGAACGGCAATCCTTTAGGAGATGTCAAGAAGGCACCTGTATGGCAAGTTTCAAAAGTATATTTCAGGGTGACCATGCTGGAGTAGAAATAGCCACGGCAGCTCATGAAGGCCTTTTGCAGACGGTTGGCCTCCTCTCTGATGAAACGAGGCTTCTCTCCAGCAAGCCTTTTACAGGCAACAGTCTGTGCGAAGGCTTGGTCATTGATGATTATTTTGCTGTTGCGGTTGTGCCTCGTTCTCTTTTGGTTCCCAGCCCTGCTGAAGCCTGTTTTCGGTTTAGCAAGGATCTCTATGCCAAGCATGATATTTTGGGGTCAGATGACAAGGACATTACAGGGGCTAGGAAGGCAAAGTTGATTGGTGCAGTGCTGGATGCGTCGCCCAAATGCCAGGATCGAGGAGTCGTGTTGGTTGCAGCTCTGGCTGAAAAAAGATACTCCCTGTCTTGGGTTACCCTCCAGCTCTGCCAGTTGTCACATACTACTGACTCCTTGCACTTATGCCTTTTGGGGGGCTGGACCTCTGTGCTGATGTTTAGGCGTCCCCTGATGTCCATCCTTTCCAAGTCCTTTCGTCTGGTCTCCATGGATAACTTTGATGCAGCCTGTCCGAAGATGGTCCCGTTGCCGCGTTCAATTGTGAACGAGCTCACTCTGCTTAGCATTCTAGTTCCGCTGTGTGCCTCTGACATTGCAGCACCGTTTTGTGACCAGCTTTTTGCAACCGATGCCTCACTACATAAGGGGGCGATTGTGCAAGCTCAGGTGCCACAGACAGTCATCCAATCGCTTTGGAGGAGCTGTAGGTCAAAGGGTGGATATTCAAAGCTCCTTGATAAGTCCCAGTCGATTTTGTCCAGGTGCTTGGATTTTGAGGAAGAAGAGCCAGATCGAAGCGTCTCTGTGAAACGTCCCCTTGCATTCAGGTTCGACTTTGTCGAGGTCTTTGCTGGTGCTGCCACAGTAACATCAAAGGTTGCCCAACTTGGATTTTCGGTGTGTTGCCCCATTGATATCTCTTTTGACCGCGAGCTTGATGTTGCCAGTGTCTTTATCATTGAGTGGTTAATTCACTTGGTTAGCAACCATTTTGTAAAAGCGGTCATGTTGGAGCCTCCATGCACGACCTTCAGTGTAATGAGGAGGCCTCCTTTGAGATCGAAGCAAGCTCCGTATGGGTTTGATACGCAAGATGAGCAGACACTTACCGGTACCAAGCTTGCCCTCCGGGCACTGCAATTGCTGTTTGTTTGTCTGCGTGCTGGGGTGACGGGAGTCGTGGAAAACCCTTGGTCTTCAAAGATCAAAAATCTCCCACCTTGGAGAGCAATCATGGACCATGACCAATGCACTATGGTACGGTGTGACTCGTGTTTTTATGGGAGCCCCCACTTGAAGGCTTTTGTTTTCCTTTGTGCATGGGCGCATACAAACCCGATTGAGGGACGATGCAAGGGTGACCATGAGCATGTACAAGTGGCGGGCGCACTTACCAAGAAGTCAGCTACTTATGTTGAAGGCCTTGCCTCTGCCCTTGCTGTGGTCATGTCCGAGGGGATCATCCGGCTTCGGGATTTTGATTTTGAGAATGCCCCTGAGAAAGTGAGTGGACTTGAGAGTCAACTGGTGAATGAGGTATGCCTTTCCTCTAGCTGGTCGCTGCTTTCCGTTTGGGCCTTCCGTGTCTCATCCCATATCAACTTACTTGAGTTGAGTGCTGTCCTTCGTCTGGTGACTAGACTGGTAAAAAAGGGTAAGAGCCTGCGAGTTGTCATCCTTGTCGATTCCAATGTGGTAAGATGTGCCGCCTCCAAGGGCAGGTCTTCGTCCAGAGCCCAGTCGAGATTGCTTTCCCGTCTGGCTGCCTTGAGCGTTGTAGGTGGACTTTTTGTGGTTTTTGGTTTCATCCCTACCAGGTGGAACCCTGCAGACGATCCTACTCGTGACACAATCCTTCGGTCCTCCATCCCGGGCATGGATTTAGCCGCTTGGGATCGTCCTGACTTGTTTCGTCTCTCCTGCTTTCCTCGGTGTCGTCGTTGGTGTTCCAACTGGGTTCGGCTTTGTCTGTTGCTTTGTGGCCCTGTTCTACTTCGGTGCGCTGACCGCTCCTGCTATGCCACGCCTCGGTTCCCCTATGGCATGTCCTGTGGGTTTGTGGATTTTGCGTCTGATCCCTGTGTGCCTCCGTTGGACTTTGATTCGACGCTTGGATTTCCAGGTGAAGGGCCATCGACTGACCTCGTTTGTAACAGTAGACCCCTCAGACTTGTTCTTTGGGTTGCCATGATTTCCTCCTGTGCCATGGCTGTTTTGCAACCTCGAAATCCTGGAGACTTATTGAGACAGTCACAACGCAATGCCAGGCCCCCATTGCAAGAAGGGCGCCCGGTGTTAGGAGTGACTAGTCAGCTAAGGTCATCCTATATTTCTCAGTTTGAGGAGTGGCTTTTTGGCCATGGTGTTCGCCTGGAGGTGCTTCTTGAAAATTCAGCAACCAGGGTCGACGATGTCAATCGGTGGTTAGTTAGCTATGGCCGCTGTCTGTATGGAGTGGGGCGACCATATAATCATTTTGCCGAGACTATTAATGCTGTCTCAGCAAAGAAGCCGGCATTGCGCCGACAGCTACAAGAGGCGTGGAACTTAGCTTTTGCTTGGGTGAGAGATGAGCCCACAACTCACCACATAGCGATACCATGGCAGGTACTTCTGGCTTGTATTTCAGTTTCTTTGATTTGGGGCTGGGTTGACCTAGCAGGGATGCTGGCGCTGACTTGGGGAGCTGTCTTGCGAGTTGGAGAATTCTTGAGTGCGACCAGGAAAGATTTGCTTCTACCTTGCGATACAAACTTTACAAATTCTTTTGCTCTTTTGGCTCTTAAGGAGCCCAAAACCAGGTTTACTGCTGCTCGACATCAAAGCGCAAAGTTGGACATACCGGACTTATTACGTGTGGTTCATCTTGCCTTTGCGCGTCTGCAACCTCAACAGAAGCTTTGGCCTCGTTCAGGACAGACACTTCGTTTGCGTTTTAAACAGGTTTTGGAAGAAATTGGAATTCACTCGCAAGTGAGACTCAATGGAAAATCTTTGGATCTGGGTGGACTGAGAGCAGGTGGCGCTACATGGATGATTCAAGTCACTGAAGATTCCGAATTTGTGCGTAGACGTGGAAGATGGATAAACAGCAGAGTGATGGAAATATATTTGCAAGAAATATCGTGCTTTCAATTTTTATCTGCAATACCTCTTTCCGATCGGCAAAAGGTCTTCAGCTTGTGCAATTTCTTTCTACAAACTGTTTCAGGTGCTGAGAAGTTTAGTGCTGCAGATATACCACCTACGGTGTGGTACATTTTGTGGAAAAGGACAAGTTAACAGGAACTGGCGGGAAGTATGGGTCCCTTGGAGCTCACCGTTCTTTATGACCATGGAGCTCAAGGTTGTGCAAAGACACTCACGCAGTGCCAGTTGCAAGGAAAAGAGCGAGGTGCTTGAAACCTTGAAGACTAAGGTTGACTGTACCGTTCCTGTCCTTGCTGCTCAAGTCAACCCACCCTCTTCGATGACCCGACCCGACTGCAGTCCTTTCACAAAATGGGTCCCTTGGAGCTCACCGTTCGTTATGACCATGGAGCTCAAGGTTGCGCAAAGACACTCACGCAGTGCCAGTTGCAAGGAAAAGAGCGAGGTGCTTGAAACCTTATATATATAATATGTGTAATGGGAATATATATATATATATATATATATCTGTGATTTTTGAAGAAGCAGTGATCACCAAAAACTAGCAAGGATGGGAGTATACTGAGTATACTACGAACAATAGGAAGAAGATACCCTACGGCAATCAACCATCTATGCTCTGGTCATTTGACATAACCATGGAACCTCACCATTTTTGTATTACGGTAAATCATCTCACTTAGTGCGTCATTGTCCATAGCTATCCATAGCTATCCATAGCTATCCATAGCTATCTTAAATGTATTTTTTCTGGTGTTTCAGCATGGTTTCAGCAACAAACACCACAGAAGCCATGTGAAGCCCATCATCCCCTATGATCACCCATCCCCGATCCCAGAGCAACAGTTCGCCAAGTTCATCTTGTTTTCATGCTTCGGATAGCCATTAAGCATGGCTGGGAAAGTCTCGAAAAATAACTTAGCTATCTATGGGGCACCATCTTGTACGAACGGGATATGAAGCAACAAAAGAGGTCAGAGCGACCAAGACCAACAAATATAGGAACACTCCTTTTTGAACAACGGGAGATTCTCCATCTGATAACGGGATTCTTGCGCCAACCAAAGTGGGATTTCAAAAGCAGGCGAATCGTTTTATGGATGTTTTACCTACTCAACATGGTCCATTTTCATCCATGTTCCATAGCGTTAAAATACCGGAGATGTATTAAACAAATCATTTACTTCAATAGATCTCCGGATCATTTAACGTCCCTACGGAAAATGGCCCATTCATAGATTTACTTATTGAAAACGGAGCATTTTCCACGGTTTTGTTGGGGTTTCCGGAGGGTTACAGAATGATCAGAACTGGTGTTTTGCCGATGTTGGAATCCGCCGACAGTTCTTTTTTGGGTTTGAAGATTGCGTACCCCATTGCATCCTTTGGTGTATATATATATATATCTATCATATATCTAATTTGATGATGGATTATATATATATTTCTGATAATTGCATCCTATTGGTTATCATCATTTTTTCCGATTCGATGAATTGTCATGGCTGTTCGGAGGGTATATATATATACATCTGTGATGAATTATTTACAGATAGGATAAATCTGTACAAGGTGGTGCCCCACCCCAGTTGTAAATGGGTTATAAACCCATTAACTATAGATATATCACCAACAAAAACCATAGTGAAATTGGAGTTATAAACACACCAACTTAGCGATTCCGAACTGGGGTCCCATCCTGTACTGAGCCACACCATTGGGCCACACCAGTGCCATCGATGAAATCGATGGATTTCAACAGGCTTTGGTAAATGTCCCAAAATATGGGGATGTTGAACATCACATGACCAAAACAGCCGTATCTGTTGGAGATGAAATATTTTCGCAACTGAAGAATTGGGTGATGTGAATTCAATTAGGACATAAAAACGAAGCCCTGATGAACCCAATGATATAACGGTGAATCTACTGGTCTTTAGAGTCACTTCGCAACTTAGCGAACAAAAAAAATCCCAGTATTCCTCAGTAAAAAATCTTCCTTATCTTTGATTTAAATCCCATTAAATCACAATTTTCTTGGTAAAATCATCATTGAATCAGAAATTTGGATCTGTTCTTGTCTATAAGGAACTGGGAGAAGAAGAGCACGTCGGAAAACCTGGACCTCTGTACCTTGGGTCCTGGGATATATCATGGGATAAAAAAAATCTATCTATCTATCTATCTAATCTAATCTAATCTAATCTAATCTAATCTTATCCTATCCTATCCTATCCTATCCTATCCTATCCATCTATCTATCCTATCCTATCCTATCCTATCCTATCCTATCCTATCCTATCCTATCCTATCCTATCCTATCCTATCCTATCATCCATCCATCTATCCATCTATCCATCTATCCATCTATCCATCTATCCATCTATCTATCTATCTATCTATCTGGAATATTCATGGGAAGAATGGGATATATACATATCATGGGAAACATCAAGGGAATTTTTGACGGAAAGCCAATGCCAATGCCATAAACCTACCATTTTGGGATGGTTTGCAGAATTCTGTAACTTATGCGACCCAGTTATAGTGATTTTTGGGATGGTTTATGATTGGGTTTACCACACTACCAATGTTTCCAATGTTTCCATATGTTTGCAATATTTGCATTTATTAATGGATATGCCTTGTTTATCAAGTATGGTGTGCTGGAAAATCCGCCATTTAGTTCGATTATTTTCAATTACGGAGGATTCTTTTTTGCTGCATGTGTGTGTGTGTGTGTTCTTTGTCTTTGGAACCAGCAAGTGCTGTTCAACCTTGAACATCCACTGTTCAACCGAAGCAACACATCCTGTTTGAAGCTGTTGATCCGTGGGGGTAGCGTTTCAATAGCCATTTGTCTGGGGGAAGCCCCAGAATTCATCAGGGTTTTTACCACAATCCGGGGTTGACATTACCTCTATTTCAGTATTATGATTTTCCATTTTTCGGGGTTGATTTTTTAATGGGAGTTTTTTGTGTTCAGCCAATGCCACAATCCCCGATTGGGTTTATCATTGGGTATAACCAATTCTGGAATGCGGTTACCACTGTTCGCCAGTGGTTGGTTACTGGATTGTTTGTTGAGGAGCTTTCGGTGTGATTTTATATTGCTGAGTGTCTTGATGATCATCCATGACTGCTGGTTTCTCGTTCTGGAACAAATCAACCATAGAGTCGCATATGATTCAACCATAGATTGCTGTATCATAAGTTTTAAACATAGATTCTCATATTTTTAAACATAGATTCTCATATTATTCAGCGATAGATTCTGGAACATCCCAGTTAGTAATTGATTAATAAACCTGCTCAATAAATTCCTTGGCATTATCCCAGCTTTCTTCGAGCGTTGTCACCGTATAGTTCCCAGCCAGTCACGAGTCGGGGCATCTTCCAAATATTGACCCCGATCCCACTTTCGCCTGTTTTCATGATTGAATCCCAGCTTTCACCCATAATTTGATAGTGAATCCCCCGTTATTTTGATGGACTCTATTCCAAAAAACTTCTCTCCCATTTCCATCCCTATCTCCCCATCAAACTTAGGTTTCCCCCCCATTTAACCCATCTCTTTGCACCCCAGGTGGGGTGATCAGACCCTCTCCCTCCATGCGCACCACGCGGTGAACACGGCGCAGCACGCGGTGCATGTGGCGGGGCAACCGCTGCGCAACTTGCTGCGGCCCTCGACTAGCGGCATAACGGCTTCGGGTCCCCCGGCGCCAGAGGTTCATGACGAGCCGCAGATATTGTCAATGGAGGTGCCATGGGGCTTGGTGTGAAGGTAAACTATGGTAAACTATTCGCTGGGAGTCTGGATGATAAACTCCAAGAATTGTTCAATCCAAGTAGCTTGGTCCAAAGGTACTTACCTGGCAATGGAATTTCCTCATCAGATTATTCTCACAATAGAATAGGGTCACTTGTCCATTACCAGATTAGATCCCAAAGCAGAACCCCCACTTGTTCCCTAGATAGCGAGAGCTGTTGGGGTTCTTACCTCAAGTATAGGAAGCGTTGCCTGTGTGCGCTTTGGAACCTGGGTGCTGGTGCCGCTGCGGAGTCCTGCTGGTTGCTACCCAAAAATATCTTTTGCTACCTGGGGCCTATGCTGGCGTAATTCTTTTGCTCATAGGCAAATCCGACATTTTTGCGGCCCAAGGCTACATCTTTTTTCTCCCTCCACTTATTTCGGTGTTTCTGAAAATTGCACCCAGAAGATGGCAGTTTTCATAGAGGAGCCTCATGATCAACCACAAAAAATCAGGCTTTTCCCCGATTTTTTTCAGAGCAACTCCCCCCTGCCCTGGTTGCACTTCTCCAACCTGCTGGATCTGCAGGTGGCCAAGGTCGCTTCGGGGGTTTCGGACTCGGACGATGACGAACCCGCCATCGTGGCTGGGACCGTTCTGCTTGGCTGTGTCTGAAGATGGAAGATGGAGACCCAACTGGCTGTGTCTGAAAATTGGGTACCCCCAATTATAGCCATTTAATAGGGAAACTGATCATGAACCATTGGGTTTAGGCACACAACATTTTCAGACAAACCCAAACAACCATAAAATGTGGGAAAATGATGATGACACCAATTTTGGGATAGCCATTTTCAGAGAAATCCAGAAATATGGGGCACTCACTGGATTCATCTTGGTTTGGTAAGTATGGATTTTTCTTTGCCACAAATGGGAAATAAACAAGCCAGTGACACCTTTTTTTTTGCAGGGTATCTAGCATTAGCCAAACATGTTGGGGTATAATTTTTGTTGAGTCTAAAAGCGCATCCAAGCAACTGGGTACTCAACAAAGTGGGTTGTTTAATTATTGTTTAAAAACTTGGAATCCCATTCCGAATGCCATGGATGGTAAAATACTCCCATGATTGTTGGTGAAATATCCCCACTCTTCACCCATTATATACCCACAAGACCTTCTCTATTCTATATTCTTGATGATATGTATATATATATATTTACATATCCCGTAAAATGTACCTATCGTATTATCCCTTCAGATCTATTCCCATAAAATCATATCCCCATCATCAAGCCCTTTATCTTCTCAACATCCAAGAAATCTTGGATTTCTCTTGCATCTAAAAAACCTCTTTATATCCCCATCTTAAATATACAATCCAACATGGAAAAACAACTACTTATAGTTGATGTTTCCATTCAAAGCTCCATAGGCGGCTCTTCCATCCATTGCCACGTTTGATGATGAATGTCTGGCACTATGACACCGGGTACCAGATGGGGTGCGGGCCCCACATAGCAAATGGGTGAAAAAAACCCCAGTAATATCTAGAATCTCCCCACTGGGTGAAAAATGGGACGAAAATAGGGATGAACTATGGATGATCAACCACTGTACTCATCAACCACAAAAACCATGACCATTGTTCCCCACAAGGTGCCCCAGTTATTGGTTAGCCCATGAAAACTATAGATCACCGTGATCACCAACAAAAACCATAGTGACATATTTTTTTCGGAGCGTTCCAAGGCGCCGCCCACGGAGCCGGCCCCGGCGCTGAACTCCTCGCCCTCGTCGCCCCATGTGGTGGTCTCGGCCTCGCCCTCCGTCAGCGGCCGCCGGGGCGGCACGTCCATGACGGAGAAGGCGCCGCGACGTCGGGGACGACGGCGTTTTCCAATGGGGATGGATTTCATGAGGTTTTCGGGGAAATCGGAGTTTTTGTAGATGTGAACAGATTTGATGTTGGAGAAGTGGAGTTTGAGTGATTTTTTGATGTGAATTTTCGATCGATGAATTATAACAGTAAGAATGGGATCATAATGGTGATGTTGTTGATATCCGTGACTAACTTGATGTGATAGTATGAAAATGGGGGATTCGCCACCCCAAACAACAATTTTGCTATGGAACATGAAGTATGAACCATGATGTCTTTTGGACACCCTAAGCTACTGACCTACTTGGACGGGCATCCAGGTTGCATGGGTAACAACCCTCTTGCAAGCCAGTCATAAATTGGATAGTATACACCATTAATATATCAGTTATTAACCACTCAACCACTTAGAGTATCACCGACAAGTTGGGATTGAACATCATGGGAATATGATGGTATCTAGCTTGGGATTGAACCAAGAAAAAGATGCGGGTTTAGCCAAGAAAGATTAGGAACTGGTGAGTAACCATAGTTCACTCGTATATATGCCCACGCATTGGAACTTTCCAAGCAGGCTTATCATTCACTTTCGATTCGCGCGATCATCCTCGAAGCATCGAAAGCAATCCTAGCTTTCCGTTCCGAAAAAAACATATGGATGGTGGATTCTCTATATCTATGTTAGTTTACGGTAGGGTAATACCAAACATGTGGATGTAACCTATTTGAGGGTTATGTGGCGATCGGTCAGACGAAGCGGTGGGAAGGATCAAAGAAGTTGTTTAAGGTTTTCCTTTATCTTGAGATATTTCAATTATGGTTATACCATATATACCCATGATACTTGGTGTTTCATCCCATTTACTAAGTAGGTTAGTTCACCCTAGCTATAAGTGGATTAAGCCTACTTATCCCACTGAAATCACCAGGGTTATAACCCACTTAGGATTCGTGGGATGAACCACCAAGTATGGTGCCCTCCAGTTCTAAGTTGGTTTATAACCTGATCTAAATATTTCATTATAAGTATCATACACTGTTGTTATGACATAGTTATGTGCACCAACTTAGCTATCCCCTATCCTGTATTCCCCAAGTAATCACAATATTAACACTTAGCTAACGAACTGGGACCCCATCCTGTATTCCCCAAGTAACCACAATATTAACCATCATTAACCATTTGTTCACCATATCTTCACCATATTTTCCCAAGATTTTCCCAACATTAAACCATATCTTCACCATCATTAACATTAACCATCATTAACCATCATGAACCATCATTATCCCATGATTATCCTATTATCATCCTATTTTCCCATCACTATCCCATCATTGACCAATAGTAACCACCATGTTTTCCCAGCGTTTTCCCCCCGAGGCCTTCGGCCTGCAACGTGGCGGTTCCATCACCTCGCTGGACCTGGATCGGACCTACTGGATCCGCGTGAAGTTGCTGCACTTCGTGCGCCACCGCTGGTTCGAAGGGGAAAACGTGGGGAAAACCTGGGAAAACCTGGGGAAAACTGGAGGAAACCTGGGGAAAACCTAGCGAAAACCGAAGGGAAACTTACGGAAACCTAGGGAAAACCTGGGGAAACCTGAGCGGGCTGGGGAAAACCTAGGGAAACCGAGGGAAAACCTAGGGAAACCGAGGGAAAACCTTGGGAAACCTAAGGAAAACCTGAGGAAACTTGGGAAAACCTGAGGAAAACCTGAGGAAACATGGGGAAACCTAGGGAAAACCTGGGGAAAACCTGAGGAAACCTGGGCTGGGGATGGGGAAAACCTAGGGAAACCTAGAGATTATCTCGAAAGCCGTTGGATGGGTTTCGCTCATCAAAATGACATGATTCTTGGATATTTTCTGTTGGATTTGTTTCCATCCTGTCAGCATATGAGTCAGCACCCACCACTCCCATGTGTTGTCTCCAGGGTATCAGAGTTTGACCCGGGGGGTACCAGGACACTAGCGCCATTTGAGTAGGGAAGATGCTGATTCAGGATGTTTTTTTTTGCTTTACTGTGTTTTACAAAAAACTCAGACAAGGCCATGTGTTGTGGGATTCACCAGGTAGCTACCATAGCTCTAAGTCTTGAAAATGCATAGGTCATCAGGTTCACCTCCGAAGAAAGTCAACCCTTTTTGCGATGTTTACAGGAGACTGGAATTTTGACAATGACAACACTTCAGGTTCGAATATGGAGATAAATAGCCAACTGAATGAAGGCTAATACAAGTAACAAAAATCTGCAAACATAGCCATTTCCCTACATTTTCCCTTTTGTTCGTTTTTTTTACACCTCACCTGAAATGGTGGCAGTGTATGAAAACTCTAAGCTTGCTGTTTTCTCAAGTTATGTAGATGCTGGCCGAGTGGGTTCTGACAAATTCTCGCCGCCTATCTTGAGACGGTGTCAAACATGTACAACTTCCTTTGTACTGTACATAGACTGATACATAGATCAGGGGAAGAGATAAAAAGGAAGGTTTCTTCAAGAAATGCATAGTCTGCATTGGTGTAGAAATACATTGTTACATTGCAATAAAGGTTCTAGATGACACCCCATATAGCACAGATTTTAGGTATGGACCTACAAATAGTAGTGATACCCAGCTATACCCATAGTTTGTCTGAAGATAGGCTATCAAATTAACTGTAATAGTTGATCATGATTTTCTCCACCAAAACGACCATAAATTGGGTGTTTCCAATTTTTGGACAAAGCCCAAAAAATTGCAGAGGTGCCATGCCTCGCACAGCCCGCACAGGTACAGAATGTCTGGTTTGAAACAGTTTCAATGTTAATGCTCTGTGCCAACGCTGTGGTCATTGGCGTGCAGACGGTCGACTGACGATTTGCTTAGCACCATTTTTTTTTTCGGGTCCAAAGCGGTAAACTTCCCAAAGCAGGCCTTCTGGATGGGAAGAAGCTAAGCTTCCACAACGGCTTCCATTTTTTGGGAGGGTAGCTTTCTGGTGCCCTGGAAACTGTCCGTTTGCCCGAAGCTTACTATAGCTGGTGATCTAAGGACCCCATTTTTTTGAGGAAATTCCAAGGTTTTCCGCTGGTTTTGCTTAAAGTATTCATCATGCATGGAATCATGCATCCATTTTGTACTACAACTTTGCCCACGTGGCCCACGTGGTCACGTGGTCCATTTTCAAGGTTGAATTAAATGTTGTGAAATCACAATGTTCCACGATTTTTGTTGATTAAATCTGAATTGTCCAGCATTTCTTGTGGGAAATTCCTTTTGATAGTTCAGCCAGTTTTGATGGTCAAATTCATAGTTTCTCTTAATTTGATGTTTACATTCCAGTTTTGCACCAATCTTCACATTATAATGCAATTTTTCTACAATTTTTGATGATTATAGCTTCCTTTGTTTAGATGCACATGTCGGTGACATTCTGATTTCCACCAATTTTGATAGATATATGATATATCCCAATATTCTATGTTTTTTTATGCTTCAATCCAAATCTTCCTCTATTTTGATATTTACATCCACGTCTTCCCTCCATTTTTCCCAGTTTCCGTCAGGACTATATGGCCATAAACAAGTTATCCTCACCCCCTTGGGCCTTGCGCGCCCTCGATATCTGGTGTCTCAGCGAGCCTTCTCAGGGGCGGGGTCCCATAAGAAATGTTTTTGTGTTTTTGCTTTTTTTTTTTTTTAATAGGGCGATTTATATAGTGGGATATGAATTTTGAATGGAACATATTTCTTCACCTACAGCAGCTACTTGGAATGTATATAGAATTACCCATATTGGGGCTTGATTTTTATCCTCATCCATGAATGCCATTGATGATGGGATGAGCGACCCAAAAACAACAAGGAAGTTTGGCAAATTCCAGTTTGCTAATGGCAATGTATGGGACACATATGGAAATAATGCTATTTACCACTTTTACTATTTCCAGTTTGTGAATTAATGTAGGTTTTCCCAGATATGATTTTTATAGTATAATGTATGACCATCCAAAAGACTAAGGGAATCTTTCATCAACCACAATGAATTCAAAGGTGCTGATTCCTGGTGAATCTAGGATATACATCATGTTACATGAGGTTTATCAGAAATCATACAGAAATCATACGGCTTTTTGAACAAACAGCGGCTATAGCTCGCCAATTTTCCGGGCTGATCCATGGGATCCCATCGCAGCCAATTTTCCGGGTTCCAACATGGTCCTTCCACCTTCCAGGGGAAAGAACTTACCCTCTGGTAAGCTAACATAAGTATGGAAAATCACCATTTTTAATGGGAAATTCCACTATAAATGGCCATTTTCAATAGCTACGTTAAATTACCAGAGGGTATTTCAAGAATTCTAGATGTTTGCGCACCGATGCTGTACTGCTGCGGGTTAGGTGTCTACACAAAACAACAAGTTGTCTCGGCGCCATTTCTGCGTTACAATCCCGCCAAACCAGCGTCAATGTTTAGACCTTGTTTGGCACCCCAAAAGGTCTAGGTGTTGTTTTGCTCCTTTTTGAACAGAACTTCTTTTTGTTAAATAGGAAAAACCACACTTTCCCCATCTTTTTTTGGGGATACCCTCCAGTAAACATACTTTTTGTATGTGGAAATCCAGGAGTTTCCAATTTGGAAATGACTTCCACGAGGGATTTTCCAAAAAACTCTGACAGTTGACCGGCGAAAAAGGCCATCCCATGATGCTGGTTCAATCCCTTCAGAATATTTTTGGGTATACCTTCAGAAAATGCTTGGTAAATATGTATGTTGGTTGTTTGGAACATGAATTTTATGACTTTCTATATATATATATATATATTGGGAATGTCATCATCCCAACTGACTTTCATATTTTTCAGGGGGATTGAAACCACCAACCAGTGTTGTATGTACTGTAATTTGTCAATTGCCAGTTTTTTTTACTTGTGATTGATGACAAAATGATTCAGAACACTTTTTTTCTTTATCTTTTCATAGTGATGTGAAACATGTCCATTACAAAGTGTTTTCTAATTGATTACCACTAGCCACCGTCAGTCACCAGCAAATTTCCATGAGCCACCACTAATTTCCATATTGAGGGTAAATTTGAACTAAACCATTAATTATACCAAAACACCACTAATATCCATATCCTCAATAGCTTGTGTGTATAACTACTAATTCACCTGTTGCTTTGGACGCCCGGCATGACACCTTGCCTGGTCATTTTTTCACGTTAGATGATTCCAGATCTCATACGACAGGAGATGTCTGAGGGTCTTTCCATATCCATACTTGCTTTTCCGGGTTCAGGTTCTGCAGCTTTTTCGCCGTGGAACTGGCGCTGCGAATTTTGGCGCATGGCCGCCGCTTCTTCAGCATGAATGGCTGACGCTTGGCTTGCAACCAACATAGGCTGTTTGTGGCCATAGACCAACACAATTAGATGATTTCATGGATGTTGACGTTTTTTTTTAACCAACCAAACTATATAGATTTCTGTTGTTTAAACCAACCAGCATGGTTGGATGGTTTCACCATTCGTAGGGATTTCCCATGGCTTGGCATCTCAAGATGGGACCCTTCCTTTTTTCCAGGTTTTCAACTTTTCTATGACTGGGGGGTGGTGGGGGTGGTGACAGGTCTTGGGCCCAAGTGTTTTTTTAAGGCCACAGGCCAGGCCTAGGCTCAATTTCTTATATGACGACTTGAAGTCTTGTTTTTTCCTAAACTGAAATCTATGTTTCTATTCTATGCTTAGGGGGGGTTGCTACACTTAAAAAGTGCATCCCACCTCGTAGAGGTGATGAATTCGAGTGGGACGTCGCCCCACAATATGGTGACTTGCAGTGAACTGCTGTTTGGTTTATGTTCAACCCATTGAGATCCATTAAGTAAGGGTATATACGTACATATATATATATATACATATCTAAATATGTAACACAAACCCCAATGTGAGGTTTCGTGTTATTTCAAGCAACTTGGCGATTTAGCCGGAAAGAAACTGGTGATTTCGAGATGCATAGCTACAGGGTTCTGGCAACTTTTTGGCGAATCATGGCCAGGCAAATTCGGATATATTCGAACTACAGTTCCGTGTGGATAAGAATCCACAAAGTGGAATTCCTATAAACCAACCCGTTGAATGGGCTTACCCCGTGGTTATTTCTTAGTGACTAGTCACTAGCGACAAAATAAATTGCCGTTTGTAGATTCCAACTTTGTGTCATATTTAGATGGTGGTTTTCCATAGCCATGATTACCAGAGGGTGCACCAATTGGTTCACTGCAGGCGCCTGGAATATGATGGATCTGGTTCTGGTCAGTGCCTATGCCACCTGGTCAAGAATTAAAGTGGACCAATATGGCATCTTGTGGAAAAAGTAGCCAGTGAAATTTCCACAAAGGGTCAGGAAGATTTTGGTTTGTCTAAAATTAGGGCTTCGGTATCCCCAATTCCAATGAATATCATGATTTTCCTTATTCAAATAGCCATTTGGGGTATACCAACCATTTTCAGACACACTCATGTGCCTGAAAGACCTTATCACAGGCATTCACGGTCATGAGTTCAAACCCATATTTCCTTGAGCGTCTTGTTGTCCGTTTGTTGCGCTGAACATCGATGTAGCAAATTTGAACATGGTCTACACTCATATACATGTACCATGCTGCATACACATGCCAACAATGCCAACATAATTTTTAACATGTACAGTACATTAGTTGTACTGAGCAGTACAATCGATCTGTATGTGCAGCCCCAGAAAGACAGGATACCCTCTGGTAATTTAACATAGCTATTGAAAATGGCCCTTTATAGTGGATTTTCCCAAAATGGTGATTTTTCATTGCTATGTTGGTTTACCAGAGGGTACACATCCCAATTAGGTCGCTGAAACCGTTCTGCTCATCGTGGCCGACGCCGAAACGCACGCAGGGGCCTGGGGTCCCTGGGGTCCTGGTCCACCTTTTTGTGCGCCTTCTTGCTGAGAATGGGCGATTTACCAACAACTGTTGGTGTTTCAAAACAAGATAACATATATATATATATGTTACCAACAAAAATATGGATCTTACGAGGATTTTAACATATTTTAACATCGAAATCAGATTTCACCGCAAGCTTATTTTTTCCACAGTCACCGTAGAAACGCTTGGATTTCAGCAACATGTCCGCTACAAAACGACCGATGAACCAGATCTGGGGATCTAATTCGACCAGCCCAGGGTCGCACAGATGTGTCGAAAAAAGATGTGTAGCTACAAACAATATGTCATGGTTATCAAAGCTAACAGTATAAGGTCCTGAGAAACTGAAGTGTGATGAGAATTACTGTACTATCACAAGACTATCACAACAACATTGGAGCCCAAATGTGGCCTTTACAAGACCTTGTTTTCTTTCCCAGTTACGAGCTTCATTCCCCAAGAATTGTTACGCTTCCCCGAAGGCCCCGCCTAGGCGGACATATTTTCTGTTTCTCACGTTGCGTTTCCAGCGCCTAGGCAGAAGGCAGTCGGGTGGCAGGCACCAATCCAGAAGCCTGGCTGACACAGTTGGGGGCCAGGTGGGGGCAAATCCTATCCTCATAGTCCCCATGTGTAAATCACTTAGCCATGATGGGATTAAGTGGCCAGTGGCCAGTGGTCTTTGTTTGCCAAAATGGTCGCTGTTAAATTTTTTCCACATGATTCCGACTATCCCATGATATATCCCATTGAGTTAGCTATATTCTCATGACATTTCCCTGAAAAATCTCTTGAAAACGAGGAAACCTATGGATATATTCATTTATATCCCAATGATTCCCCTCTGTTTTCAGGAGATGATGGACATTATATCCATAATGGAGTACCCACATCAATTATTATCCATTTCTATTACTATTCTTATGAGATTATTATCCCATATCTTATTGTTAATGATCCACTTCTATTATTACCCATTTCTGTTGCTACAAAAAATAATGAGGAAACCAACAAAATATCCATTTATATCCCTACTAGTCCCATATTCTCACCCATGTATATCCCATTATTCCCATATTTTCACCCGTTTATATCTCATTATTCCCATTAACAAATCATTGATATCCCAGGATTCCCCAGTATTTTCATCTATTTTCAGGAGATTATACGGAAATCATGGGTGTTTTTATATGTTTTTATGATAATATCCATGGAATACCCAGATCAATGATATAAAAAACCCCAGGTTTTTCCCCATGGTTTTCCCAGGAGATCATGCGCGTGATCCGCATCCTCCGCGCCATCAAAGTGGTTCGCCTGGTGGGGGCCGTGCGCTTCACGCAGGACCTGCAGCACTTTGGCGTTTGGCGTATGGGCCATGGAGGATTCGAGGATGGCCATGGTTGGAACAATGGTTAGCAAAACAAAAAGCTATTGAACATGGCCATTTATAGTGGATTTACCCATCAAAAATGGTGATTTTCGATAGCTTTTTGTATGTTTACCAGAGGGTAACATTTTTTTGGTCCATGAAAATTATAGATGTTTTTTGATGATTTCCCCATGACACATTGTGATTTTCCATAGCTACATTAAATAATCAGAGGGTAGATTAAATGTTAATGTTACCCATTGTGTCAATAGTAAAAAAATGGTGGTGAAATGAGTGGCTTAAGAATTAGTGACTACACATACAAAAAGACGATGGAACATTACCCATTTTTACGAGGTAAATCAACCATGGCCATAAATCACCGCAGTGGCCTAAGAATGGTTTTAAATCTGATGGGACGATTCTTTGAATTCAGCAATAAATTTTGAACCAATATTTGATTTGTTTACGATGATGTGAATTCAGCAGTTTAATCACCAGCATAATGGGATTTGATGGTGATTTATTGGTGATTCAATGGGAAGATCATTGGTTTATAGTGGTTCAATAATGGTGAAGATGGGATATTTCATGGACCTGACGGGACCGAGTGAAATCCAACCCCAGAATGGTCTGTCTGGAAGTGGGGTATTTTTCTGTAACTGGGGCTACAACAGGAAATCATTGTGATTGGACAAATCTCCATTTTCTGATGATTCATGGAGTTTTTTTTGGGTGAGTATAGTAATGGGGATATAACTAGCAATCATGGGGGGATTTCAGCAGTAACAATGGGATAGTATTGGGGATATTTAATGGCATATCAAATAATAGCTTGATATGTTTTGCCTGGGTGTGTCCGAAAATGGAGGATTTATTTACACTTTAGCCTATGATAATTCTCTTTGGAAAATTAGGCTTAGAACATGTTGAACATTTGACACCTTTAAATTTGGGGTATCCTATTTTCAGACAAACCCATATGGAGTATTTCTGGCGTATGATATATGATATAGCACCAAACATGGATACCATGCGTGACCAACAGTGGGAGAATCAAATCTGGGGGATGCCATTCACCGACTGAGACGGTGAACATAGACGTCCCGAACCCGACAGTCGTTAGATGAAAATCCAGAGGTACCTTTTCCACCTTTTTTCAAAAGGCAAACCATGTGAACTGGTACACCAAATTGGGTTCGTCCGATGGGAAACTCTCACTGACGAATTGATGCTGGATGGAGATGGAGATGGAACTGGTCAAGATGGCGCCTGTCGTCAGATGTTGAAACATATGGTGATAGTGCCGCTGCTCTGCCATTTCTGGGGGGATGACATGAGGGACCTGAACCTTTGACCAGAAGTACATGCCCCAAAGTGAGAGATGCTATTCCTGACCATCACTAAGTTGGTACCCAGAGTGAAAAAAGGACATATCCTTGACGCAGTGAGGAAAAAAAACTGGACCACTGGTTCTTCGAAATCCCCAAGGCAGCAGGCGTGTTGATCCATCCCCAGATCTTTCGAGACGCAGTGAGGCTGTTGATCAATTGCCTCTTCCGCTCCTTGAAGCAGTGCCACGGCCGCAGGTGGTCGGAGTCCAACTGCTGTGGCAGACAGGGGTTGGAAGACTAGTGAAACCACTCAAAATGGGTGATTTTCAGGGTCCAACTGTGAATTTACCAGAGGGTAACGGTTTCAAAAATAGCCCAGTTTTTTCATACGGGTCTTTCTCTGGTACCCAGTTAGGACATTCCTTATTCTTCGTGAAATTGGGGATGATCCTCCAAACAGAGGGGCACGAGCTGAGAGTTTTGGGCTAAAACCACACCAGATTCGAACCAACAAACAGGCACCTCATGCAGGTTGCCAGAAACTGGCGATTCAGCCCCCGCAGAGAAAACCACACCAGGTGTGGCACAAACCAGGGTTACCCTCCGGTAAGAAACATGACAATGGGACATTCCTCATTTACAGTTCAACGATTCTCCCAGTAAACCCTCTTCTATGGGATTTTCCAGCTAGGAGGGTGCGGCAGTTTGCAACTTCCAAATTGGATCCACGTCTATACCCCAAGAGACTGCTATTTTTCATAGGGGATGATTTTAGGGCTACCCCATTCTCAGACAAAGCCGAAATCAAAATTGCCAGAGGGTAGTTGTTGGTCGATTTCCCCACAGATTTCCGCATGTTTGATTTCTTGATGCCCTGGTAAATCCCGTGTAGTCCCACCTATACCGCTTGCTCTCATGGTTCGTCATGCAATGATCCCTTTCCGTCAGTAGGACAGATGGTTTTTCTATGAAAACAGAATGGGGATTCGATTTCCCAGAGGTATGTTCAGCTTAAATGGAAAATAATGAGGTTTCCTGAAATGGGGGGGACCCCCCAAATCATCCATTTTCATAGGATTCGCCATCGAATACTGGATGGTAAAACATGGTAAACCCCCGATTTCACCCAAAGATCTGGATGGTTTCAGATCCTCCTGGCTTTGTGTAGTGGGCGATTTTTTATGATAGAATGAAGACCTAGTCAATCCTAGTCATTTGCGCCAACTTAGCCTTGGGTTCTTCGGCCGATTCCACAGTTTGAAACCTGGAAATGGGGAACCATCGAAGTACAATCCTGGTTTCACCGGCATAACAGGGGGGTTGCATCCCGTTATCCGTGATTGATTGTTACCAGGCTAGCTATGCAATTAAATTTGATTTAGAATATCTATTGAGCCCACTATCCCATAATAAAAATGGTTATTCGCTATGATTTGCTTTGCAACATATGATATTGTTGGTTAAAGATATGATTCTGTATGTATGTATGTATGTATATATATATATTATCCTATTATAATCCCATCATATCCCAATTTTCCTCGATTGAATTCCCACTTCTTCAGCGTAACAAATCGTCACAAAAAAACGTCTGACTACATCACCGGACCCTTCTATACATATAACTCATATTAATATAACCGGATTATATATAACATCATGTTTATGGTTATTTCACCTTAAAATTCATCCCATTTATGTCATCATGGTGAGGTTTTCCAGCCCATTAAACCGAGGTTTCTGTGGTCCGCGCTGTTACTCCTCCTGGCCATTTATGTGGTGGCCATCTACATCACCCAGGTGGGACTGCGATGGGTTTGGTGTAGTGAAGCTTCACCATGGGAATGGAATATTCCCAGCATGGGACGAACCATGGATCAACTACACCACAGATTCAGATCGTAGGACCCATGCCGACCCATGCCCATTTTTGACACGGGAGACCAAGGAAAACGGCTGTTTAATTTTCATAAACAACCCAAGGAAAACTCAGACAAAGCGAACAAAAATAAGAAACAGCACACATGTTATAGCCTAAAAGGACAGAGGGTTCAACCCGGAAAACCATGGCCTTTTAGGTGCTTTCAGTTGACTGAAAGCACCTATCGTATAGATATTTGTAGCCATATATCTATGTAGAGATATAGTATAGTAGATTATATATTCATATGGTATTGTATATATATATACACATAATGTTATTGTGTATATATATATATTATAATATAGATATTATAATATACGTATAGGTATATATATATATATAACTTGAGATATGCTCAAAACAAGCAACTGGTTCATCACTGTAGCCATAACCAAGACACACGAGGCTGCAACGGCGTATCGCTTGGAGAATATCAATGGGGAGCAGGTGGGAAAGGGCCCGGCCCGTGAGAATCCATGGCTTTTTGTATCAGAAATGATGGAAATGATCTGCCAATATTGGCGGGTTCTCTATACTAAACATTGATTATATAGAAAACTTGATGGATACAAGAGAGACATGTATAATAGATTAACAGGTATAGAGGATAACTATCATTTCTATACTGGTTATGATGTGATTTATATTGATTTATGGTATTACTATGTATTACTAGACTTGTGGATGTAGTTTACTTGAGGGGATAGTACTGCATATTATACTAGTATGATTATGATGATACTTGGGAGCCACTAGATCTCGACATCTCGGAAAACCAACTTGAACACGTACTAAGCGGTCAAACATCTTGTTTTGAAGGGAGGTTTAAGGCGTGGAAAGCGGCTGGTTTAAGCAAGATGAACATGGGATTCAAGCAAGAACTTGCTTGCCTCAGTTGATGCATATCCGAGTGCGAGAAACACTTGGAGATATTGGGCAAACCGAACCCAAAAAATTGCGCTCAAACTTTGTATTCTGGGAAATTTGGAGGGTCCCAGATTTTGGGATACCCTCTGGATCCCTTTGGTAACAGTTTGCCAGTTTGCAAACTGGAAAATTGCCCATTTACTTCGATGCTTTTCCTGCCAAACATGGTGAACATCAGGGTAATGAATATCCGTCCTATTTGAAGGATCAGCGTTTGATGATAATGATGAAACCGATGAAGAATACTTTTATTTCCACTATTACCACTAAGTCTACATTATCCCATATTCTTATTATCTTACTATTGATATTGACATTGTAGTTGCAAGAGCTATTATTGTTTTTCCTATCATTATTATAAATATAAATATTATATATATCACTATTATTACATCACTATTATCAATGATATTGCTATTCTAAGAACGTCATTCTTGACATCTTGCTGACCTTTTTCCATCTTGCTGCGTTGGTAATCGTTGAAAGGCAGGGTTTTCTGTGGTTGCTACGCAAGCGTTGCGGTTTTTTGCGACCGCTTTCAGGTCCCGGTGATGTTGAAATGGTGGGGCTCCATGCCTCAAAGCGTCCTGTCCCTGTTCCAGGCGTGGGATTTTCGTGTGTTTTCAGGGGACGATCATGGGATTTTCACCGTGGGTTCATAATGGTTTTTATGGGACCATGATTTCCACCATTTTCCCGATTATCCCATGAAGATTTCGCATTAAGCATGATTATCCCATTCAATAGCCTATATATCATGGGACTAGCTGGGAAATGCCCGCACGAAATGAAGGCTTCGTTCGCGAAAATCATCGAACTAAAATTGGAGATTTTCCAGCCACGTTTGGCCGCCGGAGGATATCAATGGATTGTAAAGGCAACAATAATAAATGAATAAATAAATATATATATATATACGGCAAATGCCTGGGTTTTGCCCGGACCCGCAATGACGACGGGCGACGCATCATCATCATCATCATCATCATCATCATCATCAACATCATCAACATCATCATCATCATCATGATCATCAACAGCATCATCATCATCATCATCATCATCATCACGGGGGTGGGAGTTTAATATTCCCTAATATCTTTGTTGATCTTCCCAATTGCATGTAAAGTTTAACGGGGGTGGGAGTTTAATATTCCCTAATATCTTTGTTGATCTTCCTAATTGCATGTAAAGTTTAACGGGGGTGGGAGTTTAATATTCCCTAATATCTTTGTTGATCTTCCCAATTGCATGTAAAGTTTAACGGGGGTGGGAGTTTAATATTCCCTAATATCCTTGTTGATCTTCCCAATTGAATGTAAAGTTTAACGGGGGTGGGAGTTTAATATTCCCTAATATCTTTGTTGATCTTCCCAATTGCATGTAAAGTTTAACGGGGGTGGGAGTTTAATATTCCCTATATCCTTGTTGAAATTTTCCTTCCCAATTGAAATGTAAAGTTTAACGGGGTCGGGTTTAATATTCCCTAATAACCCCATCTTTGTTGATCCTTTCCCCAGTTGCATGTAAATGGTTAACGGGGGTATGGAGTTTTAAGTTTCCCCTAGTACCTTTGTTGTTTTTCCCATAGGAATTTTAACGGGGGTGGGAGTTTAATATTCCCTAATATCTTTGTTGATCTTCCTAATTGAATTTTAATTTTCACGATTTGAGAGTTTAAAATTTGCTAGTACCTTTGTTGTTTTTTCCATAGGAATTGCAGGTGTTATGCCGTTTTTGTTTTTCCCATAGGAATTTCGGGTGTTTTGACCTTGTTTGTTTGATAGTCTCTAGTACCTGTGTTTTTATTCCCATAGGAATTACGGTAATTTGCAACATCATTTGTTCGTGAATGGGACATATATACGCTGCAACGCCTGGGCAGAACCCAGGCGTTGCGCGTATATATATATATATATAGGTATACATATGATGGCTATATATATATATATATTATTCTATAATATATATATGTATATATATATATGTATACATATGCCAGCCATTCGGGGGCGATTTTTACCAACAATGTTAGGGAACAGAATGCCATTGGGGGATTTGCTCAAAAAAAAACATGGCTGGATTCCGATGGTGGACCTCAAGTGTTTCCAGGGGTGTATGACATATGAATCATCTGGTTACATCTGCTGAAAAATCCTATGAAAACATCCATGAAATCACCATTTTGTGGTCCCATATCACCATGTTCATGGGGTGAACATCAGCCAACTGTTTTTTTTTTTTTTCGGGGGCCTACATTGCTAGAATCACCGCTTCAGGTCTGAATTTTAGTGGGCAACCAAAGGTGAAAGGAGGTCTCCTGTAAACTTTTACAGGTCGATGTGGTGTTTACTGGGTGTTTCGTCCCTCTTAGGACCCGTGGTTCACGACCTGCGTGGATTAGATGTGGATTAGATGTAGATTGACCCTACTTATCCCACTTATAACTGAGGTTATAAGCCACTAAGTGGGATGAGCCACCAGGTACCCACCATGAATGTAGATAATTTTCCGGACGGGGGAGCAGTTTACCCTGGCCCAACTATTTTCTTAAACCCTGAGGCGTCTCAAGGGCTACATCTCGGATCTCTAGACCCTGGGATGAGACGTTGATCTTCAATATCTTCAACGTAATCCCCAAAAAGATGCCGAAAAGTGTGGTTTCCAGGATAATTTGATGAGATATTTAGCTCAAAAATAGCTCAAGAATTTCAAGGGAAATTCTAGCTTTTCCAGTTGTGTTCTTTTTGGAGTTTTTCTAAAAGTAGCTGCCACAACCACCGTCCTATTGGGTTTGTTTGACCCATTACTAAGCACTAAGCCATTGCTAAAGCCTTAAATTACCATTAAATCACCATGAAATCAGCATTAAATCAGGGTTAAATCCCCATTCCACCGCTTCATCCCGCATCTTTTCCGCCTCGAAAGCTCGTCATTGGCAGGGTGTGACGGGTGGGGTGGACTGGCACCAGATCGCAGATCCCTTGATCGATGGCATCAGCCCTTGGCTCCTTGGATCTCCTTGGCTCTCGGTCGATGGGAAAATTCATGGAGCCGGAGCTTTGTAGTTTAATGCTGGTTTATAGTGGTTGAATAACGGGTTTAATGCTGGTTAATATCATGGTTGAATAATGTGGGTAAAACAATGCCATGTTTACCCCCAGTCATCACCATTTTTATAGGTGGGATTTGGTTACCCTTCCCAGTCATGGGTGGTTTATGACATTGTTTTACCCACATGTTTTTTTCTTTACACGGGGTATCTAAGATTAGCCATGGCAAGAAATTTCAGAACGGATTGACTCAGGGTTTCTTGGCAGGTTTGGATCAATCTAGATTGAGGGAACCAGATAATTTTTTTGAGCGGTGTATAGTATTCAACCCTCCGCTGTTTGGTGGCAAGTTTTTGACACCGCCTCAATAAACTCCATTGGCCAATTCCAAGAATGGATTTCAGGAATATTCTACATGACACCAGACAGAAATATTTTTTTTGCGTGATTTCACCATGGAAAATCGGCAGATTTTGCATTCAACCAACCCAACATTGACAACGAGCAGTGACAACAAAAGATCTGGCATCGGGGCAGGTCGACCATGTTTAGGAAGCTAAGTTGGATCATTGTAGTTCTACCCATGTCCTTATCCGCTTACCTTCTAGACAAGGTGTTGGTCTCCTGTTCATGGTAAAACCACATCAAAACCAAGGTTTGTCATTTACCAAACCATTTTAAATGAACTATCCTTTTATATCACCTGCATAAAAACCTTACCCACTTCATAAGTATTGGCTATATCATGCTATACAAGATGATTCCTCCTTTACCAACAGTAACAGACTGTTGTTGATTGTGGGCTACATAACCTTCGCAGAGTATTAAACCATAGAAAACCATTTCGATTATATGATGTCCGTTTAAGTCATAAAATCACAATTGTGTTTAGTTGAAATTATATCAACACCTCCAAGCATTGTTGAGACAACCACTGTTATATTAGGTGATGATGTTATCATTTATCGACATGTAAATTGAAACCATCGTTGATGTTCACCTCAAGCCAAGGTTTTCCAACGGGTCATTCGTCTCAAACATTTCCCTGCCAATCAAACCTTTGAAAACAACCTTTGAGATAAGACTAGATCAGATTTCTGAATGAAATCCATACTGACCCAGATTCAAATCGGTTAAACAACATATCCATATCATATCCATATCATATCCATATCATATCCATATCATATGCATATCATATCCATATCATTCCACATTCCCTAAAGGTGCTTTCTGACCGATCCTTGATGCTGTGCTCAGGTTTGGTCTCCTCTTCATCGTCTTTATGGCCTTTTGTATTTTGGCCTTGCTCAACGTCATCACAGGCGAGAAATCGCAAAGGGGTGTGGAGTTATGAATCGAGGGGCCACTGCTGGCGGTGGGCCATATTATAATAGAAGGGATTACTGCTGGCTTTTCACTGCTGGCATTTTGCTTGTTAGTTTTTGGTTGCTCGACTTTTGGAAGTTCTCAATCTGATATGATTTTCCAATTGGATTTGTCGGAATAACCTGTGGCCCTGTGGCCTAGATGCCTCGCGTCTCTGGTGCCAGAACTCTCCACGCTGCTCTGTTTTGAACCAAGAATCAACGTGGGATTTTCCAACTTTTCGATGCCAGAGCATCTCCTGGCCCTATCGGGGCCCGGTGAACCACTGACACTGGGAGGGTGAAGGTTTTGCCGTCCTAGCGATGGGATTTGCTCCAAGAATTGGTTTTGAAAAAACAACACTTCCAAAGCTAAAATAGGGATATATATATATATATATATAATGACAATGATAATGATATGTATATATATATATAGATATTTGTAGCTGAAAAATGATGGCTGATGATTGGGGTTTGAATTTTGATGCTTCAGGGTACGTTTCCTCCAAATCGATCCAGTCCTTGAGCGGAAACCCTGATCTGACAGCACATCTGAAACTTCACCAAGGGCTACTCCAGTCATCACACGTTGGGACAATTTCCAATTTCTTTCACCATTTCTGGGCAATTGGAAAATCACCATTTGCAGATGATTTCCCGACATTTGCAGGGAAAACCCATATTTCTGGGTAGCTTTTCCCTCAACATACTCCATTGAAGCTTCGGCCAGGCTTACTTCACCATCATTTCAAATTGTAGTCAAATTTATTCAAATCTCACAGAATGCCCTCATCATGCTCCAATTCTTACCGGGGGTTATATATAGTACACCCATTATCCCAAGGGTTACTTGAATCGGCAGGCACCTTCGTTGAGACGATGAGCCAGCAAGCAAAGGACTGGAAAAAAAATCGGCGCACGGGGCACAATCGATAGTTTTGGACGGTTTTTAAGACTGAATATCAACACATAGAACTGCAATAATATGAGACTTATGAGACTTACCCTCTGGTAAACTCAGCTATGGAAAATAAGGGAAAACCACCATCTTTGATAGGGACATGAACTATTTCTATGGGCCATTTTCCCGTTTTCAAACTGTTAATCATTACCAGAGGCTAAATCCCATATCATCCCATGAAATTCACCATTGTCAACCATAGAAAATCACCATTTTCCTAGTGGCTCACCATTTTCCGATGGTTTTCCAGGAGCTTCAGCTGCGGAATCGCATCTATCAGGCGTTCCATGGATGTTTGTGGGGACATTTCTGGCTTTCCATAGTCATGGTATCCCAAAAATGGATGGTTTATGACTGGAAAATCCCAATCTAATAGCTGGATGAGAACAGTTTGTTTCATGGAAAATCCCAATCTAAAATGGATGAGAACTGGGGGAAACCACCATTAACCACTATTTGCAGGGAATATTTGGATAAATCCACCATCATTTATAATGGATGATTTGGGGGAACCCCGATTTTCAGAAACCCCTCATATTTTTTTCGGGATGAACATCAATCCAGCTGTCTTGTGATGTGAACATGAGGGAATCGCGGGGAGCAAAGACCCGCGTTTGAGGTGAAAAAGTCATGGCCATAGAAGTTGCGAGTCATGAGAATTCAGCTGCTAATTCATAACCTAGGTCTCTGAGTCCACTCAGTGCGGTTATATACACATGATATGTATATGTGTATATACACATAACTAGATTTAGAAATAAAATTAATTAAACTAAAGCTAGGTTTTGCCATATGTTAGATCTAACTATGAGATTAAACCTATGTTTCAATAAAACCTAGTTAGATTCTATACCACATTGATGCTAGGTTTTAATCTCATCTAACTCCAGCTACTGAGGGTCGAATCATGGTGGGTTCTGTTGACCGGTTGAACCGGTTGTTAGCTCCATAGAACCCAGGTTACTACGTGGCAGAATCCTCTTTAAGTGCATTCCCTCCGACGCACATACGTATTATGTACATATATATATAAGGGCTGCCGCCCCTGCCGCCGACCCCGGAAAAGAATAAGTAAAGGTTCTCTTGCCGAAGTAAACATTCGTAAGGTTCCGCATGTTTTGCGGACCATGCAACTGTTCGAGAAAGTGAAACAATATCTGGCAAAATATACCTGATGCAGATGACTTATAGGCCTTGAGCAGGTGCCGCAATGTTCCAATTTGATCAAGGGCTGGTGAAACAGGCAAAAGTGATGAGACAGTTGACATGAAGCTTGCTCTGAACGATTCTGTTGCCTGCAGCTGCTGGCAGTACTGCTGGCAGTAGAACAACTTCGAAAAAAAGCTGCTGCCGGCAGGAAAACACCATGGCTCTGAAGAACGAGCGAGTACCAAAATCACGTTAAAAAACTCCCTCATGTGTCGTCTGAAATCTCCTAGAAAAACAACCTTTTTCAAGACTGGTGGCAGTAGAACAGCTTCGAAAAAAAGCAGCTAGCGGCAGGCAGTAGAACAGCCTCGAAAAAAAGTAGCTGCCAGCAGGAAAACACCATGGCTCTGAAGAACGAGCGAGTGCCAAAACCACGTTAAAAAATTCCCTAACGTGTCGTCTGAAAGCCTAGAAACACAACGTGTTTCGAGACTGCTGGCAGTAGAACGGCTTCGAAAAAAAGCAGTTGCCGGCAGGCAGTAGAACAGCTTCGAAAAAAAGTAGCTGCCGGCAGGAAAACACCATAGCTCTGAAGGACGAGCGAGTGCCAAAACCACGTTCAAAAACTCCATAACGCGTCGTCTGAAATCTCCTAGAAAAACAACCTTTTTCGAGACTGCTGGCAGTAGAACAACTTCGAAAATCGAAAAAAAGCAGTTGCCGGCAGGCAGTAGAACAACTTCGAAAAAAAGTATCCGAGAAAAACAGCGTTTTTCGCGAGATCGAGAGATTCTGTTGCCAGCCGCAACTGGCAGTAAAACAGCTTCGAAAAAAGCTGAAATCCTAGAAAAGACACCTTTTTGGCGAGATTCTGTTGCCTGCAGCTGCTGGCAGGACTGCTGGCAGTAGAACAACTTCGAAAAAAAGCAGCTGCCGGCAGGAAAACACCATGGCTCTGAAGGACGAGCGAGTGCCAAAACCACGTTAAAAAACTCCCTAACGTGTCGTCTGAAATCTCCTAGAGAAACAACCTTTTTCGAGACTGCTAGCAGTGGAACAGCTTCGAAAAAAAGCAGCTACCGGCAAGCAGTAGAACAGCTTCGAAAAAAAGTAGCTGCCGGCAGGAAAACACCATGGCTCTGAAGGACGAGCGAGTGCCAAAACCACGTTAAAAAAATTCCCTAACGTGTCATCTGAAATCTCCTAGACAAACAACCTTTTTCGAGACTGCTGGCAGTAGAACAGCTTCGAAAATCAATCGAAAAAAAGCAATTGCCGGCAGGCAGTAGAACAGCGTCGAAAAAAAGTAGCCTAGAGTCCGAGAAAAACAGCGTTTTTCGAGAGATCGAGAGATTCTGTTGCCAGCCGCAACTGGCAGTAAAACAGCTTCGAAAAAAGTTGAAATCCTAGAAAAGACATCTTTTTGGCGAGATTCTGTTGCCTGCAGCTGCTGGCAGTACTGCTAGCAGTAGAACAACTTCGAAAAAAAGCAGCTGCCGGCAGGAAAACGCCATGGCTCTGAAGGACGAGCGAGTGCGAAAACCACGTTAAAAAACTCCCTAACGTGTCGTCTGAAATCTCCTAGAAAAACAACCTTTTTCGAGACTGCTGGCAGTAGAACAGCTTCGAAAAAAAGCAGCTCCCGGCAGGCAGTAGAACAGCTTCGAAAAAAAGTAGCTGCCGGCAGGAAACCACCATGGCTCCGAAGGACGAGCGAGTGCCAAAATCACGTTAAAAAACTCCCTAACGTGTCGTCTGAAATCTCCTAGAAAAACAACCTTTTTCGAGACTGCTGACAGTGGACAGCTTCGAAAAAATCGAAAAAAAGCAGTTGCCGGCAGGCAGGAGAACAGCTTCGAAAAAAAGTATCCTAGAATCCTAGAAAAACAGCGTTTTTCGAGAGATCGAGAGATTCTGTTGCCAGCCGCAACTGGCAGTAAAACACCTTCGAAAAAAGCTGAAATCCTAGAAAAGAAACCTTTTTGACGAGATTCTGTTGCCTGCAGCTGCTGGCAGTACTGCTAACAGTAGAACAACTTCGAAAAAAAGCAGCTGCCGGCAGGAAAACACCATAGCTCTGAAGAACGAGCGAGTGCGAAAACCACGTGAAAAAACTCCCTAACGTGTCGTCTAAAATCCTAGAAAAACAACCTTTTTCAAGACTGCTGACAATAGAACAGCTTCGAAAAAAAGCAGCTGCCGGCAGGCAGTAGAACAGCTTCGAAAAAAAGTAGCTGCCGGCAGGAAAACACCATGGCTCTGAAGGACGAGCGAGTGCCAAAACCACGTTAAAAAACTCCCTAACGTGTCGTCTGAAATCCTAGAAAAACAACATTTTTCGAGACTGCTGGCAGTAGAACAGCTTCGAAAAAAAGCAGTTGCCGGCAGGCAGTACCTAACGTGTCGTCTGAAATCTCCTAGAAAAACAGCCTTTTTCGAGACTGCTGATGCTGACAGTAGAACACCATCGAAATCAAAAAAAGCGGCTGCCGGCAGGAAACGTCCCGCCTGAAATCCTAGAAAAATAACATTTTTATCCCTGTGATCATTTTCTCTACAAAATAATGAGGTGCTGACACCTCTCGAGCCAGTGCAGGGTCACCAGTTCAAACCCCAACTTTGTCTACAAAATAGAGGATTGAGCATCGTATTTAAAAAAAAAAATGCATTTTGAAAGACCCCATTTTGCTCGGCAATGATTTTGTAGAGGCCATTTTTGGCATTGTTGTGTCATGTTTTGATGAGAGTAGATTGGATGGACTTCTATTTTGTAGAGGTGGTGGTGGATGTTTGGCATGCTTGGTTTTGTATTTTGTAGAGGCCCCATTCATGTCTATTTTTTGTGTATGATTTGCGCCTTTCCTCGCCGCAATGTGAGGGGTCAATGGTTTGGCAGTAACAGTTTCGTCAATACTTCAAGGTGGATTCTCTACAAAATACAAGTCTGAACATACCCCACAAAGCCTGTTTTGGGCACTTTCGAGCCTTGGAAGGGGCAACTTTTTTTCCAATCTATTTTGTAGACAGCCCTTATTTGGTGGTTTTTAGTGATCTTTGTTTTGTATTTTGTAGTGGGCAGCCATTTTGGGTTCCCTAGACTTGTATTTTGTAGTGCATTTGGAGCCATTCTCCTGGATGGATTTGTATTCTGTAGACCCCTTTTCTCTACAAAATCACCTGTCAGCACCTTCTCCCGAAATGAGCAAGGGGATACCTTTTTCGAGAGGCAGTAGAACAGTGTCGAAAAAAAGTATCCTAGAATCCTAGAAAAACAGCGTTTTTCGAGAGATCGAGAGATTCTGTTGCCAGCCGCAACTGGCAGTAAAACAGCTTCGAAAAAAGCTGAAATCCTAGAAAAGAAACCTTTTTGACGAGATTCTATTGCCTGCAGCTGCTGGCAGTACTGCTGACAGTAGAACAACTTCGAAAAAAAGCAGCTGCCGGCAGGAAAACACCATGGCTCTGAAGAACGAGCGAGTGCCAAAACCACGTGAAAAAACTCCCTAACGTGTCGTCTGAAATCCTAGAAAAACAACCTTTTTCAAGACTGCTGGCAGTAGAACAGCTTCGAAAAAAAGCAGCTACTGGCAGGAAAACAGCTTCGAAAAAAGCTGAAATCCTAGAAAAGAAACCTTTTTGACGAGATTCTGTTGCCTGCAGCTGCTGGCAGTACTGCTGACAGTAGAACAACGTCGAAAAAAAGCAGCTGCCGGCAGGAAAACACCATGGCTCTGAAGAACGAGCGAGTGCCAAAACCACGTGAAAAAACTCCCTAACGTGTCGTCTGAAATCCTAGAAAAACTTTTTCAAGACTGCTGGCAGTAGAACAGCTGTCGTCAGCTTCGAAATCCTAGAAAACGAGCAAAAACGTTTTTCAAATCCTAGAAAAACTGCTGGCAGTAGAACAGCTTCTTCGAGAGATTCGGTTGCCTGCGGCTGCTTGCAATCAAACAGCTTCGACAAAATCACCTTCCGGCAGGAAAACACCATGGCTCTGCAGGACGAGCTAGTTCCAAAACCATGCGAAAAAACTGCCAAACGTCCCGTCTGCAATCCTAGAAAAACAACCTTTTTCGAGAGATTCTGTTGCCTGCAGCTGCTGGCAGGAAAACGCCATGGCTCTGAAGGACGAGCGAGTACGAAAACCACGTTAAAAAACTCCCTAACGTGTCGTCTGAAATCTCCTAGAAAAACAACCTTTTTCGAGACTGCTGGCAGTAGAACAGCTTCGAAAAAAAGCAGCTACCGGCAGGCAGTAGAACAGCTTCGAAAAAAAGTAGCTGCCGGCAGGAAAACACCATGGCTCCGAAGGACGAGCGAGTGCCAAAATCACGTTAAAAAACTCCCTAACGTGTCGTCCGAAATCCTAGAAAAACAACCTTTTTCAAGACTGCTGACAATAGAACAGCTTCGAAAAAAAGCAGCTGTCGGCAGGCAGTAGAACAGCTTCGAAAAAAAGTAGCTGCTGGCAGGAAAACACAATGGCTCTGAAGGACGAGCGAGTGCCAAAACCACGTTAAAAACTCCCTAACGTGTCGTCTGAAATCCTAGAAAAGAAACGTCCCGCCTGAAATCCTAGAAAAATAACCTTTTTCGAGAGGCAGTAGAACAGTGTCGAAAAAAAGTATCCTAGAATCCTAGAAAAACAGCGTTTTTCGAGAGATCGAGAGATTCTGTTGCCAGCCGCAACTGGCAGTAAAACAGCTTCGAAAAAAGCTGAAATCCTAGAAAAGAAACCTTTTTGACGAGATTCTATTGCCTGCAGCTGCTGGCAGTACTGCTGACAGTAGAACAACTTCGAAAAAAAGCAGCTGCCGGCAGGAAAACACCATGGCTCTGAAGAACGAGCGAGTGCCAAAACCACGTGAAAAAACTCCCTAACGTGTCGTCTGAAATCCTAGAAAAACAACCTTTTTCAAGACTTCTGGCAGTAGAACAGCTTCGAAAAAAAGCAGCTACTGGCAGGAAAACAGCTTCGAAAAAAGCTGAAATCCTAGAAAAGAAACCTTTTTGACGAGATTCTGTTGCCTGCAGCTGCTGGCAGTACTGCTGACAGTAGAACAACGTCGAAAAAAAGCAGCTGCCGGCAGGAAAACACCATGGCTCTGAAGAACGAGCGAGTGCCAAAACCACGTGAAAAAACTCCCTAACGTGTCGTCTGAAATCCTAGAAAAACAACCTTTTTCAAGACTGCTGGCAGTAGAACAGCTTCCAAAAAAAAGCAGCTGCCGGCAGGCAGTAGAACAGCTTCGAAAAAAAGTAGCTGCCGGCATGAAAACACCATAGCTCTGAAGAACTTGCGAGTGCCAAAACCACGTGAAAAAATTCCCTAACGTGTCGTCTGAAATCCTAGAAAAACAACGTTTTTCAAGACTGCTGGCAGTAGAACAGCTTCTTCGAGAGAATCGGTTGCCTGCGGCTGCTTGCAATCAAACAGCTTCGACAAAATCACCTTCCGGCAGGAAAACACCATGGCTCTGCAGGACGAGCTAGTTCCAAAACCATGCGAAAAAACTGCCAAACGTCCCGTCTGCAATCCTAGAAAAACAACCTTTTTCGAGAGATTCTGTTGCCTGCAGCTGCCGGCAGGAAAACGCCATGGCTCTGAAGGACGAGCGAGTACGAAAACCACGTTACAAAACTCCCTAACGTGTCGTCTGAAATCTCCTAGAAAAACAACCTTTTTCGAGACTGCTGGCAGTAGAACAGCTTCGAAAAAAAGCAGCTACCGGCAGGCAGTAGAACAGCTTCGAAAAAAAGTAGCTGCCGGCAGGAAAACACCATGGCTCCGAAGGACGAGCGAGTGCCAAAATCACGTTAAAAAACTCCCTAATGCGTCGTCTGAAATCCTAGAAAAACAACCTTTTTCAAGACTGCTGACAATAGAACAGCTTCGAAAAAAAGCAGCTGTCGGCAGGCAGTAGAACAGCTTCGAAAAAAAGTAGCTGCCGGCAGGAAAACACCATGGCTCTGAAGGACGAGCGAGTGCCAAAATCACGTTAAAAAGCTCCCTAACGTGTCGTCTGAAATCCTAGAAAAACAACATTTTTCGAAGCTGCTGACAATAGAACAGCTTCGAAAAAAAGCAGCTGTCGGCAGGCAGTAGAACAGCTTCGAAAAAAAGTAGCTGCCGGCAGGAAAACACCATGGCTCCGAAGGACGAGCGAGTGCCAAAATCACGTTAAAAAACTCCCTAACGTGTCGTCTGAAATCGTAGAAAAACAACCTTTTTCAAGACTGCTGACAATAGAACAGCTTCGAAAAAAAGCAGCTGTCGGCAGGCAGTAGAACAGCTTCGAAAAAAAGTAGCTGCCGGCAGGAAAACACCATGGCTCTGAAGGACGAGCGAGTGCCAGAACCACGCCAAAAAAGTCCCTAACGTGTCGTCTGAAATCCTAGAAAAATCTAGATTTTTTGGTACGCTGCTGGCTACTGCAGCCGCTGGCTGCTACTGGTGTCGTCTGGCACCCTAGAAAAAATCCATTTTTCGATAGATTCTGTTGCTGGCGGCTGCTAGCAGTAAAACAGGTTCGAAAAAATCACCTCCCAGGGGAGAAAACACCAGGGCTCTGAAGGACGAGCGAGTGCCAGAACCACGCCAAAAAAGTCCCTAACGTGTCGTCTGAAATCCTATCCTAGAAAAATCTAGATTTTTTGGGACGCTGCTGGCTACTGGCCGCTGGCTGCTACTGGCGCTGGCTGCTAGCTACTGGCTAAGTGCACCTTTTGCGTGCTCTTGCCCACGTTCTTGACACCCATTGGTGCCATCCTAGAAAAACACAATTTTTCGTGCTGCCTAACGTCCCGTCTGAAATCCTAGAGAATCCTATATCCTATAGAAAATCCTACATCTAGATCTAGATCCTAGTTCGGGAATCCTAGCTTCGTGCCCAAAACGTAACACATGAACCCAAAAAAAAAGCGGGCGGGAAGGGCAACCCAAGGAGCCCCACGTACTTCGAGGAGACTCCGGGAAGGACCCCCCACCGGTGAAACAAAACCCCCGGAGTCAAGGAATCGAGGTACGTGACCGGTGGGAGGGGGACCCAAGAGAGTCCCCCGGCAAAGGGTCATGGTTATTGTTGTTCGTTGTTGTTTCTTGTTGTTTGGTGTTGTTTGTTATTGTTGTTTGTTGTTGTTTGGGTTTATGTTTGTCTTTGTGGTTGTTGTTGTTCTTGTTCTTGTTTGTTCTTCTTCTTGTTGTTGTTGTTGTTTGTTGAAATCCTAGAGAATCCTATATCCTATAGAAAATCCTAGATCTAGATCTAGATCCTAGTTCGGGAATCCTAGCTGGGCCAGCTGTTTCGGCCGAATCCCCCAGAATCTCCTAAACAATATTATAGCTGGGCCCGCTGTTTCGAAACGGTTCCGAAACAGCAAAACACCACCTAATTTCGTGCCCAAAACGTAACACATGAACCAAAAAAAAAAGCGGGCGGGAAGGGCAACCCAAGGAGCCCCACGTACTTCGAGGAGACTCCGGGAAGGACCCCCCACCGGTGAAACAAAAACCCCGGAGTGTGGGAATCGAGGTACGTGACCGGTGGGAGGGGGACCCAAGAGAGTCCCCCGGCAAAGGGTCATGGTTATTGTTGTTCGTTGTTGTTTCTTGTTGTTTGTTGTTGTTTGGTGTTGTTTGTTATTGTTGTTTGTTGTTGTTTGGGTTTATGTTTGTCTTTGTGGTTGTTGTTGTTCTTGTTCTTGTTTGTTCTTCTTGTTGTTGCTGTTGTTGTTGTTGTTGTTGTTGTTGTTGTTATTGTTGTTGTCGTTGTTGTTATTGTTGTCGTCGTTGTTGTTGTTGTTGTTGTTGTTGTTGTTGTTGTTGTTGTTATTGTTGTTGTTGTTATTGTTGTTGTGGTTGTTGTTCTTGTTATTGTTCTTCTTGTTGTTGTTGTTGTTGTTGTCGTCGTTGTTGTTGTTGTCGTCATTGTTGTTGTTGTTGTTGTTGTTGTGTAGTACCATTTTCCCAAGAGAAGTCCTTTTCTTCCATCTTCTTCCCTTACGCGCTCCCCCTTGCGTCTGCCGGGGTCGGCGGATATTATATATATATATATACATCGAGCTCACAAAATGCTGCTGCCGCTGATGAAGAGTCACAAATCTTTTTCCCTGGCGCGCTCCCCCTTGCTGCCAGCCGGGGTCGGCGGATATATAATATACATATATATATATATTGGCTTTGTGGGAGGATGAGCACACTGAGTTCTTGCAGCGAAGAGCGACTTTGGCCACAACACCCATTGAGTTGTCACAGTTCCTGCACATTGAGTATACACACACACATATATATATATATATATCCAATTCATAACTAGCATACTTCAGACATTCCTCGCAAACCCAGTGACTCACTGCACTTCATCATCATTGTTATCATCATTGTCATAATTGTCATCATTGTCATCATCATTGTCGTCGTCGTCATCATCATCATCATCATGCTTTGTTATTAATTCATTTATGAGCAAAATAAAAAGACTAAGAATAATTACTATTGTTATATTATGACTGTAATGATTAGGATTATGACTTATGACTATTATTACAACGTCTCCTACTACTGCTACTATTATTACTACTATCTATGATTATTACTACTAATACTACTACTGCTACTAAGCTACTACTATTACTATTGTTATCTATAATTTACTACTACTACTACTACTAATAATACTAATAATAATTTACTAATAATTATGCAGTATTGCTTCTCCCCAGCACCACAAAGTTGTGCTCCCTTCGCCCAGCGCCGACCCCGATGGCCATGCCAGCTGGCCATTCGTAGCATTCCATTCGAAGCAACTTGGTAATAAATATATGATACCCCAGTTATAAATGGAATATATCTATTATAACATACACACACATATATATATATATACATAATTATACATATATGGAATATCTAGCGCCTTTTTTTTGTTCGGGAACTCTCCAAGTTCCACACCTTTCACCGGGCCAGGCGCGGCGGCTCTTTAAGGAGATCGACATCGATCGCTCGGGCTTCATCTCGCCGGATGAGATCCTGGGGCAGACGGACACCCCGGCGGTGTCGCTGGGCGATGACTGGGGGACTGGGGGACTGGGGGATGGTGCAACCAGATGATTGGGGGATGAATAGAAAATAATAGAAATCTAGATATATTGGGGGATTTATCTATAAAAATCTGGTGCAACTAGATAGATTTATTGCGGATTTTGTCAATCTGAAGAAAATATGGTTGCACCATGATCAGATTTTGTAAACTGAATCTATAGAATCTATGAATAGATTTTCGCAACCAGATGGATTCCCATGAAAACTGAATAGATTCTGTAGATTCACAAAAAGGAGTTCACTAAAATTGAATCTACTGTGAGATATAGTGTAACCAATATGTAACGAAAACCATGAACTAACTATTCTAGGAACGATTGACTCAGTAAAAACGGCATTTTTTTTGGAGGCCAAGGCATTCTTTCATTGGGATCCATCCCGAAGAACATTTCTGTGCCAGACCCAACAAAGAAATACAAAGAACCATCACAAGAAGCAAGGTCCATAGAACCACTCCAAATCAAATGCTGCGCTCAGATTAATGTTTTGAGACGTGCACACCAGCTGGAGTGTACCATGGTTTCTGCCGATCCGATAAATCCTTTTTTTACACCTAGTAAGTGGCAAACCCAATAGTAAACCCCAAATTTTGAGTATGATTATTTACGAAATTCTGGTAAGCCCTTGGGATTTTATGATTTTTAGTACCACATTATATCACAGCATTATGTTGAAACATCCACCATTGAGTATGTCGAAAAATATACCATAAACCCAACAGTGAAACTGGAGTTATGTTTACCAACGTAGCTAATGCCTTCTCCCGTTCATATTAAACACCCCCTAAACGAAACCATGGTGGATGTAGGGAGTTTCCACATTCCATTGGGACCATAGAAATGGGGTGTTTAATATTGGGGTGATGGGATTACCCAAGTGTAGAATTTTTATATCCCAATTTTCAGGACTAAATCTCCAAGTCTTTCAAAGGTGGTCCCTAGTAATAGCTCCTATCCGCCCTCAGCAGCCCGTATTTTTTGGTCTCGAGGCAAGAATTCTTCGAGACCATCGATGTAGACCCCTCTGACGCCAAGGGACTGTTGGAGGTCATCGATATTGACGGCAATGGCAAGGCGGGGGTTTGGGGGAGGAATTGGATGAATCGAATGGAAAGAAATGCTGACTTATGTGATTTCTGAAGTGATTCTTGATGAAAGATCATGGATGATACTGGATATATATATATATATATGTATATAGACAGTACACACACATATATATATATACATATGTACATACAATATATATATATATGCTGATTTGGAAAGGGAACATAATCTTTTTTCTTTTGACAGTATTTTTTTTGGTCGCTTTCCAGTTGTGCTTGAACTCTTTCTGGCAAGCCTGGCAATGGACAAGGTAATCTAACCATTGTAGGAGGATTCACTGTACCCAAAGATAGGGATTTTCTATTGCCAAGTTCAATGGTGATTTCAGGATCCTAAAATAGAGGTACTGTACCATTTTTCAGGCCATATTTTGTGGGGATGTTCCCTTACATAGGCCTTATATATGGTAGGTACCTTCAATTTCGGTTCCTGAAATGGCCATTGACAAGTTAGGCTGAGCAATGTGTCTGCTGGACAATGTGTAATTCATGACCGCTTTGACAACGATAACCACCCCAACTACATCAGCAAACATGGCACAGACAAAAGCTACACTGATAGCCTTGGTTGTTATACAGCTGCAACGTGGCAAACCTTACAAAAACATCCAATTCTTTCCATAATGTCCATAGAAGAGCCTACATTTTGAACTTGAGCATGACGACTTATTGCGTTTACCACTTGAAGTACACCCCTTCTGGCAATGGACACTTCCCTATTGATAGATCATACTTTTCCCATTTCAATGCTCATCTTTCTGGGCCATTTCCGGCATGTTTCATTCGAGTTTTTTTTGGAAACAGCGACAAACGTCGATGCTGCAACCCAAGGGGACGATCAGCTGACCCCCAATTTTGGCAAACAACATCAGCTACTGGCAGTAAAAAACCCGTTTTTTCTTTGGCTATTTAAGCACTATTATCTACTGCGTTTCCATAGTCAAAATGACCACATTTGGATTTACTCGGCATAAAATGGTATCATGTTTGTTCAGTGGGTGTGTCTAAAATAGGGTCTACTTCCACCATTTCAACGGGGAACATGATGATGACACCACTCGGGTTTTTCAGGGTTTTCCGGTACATATTCAGACAAATACAACATGGGGCATTGTCACCTAATATCAATGATGTGTTTATTGTTTGCATCTCTCTCTTTCTCTATGTATATATAATATATATATATACACCGTATCTCATGATATCACCATAGTATTCCCATGTTGGTTGGCTGATGTTCGTTAGTCATCAAATTCTACCCACCATATTCCCACAAGATCTTAATTTTCAATCGTTAAATCACATTTTCCCACGCTTTCACATCATTCTTCCACCGGCACTTTTTGTCGCCAGATCAACTTCGAAGAGTTCTTGGAAGGTGCCGCAATTTCTGTGTATCAGCAACCAAAAAGACGCATAAATCCATCTTTTTTTATGGCAATTTTCATGGGGAACATGATGATAAGCACTGATAAACCATCACATTTGGTTTGTTTTGCCTGCAACATTTTCATGTCGCATTTTCAGGATTTTCCGGAAAAAATGATAGTTTATCATCATGTTATCCACGAACATGTCACGTCTTATAGATAATTGATGGTTTATCATATAGATCCAGTTCTTTCCTTTGGCGAGCTTGCGACTTGGAAAGGCGGGAAAGGTATGCTGTTCCAGTTAGCAACTTGAAAGTGTGATGAAGCCGATCTGAACAGATTTCGAGGGAGACTTTGTTGTTGTTGTTGCTGCTGTGGCTGCTGTTGTTGTTGTTGTTGCTGTTGTTCTTCTTCTTCCTCCTGTTCTTGTTGTTCCTCTTGTTGTTGGTGTTCCTGTTGTTGTTGGTCGTGCTTTTTTTTCCTCCAGTTTCTGGAATGTATTGACTGTATTGATGACAATGATAAACTATGACAGAACTAAGATGCTCAAACCAGGGATCATCTTGCAACCAGTGAGTGAAACCCATGTACTGAACATACGTGCCATGGTCAAAACATAGGTGGATGCGCCCATATTTGGGGATGGTCATCCATCCGTTAAGTGGGATTTATCGACTCATTGTAAGGATTCCCATTATCAAAAAAGATGACCATACCACATACAACTCAAATATCACATATCGACCATGTCACATATCCATTATATCCCCATACTCCCTTAGCCACGAAGGAACGACCTTCATGAATAGATCCAGAGCCAGGGATCTCGTGAGGCTGTTCTGTTGATGAAGCTACATACATATAAGTTCGACTTCAAGAATTGTCATAGAAACTGACCTTCAACAAATATGGCATGTCGCTTCAACATGATAATATCTAGATGATTCAACTTCAAATTATCTTTCACATATATATATACATACACTTCCACTTAGATTATCACTTAATAAGATACACTAAGTCACTAACTCAACTTTTACCCAACCTTTTCCCAGCGACGGCCAGGCTCCTTGCGCTTGAATGGCAGCGCCAAGTCCTCGGATCTCATCATGTTGGCGCGCGAGATGAAACGCTTCCAGGCGAGGGAAGCGATTTGGAAGGGAAGTTGGATCTCAATGGAACAAACTATGGTTTATATATGGGTATGGGTCAAAACCTACTAATCATGTAGTATAAAGGATGACCATCAACCTTGAGGTTCACTGGGGGTACAGGGTTTTGACCCATCATCATATGGAGAATATATGGTTTACAAATGGTATTATGACTTACAGTTCGCCATGGAAAGATCCACCATGCTATTAATAGGTGAACCATCTATTTCTATGGGCCATTTTCCATGGCTATGTTAAATAACCAGAGGGTATATATGGTTTACATATGGATAATATATGGTTTATATATGGTTTCACCATAGAATATCAATGAAACATAGAAGTGGCTGAATTCTATGGTTTATGATATAACTACGTACAGTTGATGGGGGTTATCATGGTTGATACACAATATAGGGGTTTCCATACATGGGGTAATATATATGGTTAATATATGGTTTGTATATATATATATATGGTTTATATATATGGTTTGTATATGGATCGTATATCCATTGATGATTGTTAATATATCATATAGTTGGATTATTGAACAACACACAATTTTCAACAGTTTTTTGGTGGTTTTATGGTAGTTTAACTATAAACATATAAACATATGGGGAAACAAGTGATAAGTATATAGTGGTTGATAGGTTTCCATAGTCATGGGGGTACCCAATAGCTGGATGGTTTGTAAGGGAAAATCCCCATCTAGAAATGGATGATAACTAGGGGTTTTCCCATTTATGGAAACCCCCATATGAAACCAGAAACCCATAGGGAACATATGGTAGTTGCTGGTAAGATACTGCAACTCTTTTCTTTTTTTTTTTCTGTTTTCGAAGATGGAGATTGAGAGGTCTTTCAGAGACCAAAGTTCTGCAAATGACGTGTAGAAACCGAGGGATTGAAAGATGATACGTGCGAAGTTGCTGCAACTTAGCCTCTGGGTTTCGACCTTTTTTTTGAACGCCCAAATCGTTCACCGGCGCCAGTGAGACACTCTGGCCGTAGGATGGGTATCAAATGGGATAGGATAACATAAATAACATAAATAGAGATACAAAAAAGCCATGGTTCTGGCATGAATTTCTGTGGATGTCAAGTGCATTTTGGATGGCTTTTCTTCCTGGAAGAAAGACTTGAGATCATCCCATCAATCCCTTGAAACACAATCTCTTTGAGTCCGCCTGGCTTAGTCATTTAAAAAATCCCTGGATTTTTTGCAAATTGGCATGTTTTTTGGGAAAGGAGGAACTTCGACCATTTTCATCTAACCATTTTCTTATTTTCTTGGAATTTTCATAGTCTTTTTGGGAAAGGAGTTGCTATAACCTTTCGCCTCTGCAAGTCTGGGAATTTCACCGGAAAAAAAAAACGCCAGGCGAATCAACTGAAAGAGCTCGCAGCGATCAAAGCAGCGCTTAGCCTTCACGGCCAGGGTTAGCCACAGATCCAGGGATTGGAGAGTCAGGAACAGCATGGTCAGGATATGATAGGGATATATTCCAGATATATTCCAGATATATTCCATATATATTCCATTTTTTTTCAGCCAAAATGAGGGGATATAGATTTTTTTTGGGGCATTACTTAGCTATGACTCGTGATGACAGACAATTTTTTTTGGTCCATGGGATTCATTTGCTTAGGAAGTTCAGTGGATCTCTAAGTAACTAAGCCTGGTTAGGAAGTTTAATGGGTGAACTAGCCTCTGGTAAACGTTTACATAACGAACTGGAAAATCACCATTTTAGATTTTTAACGGGAAAACTCACTATTTCTATGGCCATGTTCAATAGCTATGTTAAATTACCAGAGGGTAACCTGAGTCAACTACAACTCACTCGTTGGATGGACTGCTCACGCCCTGAGAAAAAGGAGGGGCTTTTTGAGAAAGTGGTGATTTATCTAAGAAGACTAGAGATTTAACAACCACACATGAGAATTGATCGTTGAACTATGATAACTGATAGCTGTTTTAGGAGGTTAACTACTATTTATAGTGGATATACTGCTGGGGTGAACATCAACCACTCAACGCTTCGTCTACGCGCTCGTCACAGTGGGATGATGAAATGTGGTTCAACGAAAATCTGGATTCGCGACGACTGGGCGCCAGATGAAAAAAGACAGTTAGATGAGTTGGATGTACCCTCTGGTAAACTAACATAACTATGGAAATCACCATTTTTAATGGGAAAACTCACTATAAATGGCCATGTTCAATAGCTATGTTAGTTTACCAGAGGGTACCCCAGTTGGCCCCAGTTATATGATTTCAGTTGGTTATGAACACATGCAATCTGTGGATCCCCGCTGTTCGCTGGGCGCACTGGAGATGGAAAGCACAGGGGTTTGGCACAGCCTTGGTCGGTGCCCCCGTTCGTGCCAGCGTTCAGGACTGGTGCGTTTAGAACTCCAATTTCACTATGGGATTTATAGGTGATATATCTATAGTTTTCATGGGTTTATAACCAATACTCTACTTACCCTACTGATGGAGGTTGGAAAAAAAACCGACTTGATCAGCAACAGCCTTTTCGTTGTGAAGGGCTACGCCCCTGATGCACGGCGCATGCCGGCAGCGTCTCCAAATGATTCTTCTCTTCGTGTCGAACGTGACGTGATCGGCGGAGAATGGGGTCGAAGGAGAACTTCTGAGAACAGCCGTGTTTCCGTGTTGGGTTCTATGGACTTTGCAAATGGTGTGGCTAAAACCGTGCTGAAGTGGCGTCTATAATCAATCTACGCCACGTGACATATTATACACGCATTCTATACTGGTTAGTGGTTTGGAACAGCTTTTATTTTTCCATATAATTATTGGGAATAATAATCCAAACTGACTAATATTTTTCAGAGCGACTGAAACCACCAACCAGTATATATATATTATTATTTTATTTATTGATTAATTTATTTATTTGCAGGGCGTCTAAGAATGACAATCATTGCTGGAATATTATGATCACATATGATCACTTTTTCTCCCAGCTATGGGGTTAGAGAGATATCCCAGCATTAGCGCATTGTGAGCTGGGTGATTTGGGTCCCGAGAATTTAGGTCCCAAGTTACCCCCAGGATGGTTGCCCCCCAGTTAAAAGTTGGTTTATAAACCCCATTAACTAGATATATATATATATCACCTATAAACCATAGTGAAATTGGAGTCATAAAGCAACTTAGCTATCGAACGGGTGCACCACCTTGCCGCTAACTTGGACAATGGGGTGTATTTTTACATGGCTGATTTGAACAAAAACACAACGTCACGTCGCGACATCACGTGGTCTTTAAGATGGTTGGGATTGGGGTAACTCTCTGAGAATGCAGGAAATCCACTGCAAATGAGTGGGGTTTCCCTACATTGTAAGACACACCCATGTATGTGTATATACATATATAATATAATATATATATATTTATCTGGGTAAATTATAACGACCTCACTGCGACCTCTCTGGAATCATAGTTAATAAGGGGAATCATCCCCAAATGGCCTTAATTCAGGTCCGTAGCCATTTTGGCTCAAGAATGAGTCAGATTGACGAAGAAGAACAGAGAATAGAGGAAACAGTTGAAAGTTCCCAAGGGAGGCCCATTCCCATCAATCACCATCTTGCCAGCGAGCTATTCATCTCCCTCACGCTTTTGGGTTTCGAGATGGGCACTCAAATGCCAACAGAGACTCTGCCAAAGGCACCCACCACTGAGGTCTTGGCCAAGGCAATGGAGGGGGAAGGGTCAGGACAAGTGGCAAAACAATTCGTACAGCAGTTCAAAGGGGCACCACAAGTACCCTTGATTGCTCAAGAAGCTACTCAGCACCCTCCCAAATCAGGAGCTGCTGAGAGTGTCGAGGCAGCACTAAGTGATGGTCAACAACAGAGCCAAGGGGGTGGTGTCATTCAACAACAAGCCCCGGCACCGTTGCCAAAGCAGCAAGCTCCAGCAATGGGGAGCCCTTTCAGTGCACTGGTTCCACCCCCGGAAAAGAGTGCCCCTGCGCCATATGCAAGTGGGTTTATTGAACAGCAGCAACAAGCCCAAGTTGCATACCTCCACCATCAGCATGTCCAGGCAGTGAAGGCAGCAGCGAGCTTGTGTGTCCAACCTGCTGCAACGCCACCAGGGCAGGTTATGGGGGTGGAATACTATGGTCTCAACAACCAAGGCCCCCAAGAATTTGACCAAAGTTCGGAGCTCACACAACCTGCAGAAGACATAGGGTCCATCCACGCAAAGCTTGACAACTTGATCGCTGCTGTCACATATTCCAGTGATGCGAAACAAAGCAGGTTCGATCAGTTGCAGGCAGGCCAGCAGGACTCGACTGACACACTAGTCACGACAACCGCAACGCTGGCAGCAATGAGCGGCGTCTCGGCACTGAGCATGGAAGGCGGTTCGTCTTACGCCAAGGCATTGGGGATGATGCCACAAGGGGCCGAGGTTCCTATTCAGTTAACGCCGCATGGATACGCCATCGCTACTAAAGCTGGACATTGACCCTCAAGCTTACAGTTTTGGAGCAGCTACGGCCAGTTTTCGGGACTGCATTTCAATGATCCAAACACTCTTACAACATGACATACTTCCTACACTGAAACCACGGAAAGTCAAGTCACTGCGGTTGCTTGGCTCCACAGAATCCAAGCAAGGAATAGTGTACAGGCCAGAGATGTGGCGACAGCGAGAAACACTGGAGATGATCCAACAATACTGCCAGCAAGACGGGACCAAGACCAGCTTTTCAACTTGGCCAGCAGTCCCGAAATTAGCACCATGTATAGAACCTAGATTTGGCGAGCTACCTGGAGATACCCAGGAGGCTAAGCAAAGACGCTACAAGGAGCGTCGATGGCACATTCGGCAATCCCAGTGATGTTTTTGGTGCTATTCAGAATCTGAAGTTTTTCTTGTTGTTTTGATTATTTTGTTGCTGACTCTTGGCTCATTTCCAGCCGGGATTGCTGGATGTTGCCTCGCGTGACCCTGACCCAGTCGCTTCTTGGCTTTCGCAGGGGCGCGGCTGGGTGTCCGAAACAAGTGGAGTGGCCTTAATTCAGGTTAGTGAAATATTATAATTTACCCACATATATATATATATGTATATATAATGTATCCAAATACTATGGAGATTATGAACCCACACTGGACGCTGGTCGATCGATTTGGAGGGAGTAACCGAAAAATCCAAGATTTCTATGTTTCCCGCATACATGGGTTTGTCTGAAAATTGGGGAAAAAAATGGCTATTGAATGTAGGGAATATGGGTCATGAGGCTCGGTGGCCATTTTGGGCAAACTTTTTTGATGTCATTAAAACATCATAGCCAATTTTCCCTTTGGTGATCAAACGTGGCAATGGACAATTCACCATTGGTTCAATATTTTTCCTACCGAACGAAACTTGAATTTATTAGCAATTATATCAACTATGATCAGCCATTATGGTATCTTCACAATACATTGAGGGTATCCAATGATATAAGGCTATCAAATGATATGATTGTGTTCACATAAAAAAAACAACATTTATCATTTATAGATGATTACATCCATTTGGGGGTTTCCATAAATGGGGGCACCCCTAGTTATCATCCATTTCTAGATGGGGATTTTCCCTTACAAACCATCCAGCTATTGGGGTACCCCTATTTATGGAAGCCTATCAACCAGGATTTATCACTTGTTTCCCCAAATTTTTATAGTTAAACTACCATAAAACCTCCAAACAACTGGTGAACATGGTGTATTTTTCATGTATCGTTGGTTATATCGCCATTACCCCATTCAGAATTGCCCATGATCAAACGCTAGATTGACTGGGTCCAATTTGGGGATGCAGCTGGGATGCAGTGGAAAAATCCCATCTAGAAATGGATGATAACTGGGGTCCATTTCAGGAAACCTCCATATATTAAAGTTTACGGTACTGTAATATATATATATATGTCAACATGTGTTTTTTGATAGTTATGCCGCTATGTTTCTTTAAGTTTTATTGAATTATTGAGTTACACACGTCTCAACGTGTTTCGGATGGTGCCCTTGATCCGCAGCCAGATGAGAAGTCCTGAAGTAAAGCAGCGATGTGGAAAAGCCATTGGAATATGATCTACAAATTGTTGGCTTTCCATATCTTTCCTGTATGTTTTCTAGATTGTAACTAATAATTAATGATCACGGCAAATTCAAACGATCTCAGAAGCTCCGGAACCTCCAGTTGAGCACCAAATGGTGTCAGACTGCCCGCGAAAAATCCATCAAGCAAGCAAGATCCTGCAAAGATCAGAGCCGATGACGAGCATTCATTTTGGCCGTTGAAACCATTTTTTTGGTAGATTTACCATCTGGTTATTTAACATAGCCATGGAAGCCATGACTGGTGCAGGTGCCGGGTCAGGTTCAACGAGGTTCCGGAGAAGGGTCCGAAGGTTCCGGAGAAGGTGTGGGAGGCTTTGGTGCAGAGCCAGGTCACGTTCAACAGGGTTCCGGAGAAGGTTGGGGAGAAGGTTCCGGGGAGGCGTTGGTGCAGAGCCAGGTCACCGGGTTCCGGAGAAGGCCCTGGGAGGCTTTGGTGCGTTGCCAGGTCAGGTTCAACAGGGTTCCAAGGTTCCGGAGAAGGTCTGGGAGCCTTCGGTGCAGCCGGTCAGTTTCCCGGAGAAGGTCTGGGAGGCTTTGGTGCAGAGCCAGGTCAAGTTCAACAGGGTTCCGGAGAACCAGGAAGTGTGGGTGCAAAGCCAAGTCAGGTTCGGTTCCGAAGACGGCCTGGCAGGGAGATTTGGTGCAGGTTCAGCAGGGTTTAGGAGAAGTTTCCGGAGAAGGTCTGGGAGGCTTTGCTGCAGAGCCTGGTTGGGTTCAACGAAGGTCTGGGAGGCTTTGGCGCAACGCCGGGTCAGGTTCAACAGGGTTCCGGAGAAGGTTCCGGAGAAGGTCTGGGAGGCTTTGGTGCAGAGCCAGGTCAAGTTAAACAGGGTTCCGGAGAAGGGTTCCGGAGAAGGTTTCGGAGAAGGCTCCAGGAAGCCTTGGTGCAAAGCCAAGTCAGGTTCAACGGGGTCCGGAGAAGGTTGCAGAGCAGGTCGCAGAGAAGGTTTTGGGAATCTTTGGTGCAGGGCCAGGTCAGGACAGGGTTTCCAGCGCAGGGTTTCCAGCGCTTGGCTTCGCAGCACGCTTCAGAAAGATTTGTAAAATTAAAACCGTTGCGGCTGTTGGGGATACCACCTATTAAAAATGGTGATTCTCCAGTTCGCCACGTTAAATAACCAGAGGGTACCAGCAAAAATGGGGCATCTTTGTTTCCCGTAGACCATGTACTGGGGGCGGCTTTCCATTGTCGGCAGTTCGGCAAGGTGAAGGCCCCAGCTTCGGCAAGGGTTGGATATATGGACGTGCCAATTTTTGCTGGTCAAATTCAATAGAATGCGAAACAAATTCAGAAAATGCCAGGTCAATTCCAATGTTTGCTGGTCAAATTCCAAACTGTTCTAGGTAAATTCCACTTCTTGCTGATCAAACAATAGCTGGTCAAGTTCCAGCGCTAGTTAACTTCCCAAACATGCTAGCTGCTAGCTAAATTTCACTAGAATTGCCAGCGATTTCCTACCTGTCTATCCAATTTCTGGTGCGCAGTCATGGTTCTGGTCGCAGTTGTCGAGGTCTTGACTTGCTGCGTCCTGCCGTCTCAAAGGGACGACAGACTCATATGAGCAAGTTAAACATGTAAACAAAATGGGATATTAACTGAATCCATGGAATCTCCACTGGGAAAATCTACTGGAAATCTCTAGGGACTCTAGACATGAATAGCACGTGAAGATTGCCGGGTTGAACATGAACCATCAAAAAATGTGGGTAAACCTGCATGAATGGAGGTTTTATCATCAACATGGGGGTTTGACCAACACAATTTGGGGAGTTCACCAACAAACCGATAGGTAATTTAAACATTAACAGGGTTGCTCCAACCTATTGTAGGTAGACACATGATTCCGCAAGGGGGGGAAACCCTCTCGTATCTGGGATGTCGGGATTGCTCCCTGAGGCCCTGACGATTTATCCACCAAAATTATGGGATTTAATCAAGAACAAATTGGGCATATCATATAGTTGATATATATATATATAATACACGGTATGGGGAAGTATGGTAACCATTGGAGGGATATTTTTTTAAAGGATCCTTAAAAAACAAATCGCAACGAGTTTTGCGCCAACCCTGGTTGCTTGGTTGGAAGCCCCCTTCTTGTGGAGGTTGTGGGATGATCCCGGAAGTTTTCGCCGCCAAATGCTTACGGCTAAGCGGCTAGAAGTTGGTTGTGGGAGTATTTACCTTCTGGTAATTTAACATGACATACATGACTATTGAAAATGGCCATTTATAGCTGATATACCATGAAAACAATGTGATTTCCCATAGTTATGTTAGTTTACCAGAGGGTACCAACAATGATAGATGTATTAGGGGTATTTGCCACGATAATGGTACAGTTAGAGTATAGAGGTAAAGAGGTAAAATATACAGAGGATATCCAATCTTGGGCAAGCCAGATGATACGATGATAGATGGGATTGGGGGTTATAAACCAGCACTCGATATGATAGGTGGACAAACCGAGAGTCAATGGGAAAATAGACGACCCACTGAATAACTCTAGGGGTTTGACCAACATGAGGGGCATCATCAAAATGATGATTTTGGACTCCACCAAAATAGGACCTTGCTTTGCCCAAACAAGGAGGAGACCCCAAAAAAACCATTGCCATTTTGATGGGGAAACGATGTGCGCACCGCGGCTCTTCAAGGTTCCAAAGGATGGCGAAAGAATACCCACCAGGGGAATATACCATCCCGTCTGTCCTGTTTGGCAAATGAGCCAATTCGGGATCTTTTGATCAATCCATCCCAGGTTTGCAAGAAATGGGGGATCCAGAAATATCCCCCAAGATAGGTGATCCCCACTACATACATATCTTTATTTCAAGTAAATCAAAGTTAGGTGCAGCTTTTCCCACATTTTTCCATCGTTGCGCAGCTGGTCCGACCCACTGTCGCATGTCAGCCATGGTAAACGACTGGCAGAATCTCTCAGCATTGATCAGGCGCTGCTGTCATGGAGTAGGAGCGTATGTGATGATACGCGTAGAATCTGATGAATGGAACTGGAGAATAGGCTCTGGTAAATCACCATTAATCACCATTAAAATTCTCCATTAAAAACCATTAAAATCATCAATGGTCATTTTGAATGGTCATCACAAAAAACCATAGAAAATCACCATAATCACCCTTCAAAAAGCAATGGATAAATCAACTTTTGGGCAACGAGACGACACCAAGGTCGGTCCTGAGAGGTGATCGGTGATCGGTGAAACCATGGATCTTCCAATTTTTGGGACATTCCGGTGTCAGTTTTCCCTTGAACCAATGGATTGATTGAAAATCCATTGAACATCGTATTTTTTTTTCACATCTGAATTTACTGGAGGGTAATCGTCTTCCAAGGACTTGACACACTTGCAGCTACTCCAAAATCCTCTTGGGCTTTGCCCCGTTATCTTGCAGGTTTTCATGAATCACCATAGAGGAAACCCCATTATGGTTTAAGCTTTTCTATAGGTCTTGATGGATTGCGCGTATCATAGGTTCAACGGTTTGCCAGAGGCGATGTATCGTTCTTATTGTTGTTTATGTTGGCAAATTACCATTTTAGCTAGGTGAATTATGATGAATTTTACCCACGCAGATAGGTTTAATTAATGGCTCTAATTATCATCCTCACATAATAGTAGTATTATCATTGCTGATGTGCATGTTGCGGATGTTAAAAAAACCTTCCCGAATGTTAATATTGTTGAAGTGGATATTCAAATATTAGTCATATTAGCTATTGGTTATTCTCACTGATGTTACACTCAGGTAAACTAACACAACTATGGAAAATCACTCAATTTTCAGTGGCTAAATCCACTATAAACGGTTCATTTTCCATAGTTACGTTAGTTTACCAGAGGATAATCCTTTATCGCCATTTCTAGGCTAAGACCTCCATCTGCGCAGGTGTCAGTTCATTGAGCTCCGCGAACAGCTTGTGCAAGACCTGTCGCAGGACGACTGTCACGTCAACGATATGGGGATGAAAGCAACGGAATCGGATTTCACGACATGGTTTTTCTAATGGGGATGGTTTTTCTCAAAATACCATGGTTTTTTTGATCTGGTTTTTTACTACATGAAATACTATTGATGGTTTTTCTAGGTCTAGGTGATTATATTTTTTTTTGAGAAAGTTGATGCAATAACTCAATACGTTTCAATATATATATATATACATAATCTTTCATGTTTGGCTTTATGATATATCCAATGAGTCAAGGGGATGAACAGCCAAACATCGGCACCTTGTAGGGATCAGAATCCCGCTGGGTCCATGGAGTTTCCACTGTTGTTGATGTGTTTCACCATGTATCCATCAATGAAACACCCAACCAACAGTTGCACTACATACCAAAAAAAAGATCCAAGAAGAATAAGAATACATGTGTTGTTGAGTTCTTCTTGTCATGTTCTGTCATGGTACATAGTTCAAAACAATAATTTAACCGTTTTGTCAGCCCAGACCACACCATTAGTTTTGGCATATGCCATGTGCAGATAGAGTCGATAAATTGCATACGTACCTAGCAGTATGAATGTATCTCTCTGTAATTACATAACACAATATAAACTGGCTCTATATACCATGTTTACATATTTTGACCATGTCCCATCATCACCACAACTATGGTTCTATAGACAACATAAGTAAGAATTATGGGTAATGTTTGGAACTCTTTATACCACTGCTTATGAATACATTCTATATACAATAATATCATAAACATTGATGTAATACAGTTCAATGGGAATCTCAGATCACTAAAATTGAGGTACTGCAACATATAAGGCTACATTTTGTGTGGATATTCCCTTGCAAAGGGATCAGTACTTCCAATTTAGGCACCTGAAACATTCGCTGAACAATTCTGAAAAAATAACTAGTATCATGACCATTTATGTACCACAATTCTAGTATGATTACCATATCATTACCAGTACAGTATAGTAGTATCACGAGTCCTTTTACCATTTATCCACATCATTTATCAAACATGTTTGCGCTAGTATCATAATCATTTATGTACATTGATAGGGCTATCAATACTAGGGTTGAAGGTTGAATGCAATAAAAGTTGATAGCTATCAATACCAGGCTTGAATATAATTAATGAAAGTTGATGATGGTTTTCGCAACCCTCAAAAGATGCCGCTGCCGCCGTCAAATCCGTCAGGAGCTGCGCGCGCTGCTGGGTGCCCGACCACCTGAGCGCCTCAGCGCGCAGAGCGCGGAGAGTGCCTTCAGCCGACGCGAGACCGGTCCGAGCGGCGAGGAATCCGTGTACAGCGAAGGAGCACCTGGTGGTGGGGTGGATGATGTGGGTGTGTCTGAAAATAGTGTACCCCTAAACCCACTGGTTAATGATCATTATCCCTATTAAATGGCTATAATTGGGAATATACCCTATTTTCAGACAAACCCATGTAGCAGTGGGAATTGGTGGACGATGACGATCGTTGAAAGCATGGGTCATGGGTAAGCCCATGGTATCAGACACAGCATTGAGCATTTCACCGTTTTCACCGATGATTTGGGACCGGTCAATTGTAGGATTGTGATGAAAAAGTAGCCCCAAAAGAGATTTGAGAGAAGAGGTTTACTTCGGCATCATTTTTAGGAGGGTTTTACATGGTTTTACTTTCAGGCATCTTTTTTTTGGGTGTTTCGACAGATGGATGGGATCCCTAAATCAGGTGTTTCGTGTTTTGTGGTTGGTGGTCGGGGATTGATTGCCAAAGCTGCAGCCAGCCAATCCGCCCCAACATCCGATGTGGGTCAAAATTGCATAACCCCAAAGTTACCACATAGTTTCATACGCAAAAAATGGGCCAACTTGTAGAGTTTGATCCTAAAAACGACCTTTTTTGTTGTGGGACCTTTGGTACCCCACTTGACACACTAAATTTACCACAGTTCACCTAGAAATCCCCCCAATTTGATAGTTACATCTCCATGTTGGTTAAGGCCCTGATGTCTTTCATCGGGGTTCCGACGTGCCTCGGTAGGAGAACATTCTCACCATCATGATTCGCAGGCTGGGGGACTTGTGGGCAAACTTCGGGTTTTTGGGGTCGTTGTAGCCAGGCAGTATTGGTTATAGTATCAGTATATATATATATAATTTTTTGTGTGTCTGAAAAGATTGAAAAGGGTTAGTATACTCCCCTAATAATCCACCTTAAATCGCAATTTTGATAGGCAAGATGATTGTAAACTTGTGAACCATGGGTACCAAATTTTCAGATAGACCCAACTGAGCAGTTTCAAGGCCGTTGGTTGGTTGATGTTTTGTTCAAGGCTTGTATAGTCAACAGGCATCAACGAGCTATGTATTCACGCTGATTGTTGCTTATCATAAGGGATTATTAAGGGGTTCTCATAGAATGGGTTCTTAATCTGATCAAGTTTTGTAAGTTTTGAACTTGTTGCTCCGAAAAAATGAGATAATTTACAGCACCAAAATGCTTGACTAGTTGGATCACCATGCCTGGCCGCGCGCTTTTTTTTGATTGCATACGATTCATCATTTTTTCCAGTTCGAATATATATATAATATACTTCACTGGGGAACACGCCACCAATCATGAGGATTTAACCAACAAATACCGGGGAAACACATCTTGACGAAGGGTTTTTGGCGATGGGATACTCTTATAGTAATTTTCACATGAAACACATCCATCATATTCAGGGGATTTTTGCTTTGAGTATAGTAACATACAGTAATTATGCTCAGAAAATGGTCAGCAGCTCTCCGATGCACTTGGACATTGGATATACGCAGGACTTCGGGCAGATCCACACAGGATTTAGGTTAGGCTTGCAGCAAAACATGAACAAAACCACGAATAGATTCTACGTAAGCAGTTCGTATTAGCCATCAGTGTTAACATATATTAATCATCAATGTTAACATATATTAACCGTTAATATACTATTTAAATCCATTGTTTCAGCCATTTTCCATGCCATGGAAACCATAGCCAAACCTATCCGGGTGGTTTTTCCCGTTGGTCAAGCTTCGGCCACCGAGGAGTGCCATGACTGGCTGAAACGCCATCGGAAGTCCTTCCTCTCCTCGAAGATTGTGGCCATGCTGGAGGCGTGTAGGGCCTCGCCGGGCGTCCGGGGAATCCACCAGTACCGTTTTTTGTTTTTTTTTGGAAGCGAATCTTAAGCGAATCCGTTAGATAATAGGGATAATAGGGATAATAGGGTCTATATATATATATTTACATGTATATATATATGTATGTATGTATATGGATATATATATATGTTTTTAACCAACTGATAATGACATCATATTGGGATATATCTATCCCATATGATGATTGGATGGTGTTCTCAGTTTTCAGTTTTTACTCAGTTTTTTTTTGGACAAAAGGACAATCATGGGGAATCATGGGGATGTTTAATGGGAGATATACAGAAATCTACCCTCTGGTCCCACTGGTCAACGTTTACATAGCTATGGAAAATCACCATTTTTAATAGGTAAATCAACTATTTCTATAGGCCATTTTCAATAGCTATGTTAAATTACCAGAGGGTATCACTTGATATGATATTAAAGTATTAAAGTATGCCGAGAATGGTTAGTATGCATGTGGCATGGACTTGAGTTTTTTTGAATGGAGGATTTTTCACCAACCAAATTGGGATAGTCAGACAACCATGAACATATAGTGAGACATTTGACACACGATATGACAAATGTGGGTGTCTGAAAACGCCAGTATAGCTGCTAGTATACCCGCACGGCGCAAGTTAATGGGGAACATGATCAACAGGATTTTGGGTTTTCACTGTAGCCTATCTTCAGCAAATCCGTTTTTCAGTCCTTAAACAATGACTGGTTGGTGGTTTCAAACATGAATGGATTATTTTCCATATATGGGATGTCATCCGAAACCCATTGACGAACTCCATCATTTTCCAGAGGGGTGATGGTTGCCCCCACCAACCAGTTATGGTTTAATCATCCATTTATAAGCCATGGATCCCCTATGGTAAACAAACAAACATAGCTATGTTTCAAGATGGGCACATTGAAGCACCAATGAGGGATGTTCCAGCAAGCCATGTTTGGAGGGTAGGTGATTCACACCATTTTCTAAGCCTGGTTTAGATAAGTCCACCAAGTGACTGTAGTTGATATGCTTGACACCTGCTTAAAAGCATGGTACAACTACATGGGCAGTGGGTCCAATTTTTTCGCACCTCTAAGATACTAAGCACATTTCTACACGAGTTGGTTTTGGATGATCCTCCAATTCAAGTGTTCAGGCACACACAATATCAAACTATATATCAAGCTATATATATAATTATATATAGAGTTATATATTATATGCCCCATAAGATGATCTGCCTATTATTATCCGATTATTACTGGTATATCCTCATCATCATCCCACTTGATTGGTTATACATGGTTATACTAAGCACTTAGCTGAACCCATGTTTCATCCCAAAGTGATCGTCACCTTCGCCGTTTTTGACGATCTTGCAGGCCTTAACTCAGATCATGATAGCTATGGGTATCAACCACTTACTCATAGTCACCCCCGAAATACGAACCAAAATTCGATGCCTCTTGGGCCGTTCCAGGATGATAGGATGGTTGAGAAATTTTACCACATTATGAGAGGTCCAACTTGTTGGCTTCTATTTTCGGGTAAAGTAAAAGCCTACTAAAATGCTACTAAAACAGTGGTAAGTTTTACTTGTCTGATCTTTTCTGTCTATTTTGGAGGGTTACTCTATCCATGATTCCCACTATTCCCACGATACTCCCATGATATCTCCTCATTTTTTTTCTACGGGGTCCATGTTCCATTATATATAATATTCCATGAAATTCCCATTATCCCGTTATATCAAAATATATACATACACATATTCCATTTTATTTCCATGATATTCCCACTAGATTCTCATTATCCCAAGATCAAGTCCACCAAACTCTGGGTAGATAGATATATAATTATATATATATATCCCACTATGTTTCCATGAAATCAGCCGTTGTTTCAAACGTTTCCTGGTAGGACGAGGAGCGGACGCACGGCATGATGGTGAACCTGCCCAGCTTGGCCGAGCGGGAGCATCGGGTGCATCCTGCCACTGGTTCTGAAACGAGCTGGGAGCTGGTCGTGGGGATCAACATATATCAAAACCAATAATTATTCATTGCTTAGATGTTAAGTGACTATAATTCATCTAATTGATATTTGACTGATGGATATAGCGATGAATAAGCAATCATCTAATGGATATAATGTGGGTAAAACAATGCCATAAACCACCCGTTTGGGAAGGGTTCATACCACCTATGTATGGTGATTTGGGGGATGGTTTATTATTGTTTTAGAGGGATATCATGATTGTGATGGGGATGTAGTGAAATATTACACGGTTGTGGTGCCCGCAAAGGTGGAATGTTTGTTGGTTTATGTTCTCCCCATGAAAACTAGGGAGATATCTTACTTAAGCAAACCAAGGATGTAACACGAGTGATTTCAACCGGCTTAGCGATTCTGATCTGGCTCCCCCCAACTGGTTTGGTCATGTTTGGGCTGCCTCTCGTTTTTTTTTGCATAGCGGCGTATCTTATCCGATCTATCTTATCATCTATTTTCTTGATTCTCTCTATTTTGTTGTTTTTTCTCTACACTCTAGTAAACTAGCAGGCTCACCGTTTTCTATAGAATGATGGCTTTTTTTCCACATTAGTCATGATGCAATATGACAAATTAATGAGCAATGTTTCATGTTACAGTCATACATTATAGCCATGTTAGTGGCCTTCCTTCCAAAAGAGGCTTTGTGAGCTGGTGCTCATCGGAAAATGATGGTTGCAAAGCTGATGTCAGCAGGTTTTTCGTGCCATGTAAAATGGGAAGTCACAGCAATTTCGTTGCTTTACTGGAGAGTAGCTTATCTTTCTATCTATATATATATATAAACAAAGAACTAGATAAATAAATATACATAAATTAAATAGATACATATCATTTCTAAAGGATGTGTCTCGCAATTCCCCCCAGATGCTGAAGCCGTGAAGCCCCTTTGGAGCATCCTTCAAGATCTGCGCAGCATGCCGACGGCATGGCGGCCATTCCAAAGCACGTGCTTTAGGATGACTAGAACTAATCATCCCCAATCCCAAAGCCCAAAAATGTCACCTTAGTTGATTTATCCAATTTTTGTCTTTTTTCCCCACCTGCCAGGTGAGGGTTGTTAGATTTTATGTCAGTTGCCTCCTCCTCCTCCTCCTTCTCCTCCTTCTCCTCCTCCTCCTCTCCTCCTCCTCCTCCTCCTCGTCCTCCTCGTCCTCCTCGTCCTCCTCGTCATCCTCGTCCTCCTCGTCGTCCGTCGTCCTCGTCGCGTCGTCCTTGCTCAACTGCGACCCGCGATCCACAGTGTTCTCTGCCGGACCTCAACCACGACCATCCACGCCCAGTGTTCCCTGCCGGACCTCAACCACGACCATCCACGCCCAATGTTCCCTGCCGGACCTCAACCACGACCATCCTCGGCCAGTGTTCCCTGCCGGACCTCAACCACGACCATCCACGCCCAGTGTTCCCTGCCGGACCTCAACCGCGAGTATCCACGCCAAGTGTTCCCTGCCGGACCTCATGTAGGAAGATATGGGACAAAGAATGTGCAGAAGAAAGCTAGAAAGAATGTCAGAAAGAATGTCAGAAGATATGCCAGAAGATATGCCAGAAGATATGCCAGATAGAATGCCAGATAATATGCCAGAAGATATGCCAGATAGAATGCCAGATAGAATGCCAGAAGATTTGCCAGATAGAATGCCAGAAAATATGCCAGAAGATATGCCAGATAGATATGTCAGAAGAGATGCCAGAAGATATGCCAGAAGATATGCCAGAAGATATGTCAGAATATATGCCAGAAGATATGTCAGATAGAATGCCAGAAGATATGTCAGAATATATGCAAGAAGATATGCCAGATAGAATGCCAGAAGATATGTCAGATAGAGTGCCAGAAGATATGCCAGATAGAATGCCAGAAGATTTGCCAGATAGAATGCCAGAAGATATGCCAGAAGATATGCCAGATCATATGCCAGAAGATATGCCAGATAGAATGCCAAATAGATTGTCAGAAGATATGTCAGATAGAATGCCAGAAGATTTGCCAGTAAGAAAATGTATAAATGTCATGGTGGGGATCACACGAAGTAAAGTAATTTTTTGGGAGACCTTAGATGTTTCATGATACTTATTCCGTATTCCCACTTGGTGGATCCGGATAAGTGGGCAATATACAAATTCAATTACTTTGAAGGCGGCAAAGAACACGAGTTTTGACGCTTAAATCAACTCATTTTTGCTGATTATCCCCAAATCTGACCAATCTTTGATGTTTCATCAGAGTTTTTCCTCATTTTTGTTCATTAAACCACCATCTTTGCTGGTAGAACCCCCAACTATCAAAATCTTTTCAAGGTCAAATCCCCAAGTTTTCCCAAAATTGTCATGGTAACATTTTTCTTCACATTTACCCTCTGGAAAATTAACAGTTGGACTCTTTAAAAATCAGCCATTTTTAGTGGTTTCACTGGTTTCACTAATCCTCCAAAGCCTATCTGGCAGGGTCTATGTTAATTTATTGGAGCGTAGCATCATTTTTTTTCAGCCCTTTGCGGTGGCCGATTTTTGTTGGCTGACTGAGGCACCGCCGAGTGGACCTTTGCCGGAGACCTTACGCCTGGCGGCCGTGGAGGCCGGTGTGGTTAACTATGCCTTGGTGAATTGATTGCTATAGGGGGATTATACTACCCTGCTATTGATTGCCATGTTCCATCATTTACCATCATTTACCATCATTTTCTATGGATGGTGATTTAACCACTAAAAATGGTGATTTAATGGTTAACAATGGTGAATAATGGGATGATAATGGGATATACCCTCTGGTAAACATAGAAAAAACTATTGAAATTGACCATAGAAATAGTGGATTTACCCATTGATAGCATGGTGATTTTCCATAGTTATATTAACGTTTACCAGAGGGTATATCAGGTTGCTGAACTATGACTGGTTGGTGGTTTGGAACATGGCTTTTATGATTTTCCCATCATACTGGGAACAATAATCCCAACCGAAGAACTCATATTTTTCAGAGGGGTGGCGAACCCATAGTAGGACAATCTATCAACCAACTGGTATAGTGGGTTACTATGATATATATATATGGTTATCATTGTATGGTAATTACCAACTGATGGTAATAAGATATCTGATGAATATCATAGTTCTCTATTTACTATGATATTCATTACTATTATAGCTATCCCATTCCATTAACTATAGACAGGACCGACGACTGGGACAAATCGCTGGCATAAGAATATCATTACCATTGTTCATTACCAAAAATGGTTGTAGCCCACTATTACCATGAACATTACACTATTACCATGGTTGCTATGATATTCCCATGATATTCATTACTATAAACATTTATTCATGGGAATAAATGTTCATGATGATATTCATTTAATACTCTTATATTCAGTAATGTTATGTATCACAGTAATGTTATGACAGTAATGGGAACAATACTATCACAGTAATGTTTACTATTCGGTATTTAGTGGTATTTCGACTATGAATGTTCATGGGATTCTAGAGATCTATTACCCTCCGGTTATTTAACATAGCCATGTAAGCCATGGCCCATAGAAATAGATGATTTTCCCAGCTAGAAACCTCCATTTATAAAGGATTTTCCATGGCTATGATCGATAACCAGATGGTAAATGGGAATGAATTGTTGTATCTTCTCCCATTAACTACAGAAAGAAACTATTGGGATGACATAGCAATGGAAATCGATTGGCAATTGGCAATTGAGAATAACATATCTAGATTCCCATCCCATTTTGTAAAAGCAACAGATGATTTTCCCAAGGACACCTCCATTTAAGCCACCGGGGATTCCCCAGCCACATCTGATGACACTTTCGGAGAGTATATTTGTCTTATTTCAGGTTTCAGACATAGACTCTAGTTCTCTCAGAAACACGGTACCAGGCAAAGGTTACTTTGTCTTTGTTGGCTTCGTGGTTTGCAATCCTAGGACGCCCCAGGATTTGAAACGAAAAGTGGGGTATCCGCACAATTTCCGAACGTCAATCCAAACCAATAGTCAACCATTGCTAGGACATGAAACAGAACAGAAATTGGGACACCCTGCTCAGGAGTTGCGAACCAATGTCAGTGGGGGCAGCCCGCAGGCGAGAGTCGCATCACCAGTTTCGTAGGGGAAGCATTTGGTATTGATGGTGCATTTATCATGATGGTGCATTTTTCAGGCAAGTTTCGAGTGTTTTTCTGACCAACGTTTCCTGTTTTGTATTTGTTCTTTTCCAGCTGACCGTTCGTGATTGCTTGTACAATGCCCACGCATTTCAACCCCAAATAAATCCCTACGCTGTTACTTGAGGGATACCAGTAAAGCTTGAGATGATCTTTTTTTGGCCGTTGGACCGCTGGAACCTCCGTATCCTTAATCCAACAGGGTCAAAACTCGTGATTTCATTGGCTCATGGAGCTCCATCCCCCCAATATCAAACAGCCCATCCGAACGGTTGAGGAGCTGCATCCAGACTTCAGAGATTCATGATCCATTAAAAGCCTCAGGTCATCAAACGCGGCAATGGACCATAGATGAATTTCCCATAAAAACCATCCATTTCTTGGGATTTTCCAGCAAACCACGTTTGATTACCAGAGGCTAATGCCCATGATCAATGTAGACAATGTTATTGATTCTGCCAAAACAAAAACCTTATTGTTGTTGTTTTTTTCCATTCTAATCTCATGATATCCCCATATGCTCCGAAGATACTCCAAACCCCATACATAGTTTGCTGTTTTGTTGCTGGTTAGGTGAGTTGTTGATGGGCTTGAAAATTACACAACCTCCACGTATTTGTGGCTTATTTTCCAGCTATTCTTCTGAATCCACCCCCATCCCCCATTAAATCTCCATAAATATCCCCAGTCATCCCCAGTCATATATCCCATGAAATCATCATTTATATTTTCTGCACGACTAACTTTACCGTAGTATTCCCATTGTCATCCTGGATGGAGATCATATTTCCCATTGTCATTATCAAACGTGGCAATTGAAAATCGACCATTTACTGATGATGTTCCCATTAAAACTTCGGGGATTCCCATGGTTATGTTGATTACCGGGTGGTAATCTATGTTATATATATATATATATCTAAAACTCGAATTATAATCACCATATCATATCACTATAAATTATCTTCCCATGATCATCTCCATTCAAAAAGCTGATGAATCCCCATGGATATTCCCAAGGCTCGATCCTACCACTCCACCACCCGTGGCTCTACGCCTAAGCGACCCACGCGGGCGTCGGTGATGGAGTGGGCCTTTGGTACCTCGAAGAAGCACCGTTAAATGACTTGGGACTCCACCGCGAAGAATGGGGAATTTTCCATGAAGGGACACTTTCAGAAAAATAAGAATTGGGAAAATTAGAGGTCTATCAAGTTTTTGGTTCCAAGTTGCTGGCCAAAATCTGACGCACTGGCCGACCCCGAACACCGTTTTCGCAAATAAACGGCCCAACTTCGTCAGAACGATTTGGATTTGGCCACGGGCATTGGGATCTGTCTTAGCAGCTAACAAATGGTTACCTACCAAAAATGCTCACATGACGATTTTTGGTTCCAAATGTTGTGTTTTTTGTTTTCAATTAATATTTGGAGGGATGCTTGCCTATTGAGCACACTTTCTCAGGCGGGTTAGCACCACCAATGAGTGATACAGTATATCATGAAAGACGTTGCACACCAAACGGTGTGATCCAGAACACAGGTCCAAAGAATATACCTTTGTTCGATATAGCTATGGACAATCACAATGTTTAGTAGCTAAATCATCATAAATCAGTGATTTCCATAGCTATGTTAAATTGCTTCAACAACTTCAGTCGCATCGTTTTTTCTTTTTCTGATGCTTACTCTGTAACGTAAAAAACAATATATATATATACATATGTAAAATAGTATATATAAATATATGTACAGTATATTAAATACATATATGTATATGTATATGTATATATACACGATATATTATATACTATATATATTATATTATATATTATATATATTATGATATATATTGTATTATATATATACATTATATTATATATATTATATTATATATACTATATTATATATGTTATATTGTATATACTATATTATATATATTGTATATATATATATTATGATATATATTATATTATATATATTATATTATATATACTATGTCATATATATTATATTATATTATATTATATTATATTATATTATATTATATTATATTATATTATATATATTATGGTATATATACACACATATATATATATATACATTTTTGCTGGGTGCACACAGAAGCGGACAGTCGCATATATATATATATACTGTATATGGATAGCGACCAAAGTCGCCGCCTGTTAGCAACACAATAGGGCTCAGTTCCATCCGTATATACATGGCAGCTGATTATAGATTTCACGTATGTCATCAACCCCACAGTGGCCATTTGATGCGGAAAACGAGGTTTTAGACCATGTTGTTTTTTCTTTTTTTAAGATAAACCCATTTTTTCAGAGAAAACCACATGAAACTCAGAGATTTTACTCTAAAATCATGGGATGTCAACTTGGTTTGCCAACTAATAATTAACAGATTTTACTATACAATCATGGGATTTTACCAATCATGGGATGTTTCATTTCCTTCGCCGACGGATCCGACGAAGACTCCACGGGAAACGAAACGAGGCTTGAAACGACAGGGCAGCACTCGATTCCAGGTCGCTGGATGGACTGGATGGCACTCATTTCGAAGAGAAATTGGGAATCATCAAATTAGCAGGGATTTTTTTTTCTCCATCTATTTGGGGATTTACTGGGAATATCTGTTGGGAATCATCAAGAGGAATTGTATATGACAATATACATATATATATATATAGTTCTGGTAAACGTTTACATAGTGCTAGAAAATCACCATTTATAATAGGTAAATCAACGAACTAAATGATCATGTTCAATAGTTATGTAACAAATTACCGGAGGGTATGTTGGGAATATCTATGAATTATCAATATTGGGAATTCCTCTTTTTTGTATATGGTTTCAATATATCCAATATATCATCAATATATCGTATATTTGGAATCATCAACAAGAGGAATTTTATGACAATTTGTATATATATATATAGGACCATATATTACCATTTGGTGATATATATATATATATTTATATTCATATTTATATTTATATTTATATAGTGGGAAAATCTATGAACACTGGGAATATACAGGGAATAGAAGTTGGGAAAACTGTGAGTTTTTTCAATGTATCAATGGCCATTTCAAGTACTCCACTGGAGGGCGCCGTTGGTACCAGATGTGGAACGGCCATAGAAATTGCTTTGAGATGATGGGATATGATGGGAACTAGAAATAATTTTCTGAATATCATTGAGATTCTTGTTTTTTGAAACCATGTGTATGGCAAATCCTTAACTTCGATGTCGAAGTTTGTAAAATCCGAATCTAAGATAGTGACGACTTCAAAAGGCATCCCTTTTGGAGGGTTACTATGGTGGCTTGTCAGGAGCCCCAACTCAGCACCGCAGAGATGTTAAACAGTGACTGTATCATACATATATATATATTCATTATGTATGCTAAGTCAAAATCTACTTTAAATAAGTAAAAAAGCAAAGTAATTCACTAGATAAGTGAATATACATGAAACTACATGAGTAATATCGTCTATATGCACACAAATGAATGTATGTGTATTTGTGTATATAGATATATACACACACACATATATATATATGCTTATACTGTATACTCACACCATGTCGATATACTATGGCAATGCATCAGTTTCCCACCCATCTTTCATCATTTTGGTGAGCTTCTGATCCATGTGGATTAAACATATCCATCTTTTCTCTTCAGAAAAACGGGCATTGCAACATACGACGCCATGGTTTCCGGTTGATTTTCGACATGACATCAGCACCAAATCCGGCCAAAACATCACTAATATATTATAACACTATATATATATATATTAATACATCGACAAATCATCACATATATTGTTTTTCAAAATATATTAATATATCAGGATATATCAGATGTTATGATATCAATATAATTTATTATAACAGGATATATCACATATATATATATATATATTAGTACATCGGTTCTATATCAATTTCTTCCCGATGAAATCGATGAAATCCATGGGAGGAGACCACCTGGCTGCGCATGAGAGCCCTGCGACTCGTGAGCAACAGCTTCTTTGAGTACCTGTCGACACCTGGCATCGCCGGCAGAAAAAACCATCAAAGCATTGGGGAAACCATGGGAAAATGGTGATTTAAGCATCAAACATGGGGATTTATTATTAGTATTTAGCTATTCCTAAATATATCTATCGATTTAGCTATGTTTTGTATGACCAGTTTTGCCATGGGAAGTATATAGGTATACCAGGTATACAGCCCATTTCTAAGTGGAGAAGCCCAGGACTCGGGTATGTTTTCCAAGGGATATCTGCCTACTAAGTGGAATGATCCACCATGTTCCCAGAACAAACATGTATCTGCAAAGCTAAAACTTTGGCACCTCACATAGCTGGACATAGCTCAATATATTCAATATATTCAATGAGGCGACTCCTGAGTTTTCGTGTTTAGTTTAGGCTCGTTTATCCCGAGAAGTGTAGAGTTACAAAACCCTGATTCGTTTTTTTTTGGCATGGGTGAGCGGCTTAATTCACCATGGTTGTCAATGAGGAATCATTTTGTTTTGGTGATACCCTCTGGTAGTTTACCATAGCTATGGAACATCACCGTTTTTTTTTTGGTATATAAATTTGTAAATGGGCGATTTTCCATAGGTATTTTATATTTTCCGGTGGTTTTGCGGGTGTCCTTTATATTTCCCCATTGAAGCATTTTTTTTGGTGAGAACTTGAGTGGTCAGCCGCATGTGAAAAGGTGATGCTTACGGAGGAAACATTCTGGTTTTTCAGGTGGCTCCGGGGTGGCATTTCTCCGACTGAACCTGGAAGCCATGGCCCATTTTTGTTACTACTTCGATGCTTTAGCTATTAAAAGTGGTCGTTTTCCATAGCCATGTTCAATTACCAGAGGGTCATATTTGTGGGATTGGTGCCTCAATCACCAGCTGATTCTTTATTCAAGGATGAAGAAGGAAGAAAGGGAAGCAGTGAACGAGTGAGGTACACCTTGGTTGACATCTAGAGACCATGATTTGGCAAAAACGAGATGCTAAGGATTTTTTTTCGGGAAACAGTTGGGATATAATGGGATAATATTTGAATGGGAATCATTGGGATATAATGGAAATTGCGACCTCCGGCGTCATCAACCGTGGCGTGCTGGAAAATCCACCAGCAATTGGTTGGATTCACCAGCTTGCCATGTCTGATGACATCAGGGGGTATCCCCGATGGAAAAGCAGCGACCTCACTGCTGGCTGCCACTTTTTTTTAAAAATACTTATGATGGGATTGTCAGGGTAAGTACTTTTCAGCAAAAAACCAAAAAGCCTTCTTTCAGGCTGGTGAATTTTGATCAAATCCAGCCATTGGCCTATGAATCATTGGATTGGTTTTAGAAAACCTATAAGAACCCCCTGTAATTGGCAGTAAAAACCATGGTTTCACTCTGGATTTTCCTCTCAACCCATCCATATTTATCCTAGGTATCCATTGTATTCCACAGGGCTGGCACCATGCCCTAGGATGGTGATGTTACTGGCCAATGCTGTGGCCGTGGGAGTGCAGACAGATTACATGGCTGTGAAGCAAGCCCCGTCGGCTCCGAAGGTGCCTGGGAGCCGCAGGTTGTAGGGAGATATGGTTAGTTTATTGGGGGGGTTATTGAAAGCCATATATATATATATACATTGGATATGTATATAATATTAATAATAATAATAGTAGTAGTACTGTAATTATGATATATACATTAGATATGTATATAATAGTAATAATAATAATGATAATAATGATAATAATAATAATGATAAGGATACCACTTTACCAACATTTTTTAAAAGGATGTTTCAAATGTTTCTGTTTTTTTTGGGAGGTCCCTTTATTGCAAATCCATTTAAGTGGGGTTATCCCATAGTCTTCCACGGGCTGGAAAGGTATGGCCATGGAAAACCTCGCGTGAGGTAGGTTCTTTAAACATTAAGCATGGGGATGGTTCTACCCCCGAGTTGTCAGCAAATTTTCGTTTTTTTTTGTTGCCGGTTGAGTATATTGCTCAGCAAAGCCAGCGGTGTTGTTCATGAAGCCTCTTTGTCTTGGTTCCACCTCCACGTTTCCATTTTATACCCCTGTTTTTTTGAACAAATCTTTACTTTTCTACGACTGCCCTTATCTTTCAATGGAGGGCCACACACCATTCCCTTTCTATATATGTTTTAGACTTGTAGGCTTCATCAACTATTTTGCATGTAACCTGCGGAAATCAAACATGGTTTGCTGGAAAATCCTTAAACAACATGGAGGTTTTCCCTTGGAAAATCATTGAACTGACGGATTGTCCAACGGGCAGGTCTGGCGTGGGATGGATATGTTCTTCTGCATTTTCTTCAGTGGCCAACCCGTGGAGGGATTCGAGATGATTCGGGTGAAGGAAAGCGATAAAAAAACTTCGAGACGTGTTGATGTTGGTGATGAATTGGTGGGTTATGATTTAAAAACCATCGTTTTTCTCCATAGGGATTCTCATGAGTTAGAAACCTTCTGATAGAATAGCTATGACCTATGAACCCAACATATCCAGAGTGATCCAACAAGTGCTGAGGATGCCCAGCTTGGATGTTGGAATCCCTACTGACTAGGCTCATCGTAACTTATATCCTGGTGATTGAAGAATGGGATAGGGTATTCACCCACTGAAATAACTAGGAACTAGGCTTTTCCGGGATGGTTACCCTCTGGTAAACGTTGACATAACGAACTGGAAAGATCCACCATTTTCAATGGGTAAATCCACTATAAATGGGCCATTTTCAATAGCAAACTGTTAGTTTACCAGAGGGTAAGGGTGAACCAACCTACTTCGGATTCGTGGCCAGTTCGCCACCAAGTATGGAGCAAGTACTTGGTAGATTCATCGTTCCCAGACGGCCGGCCGGTGGTTAAAACCAAGGTAGTAAACAATCAATTGATGATTAAATCTCAGTGAATTCCACTATATGAATCTATGTTTATCCATTTTTCACCATTTTGACGCTTTTTTTCTCACCGTGGCCATCGGCGTGGGCACAGAATCCACATTTGTTTGACTGTGTGGGGAGAACAGGACCCCGAAACAGACAAAGATTTCTCTCATCACGTGCATTCAGAGGGATCACTCGCAATGATTATCCTCTCCACCAATCCATAGAAGGGATGCATAGAAAATCAGATGAGTCAACGATCAAATTCGGTGGACTTGCTAAGAAACTGGGTTGCCATTCTTGTTGCTTTCTTCGCTTGGTTTCTTCAGTTGGTTTTTCAGACATCTTTTTCCCATGTCACATTCATCCCATGTAACTTAAATCCCATTGCACCATGAATTTTGTTGATTTGCCTATAAAAAATGGTGATTTTCCATAGTTATGTTAGTTTACCAGAGGGTAAATCAGCAAAAATCCCATGAAACCACCATGAACTCCCCATTACCTCCAACTCGACGTCGGGATGTCGAAGGTCTGGAGTTGACTCTACGCTTGGCGGCCTTTGGCAAGAAATTCTTCGTGATGTGCCGGTGGCCGCAACATAAGGGGTGGCGATTCGGCGAAGGGGCCCGGGGATTTTTGAGCAATGAACATGGGGATATTTCACCAATGAACGTGTGGGTATGAACAAGAGAAAATAGGGAGAAAACAACCGAGAAACATGGGGATTCAACCAACATGAAGTTCATTGGCGGCCGGTTGATGGTGAAAGTCAAAGGAAAGTAGGGTTCTTGTAATCGTTTGCAGGGGTTTCTGGCATAGACGCCTCAGTTCATTTCACATATTTCAATTGTTCGAACACTCCCTCCGCTTAACTTTGATGGATGACAGGGAAAGCCCAGTCTTTATCTATTACCAGGGATCACTTAGAGGGACAGTTGAGCAGCGTTCAAAACCCCTATGTAGAGGGCTTTACTTGGGCTTAAACTGGGAAGGGCCCGCAAAAGCTAAAACCCAGCTCACGAAAGCTGGGCGAAAGCTTGGCGAAGACCAAATGGACAGAGATCGTCGCGAAAGCTTCGCGAAAGTGGATGATTGACCGATTTTAAGTAGCGATATGTAATTATATATACATGTATCACAGGTTGTTTTGATCTTACAAACTTCCCAAATACGGCGAAAGCTCCGCAAGAGCAGTTCTGTCAAATGTTCATCGTGCGAAAGCCGGGAGTGTGGTCGGGAAAGCACCGCGAAAGGATTTGCGAAAGCACCAAGTGAGTACAATGAAATTATACACTAACCCTTTTTAACACCGCTCAGGTGAAACCAGACACTTCAGAGATTTGATGAGAGAAAACCATGGTTTTCTGGAGGCTTCCCTTAAAACCAATCCAACTTCATATTTGTTAAATCCACCTTTTTGCTGGTTACATCTCAATTTCTGATGGACGTTTGGTTCACAATTTTGTTGGTTGGCTCCCCAATTTTAATGGCTGAATCCCTATTTTGATGATTGATTCCCTAATTTTTGATGTTGAGATCATGTTTTTTTGGCGATTTTCAGTGGTATTTCCCATGGCTTCAGCCGCTAAAATTGCCTGCCATTTATCATGGCTACCTCCCCACGAAGGGCATTTTTCAAATGGTTCAACTTCAAGTTGTAAAATTGACATGTTTTTTCTCCAGTAAGCGAAGAAACCCTAAAAACCCTGCAGTATTCATAGTTATCAATGTTACCAATCATAGTTATCCAGCAGAAAAACCGAATTTTAACCATATCCCAGCTTTATGACTTCACGTTTGACATGGCTTATATCATCCTTCTATCCATATCAAAATCATGGCAACATAACTATCCCTAGTTTTTCCCAGTTATTAGCCATCATAATAAAGTCATTAGACTCTTTAAGAACGTAAGAGGTTAATAATTTATAATAAACCACTATAATCCATAATCATATGTATAAACCATAGTTGTCAGTTCATGAAAAAAGTCTAACTTGAACCAGACATCCATGGCTTTCCTGGGAAATTTCCCAGGGTTTTTCGTCAACTGTTAAGGACAGGCTGCGCTTGGAACGTCCTGGACATCATTTTGGTTCTGGCGCAGGTTACAGAGGAAGTGCTGCTGGCAGTGGCGGATAGCGATGGGCAGGACAATGCGGATGTGCCGCGGTGGAAAGCCAAAGACATGGTGATAACCATAGTTGGTAATATAACCATGGATGGGAATATATATATATATATAACATAGTTGGTATATATATATATATACACCTTGATATATACTTGGTGGTTCATCCCACGAATCCTTTGAGTAGGTTAGTTCACCCGCTCGTTAGTTCAGTGGACATTGCCCCTACTTATCCAACTGAAAAAGCCAGGGTTATAATCTACTTGTACTTAGGATTCGTGAGATGAACCACCAAGTCGGAAAACATGGAGGTTTCCATAGTCATGGAGGTACCCCAAGAGCTGGATGGCTTATTTCCATGGGAAAGTCCGGAAAATCATGGCTGGAATAGCCCCATTTTAGGAAACCTCCATTTTAGGTGATTTGAAAAATGGGGGATTTCATGAAATTTCTATAGATGATATATGCAAGCTAAGTCGGAGCGAATAACTGTAATGACGCATGGATTTCTGATGGGTATACTAGCACATATCGAACTAGTTCGATGGGATTATGAACTAACTTAGCTGTCTAGGGGGCCCCTTCCTGTGGGGGAGATGCCTGGCGGAATCTGGGAGGGAGTTCCTAAGCCGAAAATGATTATATAAACAAGGATTTTACTAGGCAAAAATCTTGAGGATAGCTTCAACCAACCTGTCAGAAATTGTATTTTAATGCAGGTTTAACTGATTCTTAAGTTTGAGGGGAAAGATGAATGATCTGATGTATAGAATCTATAGTAACGCCCAGAAAGACATAGAAAAGGTTCACTTATTCCACGATTTCCTTGACATGGATTCAACCGAAATCTGCCTTTGATTCTTGGGGATTGACAGGTAAAAGTAAGAATCACATGGGGAAACATTAGGATATTTCAAAGAACCATATATATATATATGTATATACATATATGTGTATACGTATACACACACACATATATATATATATATGTATGTACATATATATATATACATATACATATGTATATACATATACATATGTATATATATATATACGTATATATATATATAAAGGTATATATATATAAAGGTATATATATACATACATATATATAAATACATATGTGTCTATATATCCACATATATGTATACATATATACATACATATATATATACATACATATACATATATATATATATGTATATACACATATACTTTTACATATATATATATACATATATATACATATATATATATACATATGTATAGATATATATATATATAATATTGTTATTGTGGGAAAATGGACCCGTCACATCGAATCACCTCATTTCGTCATTTCATTTTTTCAGTTCCAAGTTCTTCATCATCGACGGATTTTCTTTGCGAAGTCCGACTGTTTTGGGATGGTGAAACCACTGTGAAACTGTGGCGAAGAACTCACCGTTTTTAGTGCTAAGGTTTCACTATCAAGATGGAGATTCAAAATTTGAATGGAATAATGGTTAGTTGATTTAGTTGATGGTTTTTGTGATTTTCACTATCTTGAAACTGTTCTAGAGTTTGAAACCGCCAAATCCACCAGTGATATTGAGATCGTCGCTGAGATATTGGCTTGATTGGATTGTGTTGGGTGTATCAAAATCTCTGTTTTTTTTTTGAGCTTCAATCCCGACTAGTGATCATTTGTCATGATTAAATCCACATCTTTGGTGCTTGAATTTCACATTTTGCACATGCTTGGTGCTAAGAAACCGCATTCTTGGTGGGTTCAAAATCGTTCAATCCTCATTTTTCGCGGATTCACAGTTCACAAAACCGTTTTTTTTGGTGCCTGACATTGCGAGGTGATGCGCGCCGTGCGCATCTTGCGTGTGATCAAAGTCCTGCGGCTGGTGGGCACCGTGCGGATGGCGGAGGAGTCGCCGAGATGATTCGACGATATGACGAGATGGTGATTTTTGGGGTTAGTTGGTGATATTTAAGGTTGTATTAATATACATAATATAATATATATATGATATATATATATACACAGTATATATATATACACAGTATATATATATGATATATATATGATATATATATATGATATATATATATATATATGTATACACAGTATGTATATATATATGTATATGATATATATATAGTTACATATGGTTATATACAATGGGACATAGTGGGATAACTTGTGCAAGTGGCTGAGTATGGGGATTATATAATGGCTACTGACATGACGGGTGATAGTTGATTGTAGAACCTGATCTTTAGCCATTTTGATGGGACAATTTTAAAGTTGACCAGCTGATATTTTTTTCATTTTCGTGCAGTGTATCCGAGATTTGCCATGATAATTTTGGTTTCAGCAAAACTAGATGGGGAGTTAATCATCACATGGCGAAGCCACCTGGCTATGGCTACGGCTGTGCCACTTCATCCTTTGGCCGGTGGAGTTGTGAAAGGTCTAATTTTACAAGGTTTGCATCATTACCCATGGGTACCTCTTCTGGAGCTGTTTTTTTAAGGATATATTTTCAGCTAGCCAGACATACATCTAGTTTTTTTCCCAGCAGATCTATTACATGGGCTATGATTACCATGGGGCCCAGCAAATGAGTCGGGATGGAACCAGCAATAGTGGGTCTGAGCATAGGATTCTTCTCCAACTTTATGACAATTTCAATGGCAAAACTTATCGGCAAACTATAGCGGATCACTGGATTTTAGTGGCAGCTAGCTAGCTAGCTAGCTAGCTAGCTAGCAGTAGTAGCAGTAGTAGCAGTAGTAGTGGTAGGAGTAGTAGTAGTAGTAGCAGGAGGAGGAGGAGTAGTAGTAGGTCTTCTTCCCTGACGCGCTCCTTCTTGTCGCCGGAGTCGTGCGGATAAAAAACTTAACCTAGTTAAAACAAAAAAAACGACCGAAAAAGACCTAGATTTAGTTGTATGGTTAGTGTCACAAACCGAAAAAGTTAACCTAGTTATAAAATTTTATAAACCCACCAACATTGGCGGCTTCGTTTTTACAAAAAACCCACAGCCCAGTTGTGACATTGCAGGACTTACAGCTGCTGATCAACTGTTTGCTCCTCTCGTTGAAGCTCCTTGGTTGCTGTTGGGCGCGGGTTGAAGATGGCGCAACTAACCGCAGTTACTAGCCAGTTACTACCCTCTGGTTATGACTAACATAGCCATGGTATAGATGGTCCATAGAAATAGATGGTTTACCGTTCTTAACAGCATGGTGGATCTTTCCACGGCAAACCGTTAGTCATAACCTGTTACTAAATGGGAAAACCCGCACCGAGGCAGTTCTTGTGGTCCGTCCTGCTGCTCTTGTTGGTGCGAAGCTCCGAAATGGGCCGGTGTGAAGATCACGGAAAATCCATGGGAAATCATGGACCATATTCTCGAAAATAGCGATTGGATGGTGATTTGAAGTATGGGTAAATCGTACGGGATGCAAAGAAACACGTTTTTGAAAGCACACAACATATGATGATCTGAGGATATCAAAGCTGTCCCAATTCTTCGGAAGTACTAGGCACAAGGCGAAGCACCTGAGATCGAAAAAGACTCGACGCTTTATTTCTGAAGTCCTCACTCGTGGGTTGATGTCGTGACCCTACAACCATGCAACAGTTGTAACATCTAAAAACTCCAATCGTCAGCTTTCAAGTCTCGCAATCTTCCCGCCATCTATCGGCACATAAAAGGGGTTTCCTCGCAAGTCACGTTCTTTATCGGATTTACCTGAACATCAAGGAACAGTGCACGTTTCAATTTGCCAATTCTTATCAGTTCATGATGTTGGCAATTTTCGGGCCTTCAAACATCCTACAATGATCTACAATGGACATATATAAATTAAAGAGAATTTGTCAATCACATCCATTCCAATTGAGATTACTTGTCCTATCATAACTGTTTTTTATTTTCTTAGGAGGCAGAATGGAGCATCATTCCACTTGGTAACTATAGTTATAACTGGTTGATTTCCGCTGCTTGGGAAGACCCACCATTTAAGGTGGGGTTATCCCATTTAAGGTGGGGTTATCCAATTGTGGTTTATATGGTTGATATGTGGTTGCTTAGTATGAATTACAACTACAAGTACAGCTACACATACCCTCTGGTAAACTAACATAGCTATTGAAAATTGCCATTTATAGTTGATTTACCCATTAAACATGGTGATTTTCCATAGTTATGTTAGTTTACCATAGGGTATATGATAGATGTTGATGTATCAGTATCTATATAATTATATACGAGGAGTTAAATAGGTATGCAGCAACAAAAAAGATAGAACGGTCAAATCCTGTTGAAACGGAGTGTTCCTCAAATCCTGCTTTTTTTTTTTAAACAAACGTGGCCAGGAAATCACCATTTTTGATTTTTGATAGGTACTTCATCATAAATCAATCATCGAACTAGAACCATTTCCCAATTCGCAAACACTTAAATAACCAGAGCGTAGATTTTTCATTGTCCCATTGTATCCGAACCATATCATTATCCTATGTCCCATCATTATCCCACTATTGTCCCTACAAATTATGATTCCCTATGTTTTTTTTTTACTACATCCTTTTTATCTAATGTTCTACTAAAATCAAATGCAGATACATGTATTGTTTCTTTCTTTGGTAGTTACCCCATTGTCCATTGTTATTAGTTTCATTATTTTTCATTGTTCTCCCATTATTATCCCATCATTATCCCTATAAATCCAATTATTATGCCTATAATTCCCTGGGGAATCCTTATAAATCCCTATAAATCCCTATAAAATCCCATTTTCCCTATGAATCCCTAGGGAATCCCTATTGTTCACCAGGGTTTTTTAAGTGTGACACCAGGCCATCTACGTCATGGCGGTCTACGTCACCCAGGCCGCCAGCGCCTATCGAATGGAGCAGCCAACAGGGACCTATGCCGAGCAGATCACCCGGTGGTGGGGCTCGATGTGGGGATCCCAAAATATGGTGCACCAGACCTGGAGAGTTTTCCTGGAGGATTTGGGAGGAGATCATGGAATCTATAGACGCTATGATGGGAAGATAATGGGAAAATAATGGGAATAACATGGGAATATTATATAATGGGAATATGATGGGATATATAATGGAAATTTATCTATAGTTACTATGAGTATATACATATATATATATACGTACATATATAAAACTTATTTAATGGGAATATAATGGGATGCTAATCTGGTAAGTCAATAGTTGGGTTTATGACTCCAATACCTGTTGGGTTTATGAATGTTTATGGTAGATATATCAAGCTAGTCGGTTTACGAACCAAAATATGGCAGTGTCTGAAGATGGGGGATCCCCAAGTCACCATGGTTTTAATACTGAGATTTCTACCGACTTGGATGATTTGGGGTAGCCGAACCATTACTTTAAAAGGAAACGCCGATGATTTAGGTTCCGAATCTAAAGATCTCGCTGGATGAAATCCCGTAGATCTCCAGTTTTTTCTTGCTGATATACCCTCTGGTAAACTAACATAACTATGGAAAATCACAATTTTTAATGGGAAAACTCACTATAAATGGCCATTTTCAGTAGCTATGTTAAATTACCAGAGGGTAAATCTACAAACCTTGCAGGATAAGATATCCCCCACCTTCGTTGGTGAAAAAATTGTCTCTTCCCGAAATATCCACCAGTTTCTGCCATGCTGCTTGAAACTGTGAAGTGTTGGTCGAAATCTTACGTGCCGCACTTCATTAGGTTGGTTGAAATAAAATACTTTATATAGCGATTGGGTTTGTGGTAGATGCCTAGTTCCACATTCTATCTCTGTAGATCCCTGTTCTTGTCGGCTAACCCCCCCATTTGGCTGCTTAACTCTCATATATTCCTCGCAGATATTTGGTCTACGTCCCAAGATTGCTGGTAACACCCTTTTATACATATTATCATTGTAGAAGACAAAAAATATAACTAGATACTAGTATGCAATCATATGACCTAGTGTAGGGGATTTAGACCAGATAACCGCAATTGCATTCTTCGAACCCATTCTTGCAAATAATTCGTCAATGTCTCTATCCCTTCCTTTTCCCCTCCAGAATGTCAACGCCGGAGTAATAAACCCTGGTTGGCTACTAAAATAGTGATAACCGGTTACTAAATTGACCAAGTAGGGATAGTATATATATATATATGTATATATATATATATGTATGGGGTACCCCTAATAAACCACAATTTTCTGATTAAAATGGTACCCCCACAATTCAGTGGGAATTTCAGGACCCTAAATGGAGGAGATTCCAGGTGCCTCCAGTAAATCGGTTCCTGAGATGGCCATCAGACACTATAAATCACTATGGCCATGATGCTTACTGTATATGACCGTTGTGGGCTGTTATATATCACTATAAAGGCCATTGATTCAATTGAGATATAGTTAAAGTCGGGCTCGCACTCGCTTGTACTTGGCGCTTTTCGCTCGCTTCTACATGGCGCTTTTCACTCGCTTGCACATGCACATACACTTCATCATCATCACCACCACCACCATCATCATCATCATCATCACCATCATCACCATCATCACCATTATCATCTTCCATCTTCCATCTTCTATCTGCTATCTTCTAACCTTGGCGAGCTTCTATCATCTTCCCTCTTCTATCTGCATTTACATTCCTCCCCCCACCTCCCCCCCACCCCAAACCCTAAACGTAACAACTTGAAGAAATATTCATCGTATTTCAAATAGAAGTAATGTGGTAAAACAATAATAAACCATCCCCCAGTCACCACCATTTTTATAGGTGGTATAAACTTACCATTCCCTGTCGTGGGTGGTTTATGGCATTATTTTACCCACATAAATCCTCAAAACCACCATTAGTGGTTATTTTAAACAATCTATTCATGGATTATGATCACTATAAAAATCACATCAATAACCACCATTATTGAGGTTGCACCATTATATAATCATTAGTGATTTACATAATGGAAGTTAGTATTAGTTATTAGTACACCATTATTAATCACCATTATAAAAATCACCATTATTAATCACAATTCATGGATTATAATCATGATTAACCACCATTATAAAAATCACCATTATAATCATTATCTATTAGTGGTTAATACATCTATAATGGATTATAATACTATAAAAAATCACTATTAACCACCATTGTTGATGTTGCACCATTATTAGTACTATGATCATTATGAAAAGTACCACTATTGATGTACCACAATTAGTACTATTGTTAACCACCATTATAATCATTATCATTAATGATGGATTAACCACTATTAAATGGATTAACCACTATTATAATCACTATTAATCACTATAAAAATCACCAATAATTCATTATTAACCACTATTAGTGATTATTGGTTAATAGTGATTAATAGTGATTAATAGTGATTAATAATCCATTAATAACCATTATTAAAATCACTATAATCCATTATATACCATTAGTTCTAGCAGGCTTCGTAGCGGTGACTCCGAGGCCTCAGAGCATCCTGTCGCTCTTCCAAGGCATCACCGGAGGGATTGCACCTTGGTCCAAGCACAAAAATGGAGGGATTGGAATGGGACAAATCCATGGGAAAGTCCATGGAAAATCATGGAAAATGGTGGTTAAGAGTGGAAAACATGGTGATTTCATGGTGATTTTAACGGTTTGTATCCAACAAATGGTGATTTAAGGCTGACTTTTATCGGATTTTTAAGGATAACCATGGTGATTTCGTGGGACATTCATGATGATATCAATGGTGAATAATTAATGAAGAATGGGAAAAAAAACATAGAAATACTGGTGGGAAATTGATGGTTCATATGGAATTCATAGCGGCTTAATACTGGTTAACTCAGGATTAGTATTGGAATAATGGGAAAATCATGGTTGATATTGGATTAACAGTGGCTTAATACCGATTGATATTGAGATTCAGTGGGATTCATACGTTGCATCAAACGTGGCGGGCCACGGCAGAACCCCATATATCAGGTAGTTCAAGGGAGGTTTCCAGCTGGAAAAATCATCGAACTAAATGGGAAGTATTGCTGGATATCTAAGATAGATTATTAGGGAAGTTACAATGCTTACATTGCTGGGTAATCTAAGATAGATTATTACTGGTTGGTGGTTTGGAACATTTTTTTATTTTTCCATATATTGGGAATAATCATCCCAACTGACTAATACTTTTCGGAGGTGTTGAAACCAGTAACCGTAACCAGATTATCTGAGATCTAAACTAAGTATTTCAGCGACCTTCCCCAAGCTGAGAAATTACAATGCTTAGATCATTGGGAAAAGTTGGGTGTAAGATGATTGAAACACGGGTCACCCAAGTCAGTGATGTTGGGTGACATAGGGTGGACATAATCAAGGCACCATTCCATAGTGATGATAGATGATGATAGTATATAGTGGGACTATGATATGCAATGATCATGGGACTATAACATATCATGATAATGCATAATGTAATGTGTAGGTATACCGTCTGGTAATCAAACATGGTGTGCTGGAATTCCACCATTTAATTAGATGCTTCCTCCCATTTAAAAATCAATTTGGAATGGTAAATCATCGAACTAAATGGGCACTTGGCTTCCAGTTCGCAAAGTGTACCAAATAACCTGAGGTTATATACCATTGAAATGATCCGAATTCATCCCATTTTTTCCGAATGATCATTGAATATCATTATCCCATATAAATCCCCCTATAAATCCCTATAAATCCCTCGGGAATCCCCATAAAATTGGCCCCCCCTTGTTACCTGTTGTCGCTATATCCCACAACCATTTTTCACGTCGAGGATTGGCATCAGATCGCTGAACCCTTGATGAAAGGCATTAGCCCCTGGCGACTTGGCGTTTCGACGACTGCGATGCGGAACTGGGAGATCTTTGGAGACCACCATCGAGATGGTAGGTAAATATTATGGTACATCATCGAACTAGATGGGCCATCTATGTTTGTTTTGTTGGTTTGGATGCGGAAATTCGTAAGAGCGAATGGATGGTGATGAACGGTTGGATGTCGCTTTTGAAGGGCGGACATGTAGCAGTTTGAGTATCTGAAATCACCTAGTTGGGTAAACGGGACCTGTTTTTCTTAGTGGATTTACCCTGATATGGTATGGGTCACGCGGATACCCCAACAAAGTGGATGGGCGGCTTAAACTTTGATCCATGATACCGGACGAATTCTGGCCGATGTCACCCAAGATAACAGCTCCTTCAACTTTCTGGGCCCTTTTGGGTGAACGTTTACATAGCTTTGGAAAACCACCATCTTTAGTAGGTAAATCATCGATGGGCCATCTAATACACCAAAGCAAACTGTTAAACGATCAGTTTTGGTATCCCATAAATACCCCATGATATTCCTATGGTACCATTTTCTCACGGTTAAATCCACGTTAGATGATTATACCGTGAAAAAAAGCCTCCATTTAGAGAGGATTTTCCAGCTCGCCAACTGAAATGTGTGTCTTTATATGTGTGCAATTGTGTTTTATGTATATGTATAAATATATATATATATATTTATACACGCAAATACAATTTGATACTAAAACAGTTGTCCCTATTGTCAATGGCTATCAAATGATCATTTGATGTGTTTTTTGGTTGCTTTTTTAAAGATGATTTACTGACGTCCCCATTTTTGATGGTAAACATCCTCCGCAACTTTGATGATTTCAAGAACCCAACCGAGGTTTGGTTTGCTCTTTGTCTTCTTTATGGCCTTCTGTATTCTGGCCCTGCTCAACGTGCCGCTTTGCTATCTTTGCGAAGCGCACTGGGTCAACCTTGGTGACAGGAACACATTCTGAATGGTGCATCTATCCAGGCCATATATTAATATATATATATATTATACATAATATGTATATACATATACAACTGCCGATATTCCCCATATCACTGGATTATTTACGATGCAACAGTTTTTGGATGCACATCCTCAATTGAGGTTATCCCTCAATTGGCCATCCAAGCCTTGTAGATGATCACCCTACAAGCTCAGTGAGTTACAGGGTGAAAAACAACCGACTCGAAGTCTGAGATGAAGCACCATAAAAAACAGATTCCTTTTTTTCCATGGTGAGATATATTTTCCCGAGGTTGGTCGAATTTGACAGACTCAAGAACCACCGCGCCACTGATAGTCCCGTGTTTGGATGCCGTGGTCCAATCATAGCAGTTCATGCCATCAAACAGTGTGTCAGGTTAGGGACATTTACACGAAACAATGGTCTTATTTACAGGTCTTCAACATCATAGCAGTCACAGCATTGTGTCTTCCTATGTCTTCCTATGTCTTCTTCCAAGATTTACAAAAAGTCAGGAAAGTGATTCCATTTGATTCCATGGGAAAAAACCATCCGAAGTAACCAAAGCTGGGGATCACGCAATGCATCAGCCCAAGCAGTGGGTATACCGGTATCTTATACTCCATAAGCACCAGTTTGGGATGGTTTATGGTATTGGATTTACCACATACTTGTTTTGTTACGCAACCAATGTTTGTTGGTGCTAGCCTACCCAAGCCCTCTAAATCATGATCGATTCTTAAGCATATCCCAATGTTGTTTGGATTCCCATGCCGGGCGGTTATATCCAACATTCTGATGCTTCAAGGGTTATATTATATGTATCTATATATGTAGATCCACTTGTTTTAGTGATTATATACATCCCCAACTTTGTTGCATGAATCCCACAGTCTAACATATCCCGATTTATGGATGAAATCATCATCCCACGATGACCAAGAAAAGCTCAGTGCTTCATCCCACTTCGAATCACCAGAGAATTGAAAGATTTGCAGGTCACCTACCATGGTTTGAAACAGGGGCTACCGGCTGGATTGGAAACCTGAAAATCTTCAGCGGTGTTGGTACATCAACCATTAAATTCTATGAATATCCCATTTTTTATCACCTTTTCTAACCATGGATTTCTAGCCATGAAATCACCATGTTCTTCCCCGAGGATCACTGGCACCTTTGTCGAGACCATGAGCCAGCAGGCGTGAGGGGAAGTCATTGCAGTCAGGCCCACAAACTGAAGCAAAAAGAACATGGGGTTTGTCTTATGGGGGTTAATGATGGGGATATTTTTTTTTTGGATATATATATATATATATGTAAGCTAATATACGTATATATATATATATAATATATGTTTATAATCATTATACATCCGGATGTACATATATGGGATATTTAAACAACCATGTGACAATGATAAGGGTTTTCAGCAGTAATGATGTGATAATCATTGGGGCAATGGGATATATATATATAACTACACATACATATGTATATATACATATATATCTATATATGTGTATATACATATATATATATGTATATACATATATATATACATATATCTGTATATATATATATATATATATCTGTACATATATATATATATGTATACGTATAACACTTGATATGACAGTTGTGCGTGTCTGAAAATGATAAGGTTCGTATAGCTCCATTTCTGGCACCGTGAAAAAACAGAGACTTATGATTGACATCACTACGTTCGCCTGGTTTTATGTAACTGGTATCATGTATTGTTTTCAATGATATCAGATATCAGTGTGACTGAAAATGAGATATACCATGATATACCAATCAAATCCTACTGGTCATAGGGAAAATGATGATCAACCATCAAATTTTCGGGTACCATATAGTGCATTTGTCGCGACCGAACGCATCTGTTTGTCTCGTTCTTTTTTCTAAGGTAACCATACCATTAACTAAGTATCTCATGGTAAGCCAAACTAACCAAACTAAGTTAACTACTCGATTTGTGCTCCCATTAACATTATATCATCATTATAGTCATTATAGTTTGGGACTTCATTTTGTTTACTTAAGAAACTCATCCTTTTTCGTTAACGAATGATCTAACTTGATGATTTTTCTTCATGGTCCCATGAGTTCATGAACGAAAAAAAGTCGTTTGGTCCGTTCAAAAAAAATCAACCATCAACTCGCAAAATTATCCCATTAAAAACCATTAATAAACCATTAATCAACCATCACTTTCCAGTAGTTATCCCACTGATTATTATTTTTTTGTCACATTGTAAAGAAATTGTCCCACCAATCGTCCCATTATATCCCATTAACTAACAATAGCCCCATTAAGTAACCGATCATCATTTTCTTTTTTACGATAGGTACTGAACTAAGATACTTAATGGTAGTCTCCATTTTGTTCAATTGTGTGATCAGCATTTCTTAGTTTGGTTAGTTAGTAAAAAACCCTATGAAGCATCAACCATCCCGTGAGTCAACGATAATGGCTTAGGTTATCCATCATTCGTGATCAACTATACATTATAGATAGTACCATTTAGAATCGTTTTATCTTGCTTTCAACATCCATATCATATCATATCATATCATATCATATCATATCAATCAATGAATCTATCTATCTATCTATCTATCTATCTATCTATCTCCAACCAATCAATCCCATTAACTAATCATTTTATATATTTTAAACATCCACAACACACACATATTACATATATATATATATGTATATCCAATCAATCAATCAATCAAGCAAGCAATCAATCAATCAATGAATCAATGAATCAATCAATCAATCAATCAATCCCATTAAACACGTATAATCCCATTAACTAATATATCTCCATTAATATACCATTATCCCATTAATCTCCAATATTAATTATAATCCAATAAATTAATCATCATGGGATAATAATGGGATAACAATGGCAGTTATGATCTCCATTACCCTCTGGTAAACGTTTACATAACTATGGAACATCACCATTTATAGTTGCTGGTTGGTGGTTTGGAACAGGATTTTTTTTTCCCATTCAGTTGGGAATTTCATCATCCCAACTGACTTTCATATTTTTCAGAGGGGTAGGTCAACCACCAACCAGTTAACTCACTATTACCCCATTAACCCTCTGGTAATTTGTTACATAACTATTGAGCATGATCATTTAGTTCGTTGAAATACCAATTAATAGCATGGTGATTTTCCAGTTCGTTATGTACAAACGTTTACCAGGCCGGGTAATTCCATGAACTAATCCCATGATTTTAAACCATTGTTAACCATAGAAAATCACCATTTTCCTAGTGGTTAAATCACCATTTATGGTGGTTAAATCACCATTTATTGGATCCATGAACGAATCATACTCCAACTGCCATAAACCTGCCATTTCAGGCCAAAGACCTCCACCTGCGCGGCCGCATCATCCAAGCACGGCGCCTCTTTCGCGTTTCTCTGGCAGAAAATGCTGGGAAAATGGGGGGAACATCCATGGGAAATGGGGAAGATTGGACTATAAATGGAGGTTTTTTCATGAGAATGGGAAAAGGATCTGCAAATCGATGAATCCAGAATAAGTTATGTTTGAGGGTAATATTGGAATACTGGTTTAATCATGGTTTATATTGGATCAATGAGTGGATAGCAGTTAATGGGATATTAAATGGTTTACACTCTGGTAAATTAACATATGTATGGAACATATTTGTGGATGATTTACTTTTACCTACTAAAATGGTGATTTTCCAGTTCGCAAACAGAAAAATAACAAGAAGGTAAGCGGTTAAAAAACAACTACACAACTGAGGCTTAAGTAGGGGTTCTGGTGAGAAAACATGGTTACTATTATATAATAGTTTAAAACCCAAAAGCCCAAAGATGAGGTTTTAATGATGATGATAGATACTATATGTCAATATTCTACCTGATAAGGGTGGCTTTTGTACTGAGTGAGAAAGTGTGGTTGCATTTCTCTTAATTTATAGGTATATTACTGGACATTGTATAAATGATATAGATATATAGTAACATAGTACTTAAGTGCCAATAAATATTATTACTGGACATACGTAGTATTACGGTTTGGGAATATCTTACATATGATAGGAACTAAAAATCTAAATCATAGCTTGGGGGTTGAACATGGACGCGTGATCTCCCCATTCCATGGTTGGTTTCTACGGTTTCTACACCACAATCTCCGCATTTATGCTGCTGAAATCCCAGTGAAATCCCATGAATTCATATATTCTTGGTGAAAATCCCATCAAAAATCACCATTGAACTGTTGGTATCGATGAGATTTTCATGGGATTTCATTTCCGTTGCTATCAAATCCCATCAAACATCCCATGAAAAATCCCATGAACATTCATATTAATCCCATCAAAAATCCCATTAAATTCCCATCAAAAATCCAATTTCTTGGTGAAATCCCACAGAAAAATCACCCAGAAATTCGATCTCCGAAATCACAGGAGATCGATACCGACGCCAGCGGCTTTATCAGTCCCGATGAGATCTTGGAACACACCTCCAACCCGGCTGTGTGCCGTGGCAGATCCAGAGAGATCCGTGGGCTGAAGCTAAAAAGATGGATGGAGTTGATGATGCTTATGATAAACATGGAGGTTATCACCAGGTTATGATGATTAGAATGATTTGATAGTCAGTATATTATTTGATGATTAGAATGGGATGGATAGACGTATATCAGTATATGATTTGATGATTAGAATGGGATATGATGATTAGAATGGGATGGATAGACTTGAGATTTATGATGAAATATGATGGTTTGTATACAAGCAAGAATATTGAGGTTATGATAAATCATATGGAGATTCTTGTAGAGAACCCATGCATCTAGCACCTCCCCCCAAAAAATATCGAGAAAACATATCCAACTACTGTAATCAGTGATAAACATTGATAAACTATTTTTCTATCTTTTTTGGGGTTACAATAGTGGGTATATAAGGGGGATAAAAATGCTATGGCTTAAACTCCAATCTGAACTGGCGGGATACTAACATGACGACCCTGCTGGGGGTTCCACTACAAGAAAGCTATATAGTGGTTTTGAGGGATGGATGAGGAAATTGCATGTTCTTTTTGACACACACACACACACACGGAAATTCGTGGCTGGTTTATATCTTTGCCGCATGGCAAGTGGAACAATCCGGGCATTTTTTTGACGTGCAACTCACTGTCGAGACGCCATGAATATGTTTGAAAGGCAAGGCACAGCCATGACTTCAATCGGGTTCATGTGGATTTGTCGAAACACTTGCGCAATACCACAGATTATGGTCATTAAAAATTGGGAAGCTGATGACACACCATGAGATTTCGGTGCCCTATTTTCAGACAAGCTGTGTGAAGCGGATAGTAGTGGGGGCTTCAACAAATCTTGGTTGAGTCCCCGTCTTCCGGTGAATCCATAGTTTGGTCGGTAAATCATGGTAAAATCATAGGTAAATCATAGGTAAATCATGGTTAAATCCACATAGACAGGTTGAACTCTGTTGTCTTGGAGACAGGCAAGAATTCTTCGAGACCATTGACGTTCATCCTTCGGAGGCGTTGAGAAATCATGACCCGAAACGGTCGTCATGGGAAGACTCTTGGGAGAATCCCGGAACTCAACGGAGGTTTACAGCTGGGAACATATTTTCGAACTATATATATATATTATATTATAATATATATATATATAATATATATATATAATATCTATATATTACATTACAAATGGTGGATTTTCCAGCAAACCACGAGTTTAATTAGCGCAGGGTACTTTCAATCATTGGCATAGTTACTGTATATGTTCCAAAAGCATCAAACACGATGACTTAAGCATACAGCAATACATTTTTGAGTCCAAAATTATAACCTAAATATTCATAATATTCATCATATATGATAATCATACTGTATCAAGATTGACTTTCATTATATATATATACTGACGTATCTCTACATACATATATATATACTGATATATATATATATTAAATTATTATACAGTTTTGATGTGATATCAAAAATGGATCTGAAAGTGCATCAAATCATTGGGGGAAATTATTGGGAGAACCAACTGTTACGAACGGGGTGAGATCGAGGAGAACCATCCCACTGACTAACCTTCACCCATAGTTATACGCCATTTATATATATATATATGTATATACTATAATTATCTATAATTACTATGATATATATGTATAATATATCTATACTTATATGTGGGTTTGTCTTAACATATGGTAGCCCCAAATCGTGTGGTTTATCATTATTTTCCCCAGTAGTATACATATATATGCTAGCCCCCCCCCCAAAACCGACGTTTTTCTCTTTCTTGTTTTGAAGACTGAGTAAATAGCGTGCTTTTTAAAATAAGTATACTGGAGTGATTTTCGATTTCTTCTGACAATTACGTTGAGCAACATGAGAATCTAGAGGAATATTGGAAATAAACTCTATTTTTGATATTTTAGATTTCATATCTAATATCAAGTTTAGAACTGGAGTAAAAAGCTTTAAAGCCTCATCTAAGATATTTAATAATCTGTCTTCTGGAAATTCCATTCCACATCCTTCCACCATAGTTATTTCATTTTTTGAGCCACTAATAAATATATCCATATTCTCTGAAGAAGAACTAGAAACAGATGGAAAAAAAACTGGTGATTCAAATTGTGCCAAAATATCTAAAACATGCTATTTTTGTATGGTTTTTTTTTCTACTTGCTTATTGTTTTAATTACATACACACAATTTTTACAATCTACCAAAAAATAAAAATAAATAAAGCTCTTGCTATAAATAGTTGGATTAAAAATGATTGGCAAAACTGCTTTAAACGCTAGCAAGAAAATATATATCTAGATATATATCTTATAAAAATCACTTAATTAAACTCGACAATCTATTACTACAAAACCAATTAAATTTTAATAGTTCTTATTTCTTCAGTTGTTTAAAAGATATGGATAAAAGGATAGTGCAATGTCGCATTTTAATAAAACAAAATCATACTCAAAGCACAAACATGTATCATAACATTATAATAAGCATCAATATAATTAAGGATTAATTTTTGATTATTTATTTTCCAGAAAAGATCTATATACGTCTAAACCCATATAGAATAGAACAAAATTTAGCTCCTATATTAAACCCATCTTTTCAAGAGACAATAAAATTGTACTGACTTAAGAATATGCTATGCAAGGGAACTATTAGTATTTAAAAAATACACTCTTGCCTACAAATTACTTAATCAAGCTAGCAAAAATATAACATATATTGACAATATATAAAAATACATAACTTGGCAGGATTTATAGCACTTGTAAAATTAAAAGTATATAATATTGCACTAAAGCATTTTTCTTATATAGATGCGATTGCTACATCACCAAATCAAATAAGTAGACATTCCTATTTTATGTATATTTGCATGCAACATATGCAACATCTAAAATATCATGCACTGTCAAAAATATTATAAAGGGCTTCAAAATACTGTGCACATTTTTATGGAATGATAGCACATGAATTACTCAAGAATTCACAAATCTCTTTACCAGAAACAATTGATATTAATGATGCAAATATATATATATATATGAATGTCTTAAAACAAACATTACAAGATGAAATTGAGTTTATATCTTACCTAATAAAATATAAAACATATAACCTTGCAGACAGTTTAGTAACTCAACTATTTAACAATATATGTAAAGATATTTTTTATATAACAATATTTTTGATATATGGACAAGAGAATCAACATCTGCAAGTGATTATTTGTCAATGTGCTTTGAGTTGTAATATTGTAATTGCAGATAAACTGTTTCAACAAATGCCATTACCTGATGAAATTCCACTTCAAACTCATTATTTAACTCATGTACAATATATATGTATATATACGTATATATTAATTGTTGTCTTACTGTTGAACCCAGGTACTTAGAGTAATTTTGTCACCAAAAGCGTTTGCAAACGTTTGCAAACGAGTCCAGGGACCCAAGTACTTAGAAAGATTCAAGATTCCCAGAAAGAATTCTTGAATCCAAGGGGATAGGATTCAAGATTCAAGATTCCCAGAAAGAATTCTTGAATCCCAGGATTCAAGATTCAAGATTCCCAGAAAGAATTCTTGAATCCAAGGGGGCAGGATTCAAGATTCAGGATTCCCAGAAAAACTTCTTGAATCCAAGGGGATAGGATTCAAGATTCAAGATTCAAGATTCCCAGAAAGAATTCTTGAATCCCAGGATTCAAGATTCAAGATTCAAGATTCCCAGAAAAACTTCTTGAATCCCAGGATTCAAGATTCAAGACCTATCCCCTTGGATTCAAGAATTCTTTCTGGGAATCTTGAATCTTGAATCCTGGGATTCAAGAAGTTTTTCTGGGAATCTTGAATCTTGAATCCTATCCCCTTGGATTCAAGAAGTTTTTCTGGGAATCTTGAATCTTGAATCCTGATCAGGAACGTTTGCAAGCGTTTGCAAACGTTTGCAAATACTTCTTGTAAAAAATACTCTAAGTACATGGATTTAGTAATAGTAAGATAACAAATAATATACATATGTGTATATATATATATGCATATATATGTATGATACTGCCCCACTGGATCTCAAACTGAACAAGGTAACTATCCCAAAAGCGTTACAATCTTGAAAATGTCGGTTTTTGGGGGGGGGGTACCATATATATATATATATATGTATGGGGTTTACAACATTTTCAGAGAAACCCAAATCTATATTTTTGCATATATGTATAAACATACACATGTATGACTATGGGATAAGCCTAGGGGCCTTATCGACCAGTCAGAACCTCAGTTCTTCTGTTTCGAATAGGCACTGATGACAACATTGCTGGCTATATGGGGGAGACTCTTTGGAGCCAAAGATAGTTAATAGTTAATCAACGATAGTTAACTAGACCAAAGATAGTTATTATATGCCTGACCCAAGGGAACCACTTCCCCTCCGGTAATCAAAGGTGTCATCCTGGATACGAGATGGCTAGGATGACGGTTTTTTTTTGGGGTGCGGTTGACCTCCACTTGCTGTATATATAATATATAAACTACATTATATATATATATACATACACACATATGTGCATATGTACATACATACATACATACATACATACATACATACATACATACATACATACATACATACATACATACATACATACATACATACATACATACATACATACATACATACATACATACATACATACATACAACATACATACATACATACATACATACATACATACATACATACATACATACATACATACATACATACATACATACATACATACATACATACATACATACATACATACATACATACATACATACATACATACATACATACATAATACATACATACATACATACATACATACATACATACATACATACATACATACATACATACATACATACATACATACATACATACATACATACATACATCCATGCATGCATGCATGCATGCATGCATGCATACAGAGCAAAGACTTATATACATAATATGTATACATGTAGATGTTTGATATCTACAAATCTACAGATGATAAACATGATCTCCCCAGGCCAAAAACCTTCTGGAAGTAATCGACCTGGACGGCAATGGCAAGGCGAACTGCCGGGCGTGCAAACTGCTGATGATTGCTATGGGAAATGAGGAGACCATTTTTATTCATCCTTGATCTGTAGGAAACACCCGAAGTAAATGGATATTTATTGAGGTTTTAATTTGAACATTATCGAACTAAATGTGGGATTTTCCAGCAAACTATTGTTTGTTTGATTACTATAGAGTCAACTTGATGACATGGTCCAAACTTCTGTTGGCAAAGGACCATCCCAAACACAAGGAATTAGACGAGCTGATCGCGGGTTAAACGCAGTTGATTTCTGTTAGGGTTTTGGATGTGACGATTACAAGATTGAATTAAACACATATATGGATATATATATATATTTAGATATACACGGCTTCACGCTCGTTTCGTGCGTTCTCAAAAACAGTGTCTTTTTTTTAATACCTGGTGTTTTCACATATATATATACATACCCATATACATGAATCTATAAACCCATATACATGAATCTATATACCCCGTATATCCCACATATATGATATATATATATATCCCACATATATGATATATATATATATTATACATATGATATATATATATATATTATATTTTTGTATGTATGATATATATATATATGATATATATATATGATATGATATATTATGACATGATATGATATATCACTATATATACTCCCATTCTGAAATGAGTTGCATCCGTTGCATCCTCACACTTGCTCATATTTTGCTGGATACCATGTTTCCTGCAGAAACCGCTGCGTAGATGATCAGGGGTCAGCAACATGATGGTCATCGCACCAAAGCTGCCCCAAAAAAGTGTTTTTTTTCTTTTTTTCAATTTTTTCGGACGTGATTGAGTTCAATCATTAAAAAACAGCATCAATAAAAGACACAAGTAAAGTTAGCATGAACCAATCAAGAATTTGTCACACCAAAACCATCAACTCCTCAATGAGTTGAACCCCTGTGTGGTTCCGCGGTTCCTGCCAGATCAACTTTGAAGAATTCTTGGAAGGCTCTCTTCGCCTGAATGGTGCAGCCAAGCGTTTTGACGGCAGATTTGGGAACGAATCCACCATGGGAACTGTGGGTTCTTGGTCATATTTTGCGAACGAATTCTTTGAGAAACCACCAACGAACAAAAAATGGGGGACTTCCAAAATGGTTACATAAGCCGTCATTTTTTAATGGGAAACTCATGGTCTTGGAGTCTCCCATTCATGGGGAAACCTCCATGGCTGTTTCATCAGGTTGTACTGTGCAATCACCACCTAAGTCTTCCCAAAATATGGCAATTTCCAAAACCAACATGTAGATATACTATGTATATATATATATACATAGTAGATATACTATAGATATAGTATATAATATCTATACATATAGTATATGCATATGTAGATAGATATGTTGCCGAAAGCCCGTCCGCCATGGCGTCCGGCCTTCGCCAAAAATAAGGTCCTCCGACTTGGTGTTGCTGGCGCGCGAGGTGGGCATGACTGCGCTTGGGATTTTCTAAGTAAAGGAAGGTGGAAAATGGTGGACACTCATTCGCCAAACGGGAATATGATCATATTAACCAATTGTACAGGATGGGGCAAGAAAAAATAGCTAAGTTGCCTTATAAGTGGCTTAACCATGGTTTATGGTAGATATAACTATAGTTAATGGATGTTAATGGGGTTTATAAGCCAACTTGTAACTGGGGGGGGGCCCATCCTGTAGGGATAATATGGTTCATTATTCTTGTTATCCAATTATCCAAGATGGATACTATTCATATTGAGATGGATGATGTATATAAATAAAGCTGGAGAATCTGATTAATATATTGATATTAACAAGTTGTTACTTATTACACGTTAATATATGGGGACAATTGTCGACTTATGAACTTACTTAGGTTTATTATTATTATCATTGTTGTTATTATTAGTATTATTATTTTTAAGTACCTTATGTACTTTGTACTTTGCAATAATGGCTTTAGTATTTGCACAAATCAGTGGACTTCAATGTTGGAATATATAATATACATGGGATGATGATAGGAATACTAGGGGACTATTTCATGGAATATGGACATGGATGAATAAATGGATATCAGGCAGGGCGTAAGAGCAATAAGGATTTATTGGGTTATAATTGGAATAGACAGATATTTTATGATTTTAATGGAATATGGACGGTAGTGCGTGGTCCAAAGATCATCAATCGATTGATGTGGTAAACCTGCCATAAACCATACCCTCTGGTAAACAAACATAGCTATTGAAAATGGCCATAGAAATAGTGTATTTACTGTATTCACCCATTAAACATGGTGATTATCCAGTTCGTCATGTAAACGTTTACCAGGCCGGGTAACTCAATACTACTAGATGCGAGTTAGATTAAATCTCTGGTAAAGTGTCGCATAACAAACTGGCAAATCACCGCTTAGCGTTTTTAATTAGGGTAAATCAACTATTTCGACTGGGCCATTTTCTATGTCGCAAACTGTTAGTTTACCAGAGGGTAAAGCATCAAAAATTGGAGCCATGAGTATCCGTATTGCCCATTAGTCATGGTAAGCCACTTGGAGCTACGAATAGACCCAACAGCATGAAGTTCGTTTATTTGGGATTGAAAAAGACCCAACTTTTCTTTCTTAAATTCATCATTTTTCATTTTCCTCACCTTTTAAACCATGGCTTTCCCATGGTTTTCCCATGGTTTCTGTGGGTTTTCCCCCGGGTTTCCCATGGGTTTAAAACCCCCACCTCGTTTTAGGTGAAGCGCTTTCACCAGGGTCATGCGAAGGTGGGGTTTTCAGCGGGGCGGCAAGGGGCTTTCAACAGATTTATATATAGTTAATAGTGCTTCTTAATGGTTAATAATAAGTACTACTGATTGGTGGTTTGGATCAAGTATCACTAATATGAGTATATTTATAGTAATATAGTATATAGTAATGTATTTTAAATCAAGTAATATAAGTATAGGGGACAACTATCAACATATTTATAGTTATATTATGTTAATTTAGTAGATTTATTATTAGAAGATTCGAAGATCAAGTAATAGTATACTTATATATGTTTATGATTATATTACTTATATATCATTATGTAATGATTAATATTTGGAGTATAATGTAGATCATTATAAACAGAGGATAATAGTGATTATCTTTATACTATATTTGTTATTTGATATAACTATATAATGTTCATAATATAACCAGAGGATAGTGTATAGAATATATAATATAGCCATAATATATACTAGTGTGTAACTAGCAGATAGAATATTTATAGATGTAACAAAACACATAATATATATATATATATAATTATGTATATATATATATAATACTTATAACCAGAGGATACATAACCAGAGGATGTGATAGTTATCTGATTGTATATATATATATATTAATATCAATACGTCCTCTGGTTATTTTTGGACATGTTTCAGGCATTGATCAATGGAAGATCTCCAGAATCCTAAAATGGAGGTACTGTACCATATAAGGCCATATTTTGTGGTGATATTCCCTTACATAGCCCTGAAATTTAGGCCTTATATATGGTAGGTACCTCCAATTTAGGTTCATGGCCAGTGAATTGATGATCTATGATGATTTACCTATTTGAAATGGTGATTTTTCGCTAGGTCAAATGACCAGAGGGTAAATAAAAAAAGTATATATTTACACAGCGTATTATATATATATATATACATACACATACACATGTGTTAATTAGTATATACAGATTCGACCTTGTGGAAACCCGCAAGAATGTCACGCATTTTTTTGTTTTTTTTTGGTGAAACGTGGCAGTTTTGAGGTTGAATCTCATGCTTGAAACCTATACTTGGCCCGGGATTCAGGAGTGAATCATGTCCAAGATGCCAAGTTCCATATTTCGACCTTGCAACGCATTACCGGTCTTGTTGCTGGCAAACATGCACTGTTTTTTTTAGTGACGTGTCCCAATGTTTTTATTGTTCATATGGGCGGTTGGGTCGATCATATCTCAGCTTAATTGATGATTATTGATTATAAATGATCATTATCATAAATGATCATCATCATAAATGATCATCATCATAAATGATCATCATCATAAATGATCATCATCATAAATGATCATCATCATAAATGGTCATCATCATAAATGATCATCATCATAAATGATCATCATCATACATGATCATCATCATAAATGATCATCATCATAAATGATCATCATCATAAATGACCATCATCATAAATGACCATCATCATAAATGATCATCATCATAAATGATCATCATCATAAATGATCATCATCATAAACGATCATCATCATAAATGATCATTCATTGATCACTACTATCTTCATGTCACAACCGTTTTTGATACTGTAGTCTTCCCATATTTGTTTTTTAGCTTCCATGGGTGATTTATCACTCAGTTGCGACTCATGATCGGTCCGGTCATAGAAAGATGTGGGAAAAGATGTGAGAATCATTCTGAATTGAGGTCTGTATAGCTGAGAAAATCATTGAACCAAATGATACTTAGATCTATCTTGGCAAACCAACGACTACTTCCTACAGATTTCTGGTTTAGTTTCAGGTAGACATTTCACAGTTTGCGAACTGGAGCATCACCATGAAAATCATAGGTAGATAATCAGATAATCTACAAACGGGTTATTTTCTAGAGCTACGTTATCCACATTTTGGTTGGTTAAACCAGATCCCGGTTCCTATCAGTGCAGCGTGACCCAGGTACCCGCACAGTCACCCTTGAGGCTGCTGACTTCAGTAGGTACAGAAGTATGATTATGTTCTTTGCCAAAGGAACATTGCTGGAGAAGTCATCGCGACACAAGTCTTTCTCTCGCCGCAACCTCTTTGCTGGCGGGGCCTGATCGTCCACAGCCTCCTGCGTCAAGGGAACTGCCGTCTCTGGCACCGGACACGCTTGCGTAGGCACGAGAGGATCCACCATGAACACATCTCGACATCCATCTACATTTGCAGCTTCCCCCCGCAGAAGACGGTGGATGCACGATATGGCATCATCACATGCATCCTGGTCCAGCTTCGGCTTCTCTGCTCCACTGGTTGGTACCCAAGACCGGACAGCAGCAAGATCAGCTTCAGCATCCCAACTGGTGAGCCCCGCGCTAGCATGCTATATGGTTGAAGTTCATGCCGCGACTTGTGTTTACATTTAGAGGGCTCCCTCAAGGCTACGTGGACCAACTTATTCTAGATTATCTCTTGCAACTTTGCCAGCTGCCTTGCAGACTCTCTACAACATGACGGCAAAACAGACACGCAAGACATTTTGATTTATCTAAGTGCACTTGCGCTGCTCAGGCCTGTTGCAGCAAATGACAAAATCCTCGTCATCCTCGGCATACCCAACTAGAGCGTAGCCGCCGCAGCCCATGACGACGAAACCCATCATCGCTAAAATCAAAAGGTCTAGAAGTCTGGCCCGCACTTGTGCCGCGGTGTGCTCTGCATTCAAGGCGAAAGCCTTCAAGGTCCATGTCTTCAAAGAAAGACACTCCAATGCAGCTGCAATATTCCTTAGCAAGTTCCAAACCCCGGTCATGACAGCAGCCTATCCCTAATTGCACCCCTCCTTCTTGGGCAGCCCAACCGCGCACCTGCCCAATGCCGACCCTTTGACTCTAACTACCCGCCCTGTGAATACAACGAGGCACACATGCGCACGCGTCTCATGCGAAATGAGGCCGGCAGCTTCTTTCACGCAAGGACGAGGTAAGAGAATCATGTTGCTGCGCTCAGTCTTGAACTCGCTCACCAACGCACGAGCCCCAACAGTGTTCTGGAAACTCGCGTGGAACCACTTGCCAAGCTCCACTGCCGTCTCCACAGCTTCCGTCGTCGCGGAAGGATGGATCTGTGAGGGCTTGAAAACAGTGGCAACTTGCTCTATGTTCACCTTAGTCACACACAGTAGCTTTTCACATGTCCATGACGTGGCCTTCGGCCGCGGCATCTTTTATGGGTGATGTTCACATGTCTATGGGCGCACTGGCGCGGATACCGTTCAGAAAATGCGCAGCTATCAGAAATAGTTTGCAAACAGTCAGGGTGCCCTCACATTCTGAGAACATCCTGCTGTGAACTTTCCAGTCACGTCACATTCAATATGCACTGAGCTTCTCACATGCGCCAGAGACCGGATGATCTCTTCGCCGCTGAGCTCAGTGTCCTGCCCCTCTGTCAGCCTGTGCCCATCCTTCTGCAAAAGCCAAGCGATCACCTTTTCAAAGACATCTAATGGAGCGATGAACTGCAAGGCTCTGGTCTTCTCCTTGTTCAGCCGGCTGCTCTGACCACCCAACACTTTCTGGTCAGCGCGCACCTTGTCAACGTACTTGTTAAAAGTGTTGATGAACTGCTGTTTCACTGACGCAGCGAATGGCATGGTGTGTAAGCCACTCACATGTGAGAAGCAGCGGTGCTCTGCATCATCATCGCGTGCTTCATTGTGCGGGAAGAGCAACTTGCTGATTGTCAGCACGTGTGCCATAGCTGACACCACCTGATCATAGCCCAAAGAATTGAAACACTCATCCAGCTCATTCTGCGCTTGCTCTGCGGACTGCGGGTCGCAGATCTTCAACACACGACACGGGAATTTGGCCAGCAGAAAACGGGACAGGCCAGCCACAGAATCTTCTTGGGAAGCTTGCTGCACTATTTCTTCACAGTGCATCATCACCAATGCAAGGAGATGCGGATTTTTAACCCAGTATCTGCCACTTTGTGAAGAAATGGTATTCTTATAGCAGTCATGATGGCTTAGCTGGTTCAATTCTTCGATGCCGCCACCCACAGATCCTTCGAATGTGTGCTGGAGGAACGTACGTCCTTCGTGCAGAGCTAAGATGGCGCAGCCATCTTGTTGGTGCATGTGTTGGCCCAAACCCACCCAAGTCATGCGATTCACAATGCTATCTTGAGGTGGAGGCTTTGTCGGTTCTTCTACTGGCCCTGAGCCAGAACTCCGCCACACTTCATATTCTGCCTTGTACTTCGCCTGTGCACGCTTGTCTCCTGAGCTGCGGCGACAGAAACAGCCACCAGCATGACATTGAATGTGACCTGCCCTATTACCTTCACTCATGCCCATGCTTTCATGGTTATCTGCCCCATGATTACCAAGACTGTTTCATAAAGGACATGTGTGACGTGACCATGGGTGACTTGACTATCAGGTCCATTTTCCACCCAGAGTCTCAGTTTGTCAAAGTAACTCAGGATGTGAAGATCTAGCCACAGCGCTATGCTCTTGCCGTCCCCCGGCGGACCATGTTGCAAGACCATCAAATTGCAGAATTTTCCCAGCAAGCCAGAGTATTTCACCTGCACCGCATTGAGAGTCAGAGCCACCAAGCACAACATGTGCACAAACATGCACCCAGGATGCAAGGAAGCTGCTTGGGCCAACACGCAGCAAACCTTCCAAGCCAGAGGTTGCCTCGCAGCTACAGAGGCCGAAGGGAATGGATTGGTTGTATCCATGAGTTGGTATGCCAGCAAGAGGTCTGCTTTGCACATTCCAGGATCGCGGTCTTCCGCCGCATCCTTTTTACTACGGCCTTTCCGACCCATGGCTGCGCGTCTGTCAAACCTAGCCGTGCTGACTTATAACTGCTTTTACCTCTTCTAGGATGCTATATGTCTTAGCCTTCCCCCGAGTGGTGAGATGTGCCAAAAAGGTTGGACCCAAACAAGCTGCCTTTATTGCAACTAGCCTTCCGCCGGCTAATGAGCAGGCTTTTCCAAGCCCATGCGGGCAACTGAGCTGCAACGCCAGAAAGTAGAGAGCAAAGACAGTTTGTGAGACGTGTCGGGAGGTTAGAGGTTTGCAAAGGCACTGAGTAACATTTGGATGTGTGCCACTCAGTCCAGAAGCCATAGTCACTAATCTTGGAACTATCTAACAAAATCTCCCAGACGCCCCACATCAAACTTTCAGCCCCGCTACATCAGACGACCACAGCAAGCAGGCGAAATAGAAAGAGAACTTTGTGACAAACCTTCATCTCCTTGCCTCTCTAGATCATGTTGAAATGAAACACTGGGGCGGCTAGCCAGCCCCAAACAGCCGCACCAACATGTCAATGTGAGGGTGGCTAGCCAACCCTGCCTACAGCAACAAGTTGTTCAAGACTGGTTTGGCTGTCAACACTGCAAGCCTAATTTTCTGGAAACCCGGAAAGGTCACACGCAAGAGGCTAGCTATCCCTGTTTCTCCTATCCGACCGATTTGCTTTCGCATTTGTCTGGGTTTCTCTTCAAGAAGCCAGCCTGGAAGCGACGACGACGCGCCGCACTACATTGCTCCAGCCATTCATTGTGCTCAGCAAAAAGAGCATGCCAATAGACACCAAATCTAGCGCCTGTCAAGTTCAAGGCAGCAGCAGTGCGACCAGAGATCCATACGTTCAACTGCTCACAGCTCTCCGAGTTGCGAAACTGCAGCAAAGGAATGTTGTCTGGATGATCTGGATCCACCTGGCAGCATTTGGTTGAGGAGAATGGACGCGGCCAATGCATTGCACATGCTTTCACAATCCTTTTCAAAGACACATGAGCTTGTGACCCAAATCAAGGATGCAAAAGAGACGGTGGTACTGCTACGGGTGTTCACTGTTGAACAAACTACATGGCCTTGCAGGCAAATGCTAAGCGCGAACGCGCAAATTTCCAACCTGCATCGGTATTGAAACACTTTCTCTCTTACATTGCCTTTGTTTGTATTCCTCTTATTTAACTTCCCTGGCGCCTGCGGGCGATGACGAAGACACCAAGAGTGGTTCCCCTTGTGGAACCTATCCAAGACAATTCGACACTCCGTCACTTTGTTGGTCCATGGGCTGCACAAATTCTCACAACGCTCAGCCATTGCAAGGAGCCGACAGGCGTTGTCATACCCTACGCACTTCACCTGCACTTGCCGGGTCGAGAGAGCTTCTTAATCACATCCAGAACAAAGGTGTACACTACATCGAGGGCTTCTCCACGAGGTAATTCTAGCCAATCCACCAGCTGACCACAGGAAAGGGTAGCAGTTAAAATGCCACCTGTGCATCGCCTGCGCTTCAAAGTTTTCTTCTCCTTATCAATACCGCACTCAGCAAGCTCACTGCCATCTGTAGACTTGTCAGTGTCGCGGAGGAATGCGACATACGCCTGCGACAGCCATCCGCCCGGAAGCTTTTTGACCTCCTCCTTCTTGCTGGCTCTTCCACGGCGCGCTGGCTTGCATGGCCCAGCGCGCTTCAAGGCAGCTTGACGAACCATGCGAGCACTCTTCAGCCAGCGAAATTGAGTACGCAGGTTACCATGATCTCGCTTTTTTGGCAAGGCCCCTTTCTCGAACCCTGCCAGTAGATCTGCGCGCACTTCCTTGCGGGGCAAAGGTGCTTCGAAGATGCCATTCTGTGGACTCTTGCAACGGACCAAGTACCAAGTCTCCACTGACAAACCGTCTTCAGATGGACAAGTTTCGACTTGTAGCACTTTTTCTTGTGGAATCAAAGCGCTCTGCAGCAAACGGCTTGGGCGACAACGCTTGCAAAAGACATCGTTGGGCCCCGCGTGATTCATGCATCCAGTGTAAATTGACACCCCTAGATCTGCAAATGTTCGATGACCCTCTAGACCGGCGCAGATGAATCGCCGAGCACCCTGCTTTCCATCCAACAAAATCCACACACATTGCTGACATATGGGGCAGCTGTGGATGTGCTCCGCAACTTTGTTCAGCCTTTGCTTCCGCAAATGAGGTAGAACTTGGGACAAGGAAGCCTCAAAGCCATCTAAGTCCTGCCGCAGTTTCGGAAATATCTTCAGCCCTACTGGCAAAGCTCCGTCAATTTCAGCACAACAGCAAAAACCTGGTTCCACGACCCTACAAAACTGGAAGTGCTCAATGTAACTCATTTGTGTCACACTAGGATTGTCGCGCCGCAGCTACTTGATTATCATCCATTTGCTCGTACCCCAAAACTGTACATTTCCTTCTGACAATGCAATTTGAAAACCAAGCAGCTACACATGTCATGATTCTCCTGTGTCAAGCGCCACTGGATGCCACGCAAAGCTTCGCAGCTAAGTTTGCTGCAGTGATATAAGTACCAGGCCTCTTCTAACCGTTTGCGGCAACGCTCTAGCATGGTCAGGTCCTTTCCTTGCAGCAGTCGAACTTGGCCCTCTTCTGGGTGTTGCTTCACCCATCGCAGCACAGCAGAGGAAAAGGTCGCGCCGCTATGGGAAATTTCATCTGTGATTGAATGCAGCAACCCGATTTCAACGGCGAAGAAGCTTCGATAACGAGGGACGACCTGAGCGTAACAACGCAAGCCTACTGACACTGACTGGGGATGTAAAGCAACTGCGTGTCAGCAAAACTCAAACTTCTGTCCGTTCATGAACATAACCCGCAGAAATTTTCATCAATGAAAGCACAAAACATGCAACCTTAGCGATGCCTAGGCGCAAACACATCCACATCCGCCTGTAACCCGCAGCAGTGCAGCTTGTCCATGTGATGAAAGGCCCCAGCCTTTTTCTCATATTGCCAGCAACCAAGAAAATACAATCGACAAGCAGAGCAAAACCCTTCCTTGAACTCCGCAAAGAGAACACCAGCTGCTTGAGTGAAAATCAGGAAACGATTGTCCATCTCATCACTTCCACGCAAATTGTTCACTAAGCGGGAAGAAGATCTACCTGCCTTGTCCTCTAAGGCACCACCACAGCAAGCGCATGACGTTGCCAGAGACGGCACGCAGACGGTGGGAACATCTGGGACAAGCTCCTGGTACTTCTTTAACTGGAACGGGTTTTGTCACAACGGATGAGACACACTCACCATGCAGGGCAAGAAGGTTTCGATTTTCCACAAAACGTTCTCCACTTGCTTCAGGCTTAGATTCACTTCATGCTTTGTTTCCAGCACTTTCTGCAAAAATGGAGGGCAAAGGTGCGAGGGTATCGAGGAAAGAACTTCTGAAACAGCTGGAAATGCAGACGTCGGCACAGGAGATAACACACGCTCCAATGAGAAATGCGCCATGGCCCTCCACGCCCATGCGGGCAACTGAGCCGCAACGCCAGAGAGCAAAGACAGTATGTGAAACGTGCCGGGAGGTGTTTGCAAAGACATGGGTAACATTTGGATGTGTGCTGCTCAGCACAGAAGCCAGAATCACTAATCTTGGAATCTTGGAACTAACAAAATCTCCCAGATGCCCCACATCAAACTTTCAGACCCGCTACATCAGACGACCACAGCAAGCAGGCGAAATAGAAAGAGAACTTTATGACAAACCTTCATCTCCTTGCCTCTCTAGATCATGTTGAAATGAAACACTGCGGCGGCTAGCCAGCCCCAAACAGCCGCACCAACATGTCAATGTGAGGGTGGCTAGCCAACCCTGCCTACAGCAACAAGTTGTTCAAGACTGGTTTGGCTGTCAACACTGTAAGCCTAATTTTCTGGAAACCCGGAAAGGTCACACGCAAGAGGCTAGCTATCCCTGTTTCTCCTATCCGACCGATTTGCTTTCGCAATTTGTCACGGCTTCTCTTCAAGACAAGGGGTGGGCCCAAATCCCAACAGGTTTGCTGATTTTGAGGGCAGGCACTGTCACGCACGCAAACTCACAAAAGTCAGAGAAGAATGAAATGATGACTGGAAGTGTTGGTAGAGTTTAGTCATGCATCTGAGCGAAACGTATTCTTTGCCTGTCCTGTGATTGGAGAGGAACATGTGACTGGAAGCGATGCGTCGTCCTATGTGCGACTGAAAAGTGCAATATTCCAAGGAATAATATGACCACAACAGAAAATTCACTGCACTTCCACTTCCACCGAGAGATACGAACTGCGTCCAATCGGAATCTTTTGAACATTTTTGAACTGGGTCTTCAACGTGTCAAAGTCTCTTGTTTGCTTCTGGTTTGTTTCTGAGAGCGGCATCATGGGCATCATGGGCATCGGCTGAGGCGATGACCATTGGACAACCCGACAACCCTCCTAATTCTCTGCTTCCCTCACCATTGCAAGTTGGCTTGCCAAGGGTACACTGTTTCATTATTTACATGCCGACATGAATCAATGATGGTACTGAACTATGCCCCGTTCACACACACATGCCTAAACACTACATATGCATATTGTTCCCAAACCTTGACTGCGCACGCCGCTAGTGTTCTTCATCCTCGATCCTCGATCCCCAATCAATCTTGTTTTTCTCCATCCTCGATCCTCGATTCTCGATTCTCGATTCTCGATCCTCGATCCTCGATCCTCGATTCTCGATTCTCGATTCTCGATCCTCGATCCTCGATTCTCGATTCTCGATCCTCGATCCTCGATCCTGGATTCTCGATTCTCGATTCTCGATCCTCGATGGTCGATGGTCGATTCTCGATTCTCGATTCTCGATTCTCGATTCTCGATCCTCGATTCTCGATCCTCGATCTTCGATCCTCGATTCTCGATTCTCGATTCTCGATCCTCGATTCTGCACACTTTAACCGTGCACCTTTGTCAAGCCAACCCTCATATATCTATATATACAATCAGATAACTATCACATCCTCTGGTTATGTATCCTCAGTATGTTTGGCCCGGCTCCTTCAACGTTGAACGGGGCGAGCCCCTGACCGTAGGAGATGTCCGAGCTGCTGCTGAAGGTCCGCCTGGCGCTGGCGGAGCACCGCTCCAAGAGCCAAGACGACGGCCGTTCGGGGAGGGCGAAGGCGGTGACGGAGATGTGTTGAGCTTAGGGATGGAAGGACTACCCTCTGGTAAACTAACATAGCTATTGAAAATGGCCATTTATAGTGGATTTACCAATAAAAAATGGTGATTTTCCATAGCTATGTTAGTTTACCAGAGGGTATCAGATAATGATAGTTGATATATAATGATAGTTGATTATAGGATGACATGGATAATGATAATGATAATGATAATGATAATAACAGTATAGTCATTAATTATCTTATAATGATAATGATAATTATAACGATTATCCTGTAGTTGATATATAATGATCTGACTGGTGCTTTGGAACATGGCTTTTATTTTTTCATCTATTGGGAATTTCATCATCCCAACTGACTTTCATATTTCTCAGAGGGGTAGGTAAAGCACCACCCAGTGATAGTTGATTATAGGATGATATGTAGAATGATCATGACAATTATAGTTAGTTGATTATCAACACACATTATAATTGATGATACTAGTTATTGATTATAATGATAGTTGATTATAGTTGATCATCATGGAAGTACTGTAGGGATAGTTGATGATAGTACTATTGATTATAATGAACGTAATATTGAGACTAGTAGTAGTTGATATGGATAATAATGAGGGTAATAGGATGATAATAGGATACTAGTTGATATGGAGAATACTTTTAATGATAGTTGATTATATCATAAGATATCACTACCCTCTTGGCGCCCCTGACCCCCCCCCCAGGGGGTAAAAAATGTAACATACATTATTACATTTTTATACCCCCTTAGAAATATAGGAGTTTGGGGGGGGAGGTAAAAAATGTAACATGGGCATTGCACGGGGGTACACCTGCTATGTTACATTTTCCAAGCCCCCCCTCATGAACAGCCACGGAAATACTGTTTGGGGGGGACCCTAGGGGGTAGAAATTGTAACATATCTCCGTGGGGTACCCAAAAAATATATGTTACTTTTTTGGGTCCTTCCCCCCACCTCTACATAGCCCTACCATAACCTACATTAACCTACCATATCCTCCCCATTCATCCCCATTCTACATTCTGAATCATTCTGATATATTATACTGATATTGTGTTTGATTCCAATGCCAATGTTTGGACATATTTAGACATATTTGGGAATACATCAAACACCCCAAAAATGTAACATACATTTTTCAGGTTGGGAAGTCGGATCTTGTGATTTTCTATTCAAACCACCCAAAAATGTAACATACATTTTTGAGGTTTATCTTTACACATTTGATTTATAAATTTGTTTACCCAGCCTAAAAATGTAATGTAACATTTTTACGTTTACTTTATGAATTTGGGTAAAACAACCTACATATATGTGGATATATGTGGTATATAGCCAGGGTCTCGAAACCCTGCATAATGGCACTCCAAAAATGTATGTTACATTTTTCACCCCCTGGGGGGTAAGACGGTCGTGATTATAAGATGACATGGATACTGATACTGATGACAATGATAGCTATGAATATGAGTTGTCAATTGGTAGTTGAATATGAATTGATGAATGATGGTAACGACGTATCAACTAGTACTTTACCATCATTATCATACGTATTGACAACCAACAAACTATGATGATAATAGGATAATAATGATAATGATAACGACAATGATTAACCAAAAATCAGTAGTTGATGATAATAGTTGATTAATGATAATCATAATTATGATAAAGATGAGAAACAATATTCACTACTATTTACTGAAAAGTCACTATTCATGAACCAACGGACAGCCAGTTTTTTGAAATTCATCTGATTTTTCTTTACGCGCTAGATTTTATTCCGGGTTGATATTTCCTTAATTTTGGGATTGGGGTGAAATTGGGATGGCTCATTGTGAAACTAGGGGGAAACTGAATCATTCCTTTTTCTCGATAGGTTATTTGATTCAGGGACCGATATTTGCTGAGTTGGGAGAGGTTAAACATGAGTTTTGTGCGTTACATAGATGTTAACTTTGTGGATTCAGGTGATGCTTCAAGAGGAGAATACAGGAAGTATAAGGAACCCAGTGATATCTACCCTGGGGTAAACTAAAATAGATGTGGAAAACCTATGGTTTCCCTAGAAAATGGTCCATAATCATTTATAGGATGATATACCCTCTGGTAAACTAACATAAGTATGGAACATCTCCATTTTAAATAGGGAAATCAACTATAAGATGGCTATTTTCATAGCTACGTTAAATTACCAGAGGGTATTTAAAACCCCTACTTAAACCACTGATGGACTGGACATGACATTCCAAAATTTGGGGATAATTTCACCATGGTTTCTACTTTTGAATACCGTTCGTTATAAATTAAACCAATCCATTGATACATTGGTTTATAGTTTGGTTTAAACTATTTTAAAATTCCATGAAAACTGGTTTGATTCATCCTCCATCAGCCATAGTTCTCTTGGTTACTTTACATAGTATGTTGACATGTTCAGACAGCCTTCGAATTCCTGACACTTTTTCCAACCGGGTCTTCCAAATGCGGACGCGGTGTTCATGCCCAAAACAGAACTTCCAGAAAACACGACATACAGTACCCTCCTGTAACTTAGATGTGGAAAACCCATGGTTTTTCATAGGAGCAGGATCTACAAATAAAGGGTTTTCCACATCTATGTTAGTTTCGAGCAGGGTATGTTTCCTTCATTTCATTGGTTACATGAAACGGTTGTTTTGATGTCTTGCTGATTTATTGTAGTATTGGAATTTTGAAAGATGAGATCGTTCAGTTTCTTCAGAAAGGACAATATCCACCAGACAGGTGCCACGGACCGCTGTTTTTTTATTTGGGAGACCCGGTGGACGCGGAAACGTTGCCGGTGCCTGCTTGGGGTGCCGCGGTTTTGGTGCTGGATGCGGTATCCATGTTGGATTTCGGGCATGTCGAAGCAACTTAAAGACGGGAAAAAGAAACATGAGGTTCACCTTCGGACACGACCATTTTTTTTGGATCCCATGTTGGATTTCGTGGGCAAGCCTTTTGGTGAGTAGATCCAATTTTTCAGCTCCATGTGGTTCCACTTTCGACATCCCCAAACTTCAAAGCCCAGTGTGGCCAATTTTGATAGTGCCCCGTGAAACGGCGCACAGTTCCTGGTTCCATTTTTCAGTTCCATTGGAAATGGGACTGACACAAACCATGCCTGCGTCGATCTTCCTAGATGATTTTCTGTGTGAAAAGATAGTGTCAGAGAACAAACACAGCCTCGAATCCGGGGTTCCTAAAATATTGCTACCCCAAGCAATTCGTTTTCCCAGTTTTCCCATTGGATAACAACCAATTGTCACCTCTTGTCGCAGCTTTGAGCAACGTTGAGTCACCTCCCAGCCAATCATGGCACCATCCCAGCATATTAGTTCGTCTTTGAAAAAGGACTACCAGCGAAAATTTTCGCCTATTTTTTGTCTATTTTTAGTAACCCTTGATTAGACTTGGGGTACCCAAGTTTGACCCAAACCCATCTGATTTTTCGGTGTACCTTATTTGGGCTACCTCACCGGGTATTTGAGGTACCCAGTGTTAAACATGGGGGATGGTGATGGTATATCACAGTATAGATTATATATATAATATTATATGATATGATATCTATATATATAATATCATATAATAACATTTTTATATATATATAATAGTGGCAGGCTAGCACTTAGAATATTTAGGTCTAAATCCTGGAGATCCAGCGGGCTCCGTTCGAGGTCCGGGTGGAAATTTTCACAATATTCTGTCTGCATTGCACTTACACTATTCGATAATGACGATATAAATTAAAACATTACTTCATGAAATGTTTCTAGAAACAATACTTCTTTAAAATAGCTGCTAAATAGCTTCTAAATTTTTACATAGCTGCTGAATAACTGATAAATAGTTTCCAAATAGCTGCTAAATAGCTTCTAAATAGCTGCTAAATAGAAATAGCTCCTAAATAGCTTTTCCGAATATTCTAAGTCGAGCTGTGTATATATTATATCCATTGATTTCTTTGGGTGAATTCAGGAAGTGAGACTGAATTCATGTGCATGACAAATTCGGTTCGTTGCGCTGCACTTTGCACTTCTTTTTTTTTTGCTGCGCGGGCGCGGGCGAAATCACAAAAAGCCAATGAAAAAAATGTGAGACGGACGATTGAGGTTCTTTCTGGGCGATCGGAGGATCGAGCTGTTCATCCTGGCGGTTTTGAGGTACCGTAGATGATTCGAGCCATCCCGTGGGTGTGAGTGTACCATGCCTGCAGCCGTTTCATTTGCTTTCAGACACCAAGTGTGGCGAAAGTGTTCTGTGGTCATCCCCAAATGATGGATCCAGTGTATTTCATTGTATTTCTACGGCGCTTTTTATGTCTTCGAAGTAGGCCCACAACAATGATCACCGGCATCAGCATGACGCCTGGGGACATCTCCATTTGAGCAGAGGTCAACATCAAAACGCTTTGTTGTTAAAAGAATTTGGGATGATGATCCGAACTGATTCAGATGGGTGGCTGAAGCATGACAGGTGCAACCATGGAGTTCTCTAAAACTGGTCCCATCAACAGGCCAGGCAGGCACTGCCCCTGGGCGATATGAGTTGCCATGTGTCCTTAACGATCCCTGCACGAGCCAGCAGGGCTGCGAAGGTGCGAGAGATAGGGCCGAGTGGTGTTTCTTTGGGAAAAATCAAATCGAGAAAAAACACGCTGCGAGAAATAGGGAGATCAATCATAAAGATCAATCATCAAGATCTATCATGAAAATATATCTACTAAGGTAACTTGTGTTTTCCATTTTGGGGATCAATTTCTTAGGGAAACTTCAACCCCTGTGAGCGCCAGGCCAGCCAGTCACAAGACGCCTGCCTCTGTTTCTTGGTAATGGATGATCATCTGTAGAACATCAGACAACATCACTGGATTTTCACATATTTTAACATATTTTAACCATCTATAGAATCTATAGTTAAAAGCAAATCATATAGTTCTACAACTATCATCAATTATCATCAATTATCATCAATTATCATCCATAATTATCATAATTATGGTCCATTATGGTATCATTATACTATACCATGGTATATAACCATGGTAAACCATGGCATATTATAACCATTTTTTAGTTATACCATAGTTATACCATGGATTTAGCTCGTTGAAGCATCTCAGGCCTGGTGGGCGGAGCTCCACAGCTGGGAGGCTGGGATCCAAAGAGATCCCCCCAACTGACGCAAAAACCTGGGATGCTTGGCAGAAAAGGGAGAAAAACGAGAAATGATATGAGAAATCTATAGAAATCTAAGGGTATCCCAGAATTATGTAAAATGGCCGAACTTTTCTGATCCCAAAATGTTCAAACTTTTCTTGGTGAACAAAACATGTGAAAAATAAGTAGAATGAAACCAGATGGGTGATGACAAACACTGGGAACCATGAAACATGAGGGATTTAGCACTGATCTGTGGCTGATCAAGAGATTTTTTTGGCTAAACTTTCACATCCCAAACACTTTTTTTTGCCAATGTTAAGGACCTAAACCATGCGTTTTTATTGGTGGTGATTTGGAGCATATACTCTGTGGCTGGCGCCACGACTCCTAACCTGTGGGATGCACCCGAACTCATGCGGTGCGGGGACAATGATTTAGATATGAATCCGGTTTCATCATGGCTTGCCGTAGCGTCATTTATAGATGTTTTCCGAGGGAAAAAACCTCCATTGTTATCCGGGATTTCCCATGTTTTCCCATATTTCTGCATGTTTTTTTCGATTTTTTACACCTGATTTCCCAGCCTACCATGTTACCCCAGGAGAGTAGGCGCTCAAGTTGTCGGACATGTTTGATGACAGCGGAGGGTATGTTCTTTTGAGTCTTCTGGTTCTCCATTGGGAACCCGTGTTCTTCAACGGTTTTCTCCCAGGAGTGGCTGCTGGGAAGGGACTGTGGATGTCGTCAATGAAGAGTTCAAGTTCTGTGTCTCGGTCGGGACAGTTTTTGATGGAGATGAAGGAGGAAAAGGCGTCCCCATTCTCATTACCATGTTTGATTGCCGCAAGGTACCTATAGATTAAATCGTTGAGGTCAATGTTTACGAAGAAGGGACTGCTGGGAATTAGAACGATACTAAGCCACGAGTACTTGTCATGAAGCTTTGGACCCACCACAGGCTTCGCAAATGTCATGTCTCAACTACCTACCCTCTGGTAATTTGTTACAGTTTGCGAACTTGAAAATTGCCATAGAAATACTTGATGTAACTATTAAAAATGCCAGGTTTTCCATAGCTTTTTTTGTAAGTTTACCAGAGGGTATCCCATTTGACCGATCCCTCGGATGACCAGCTGGGGTAGGGGTCAGTCTGTTCGAGGATAGCTATAGTTAAACCACCATTTTTCTATGGGTAAATCATGGGTAAACGTCTACTGTTTAAATGGGCCATTTTCAGTGGTGATGGATCCTAGAAACATGAAGACAGCAGCAGAAATAGGGACTGCCCTATGCCTGTTCCTGCGGATGCTGGGGTATAGGAACCTAGCAAAATCGGAAGTGATGCTGGCAAAATCGGAAGTGGTGCTGGCATCACTTACTCTCTGGCATTACCCACTGTAGCCGTTTGCCAGTTTTCTAGAGTTGTTTTTTGTATTCAAACTATGGGAGTATCATGGTTGACAATGATATACCATGATATACTTAGGATATCTTAGAGTCTTAGAACATGTCATGCTACCTACTTATTGCAGCATACCATACCTCAGGGATACCCGGTGAAGCCCGAAGGTGTCTACAACCCCACGAGCCATGACTACGTCTGGGAAGAGCAGGGTCCTCTGCACCGATTGCCGGCTGCAGGGCAGCGCAGCTTGGCGCTGATGGAATAGACGTGATATGGGATATAGAATATGATATCTAAAAATATGATATCTAAAAAATGCATCTAAAAAAATGCATATTTACATATATATATATACACATACTATCGATCTACCTATCTATCTATCTCTATAGAGATCTCTATCTCTATCTCTATCTCTATCTCTATCTCTATCTCTATCTCTATCTATCTATCTATCTATCTATCTATCTCTATCTCTATCTCTATCTATCTCTATCTATCTCTATCTCTATCTATCTCTATCTATCTCTATCTATCTCTATCTATCTCTATCTATCTCTATATATATATATATATATATCTCTCTCTCTCTCTATCTCTATCTATCTATCTATCTCTATCTCTCTCTATCTCTCTCTCTATCTATCTATCTCTATTTATTTCTATCTATCTCTATTTATCTCTATCTATCTCTATCTATCTCTATCTATCTCTATCTATCTCTATCTATCTCTATCTATCTCTATCTATCCATCTATCTATGAGGATTTTCTGATCTTCCCAGGCCTGGAAGCCTTCTTTGAGGACGGTGGAAAAGACGTCAAGGGCGCGGCAGCAGCGGCAGCGGGTGCCTATGGCGCGGCGAAGGTGCAGAATCTCCATTATTGAGGATGATATGTGATATAATATATATATATATACACACACATATTCTGGGCAATTATCCGAGGAATATCGGATTTGTTTGATTTATTCGAAACTTGTTTGAACATGTGTGCTATTTCTGGGATGTTTCTCCACAAGAAGAAACCAACATATCCACAATATATATATATATATATATTTAACCCATTGTATCACCATTGTTATCCCACTATATACCATTCATATATAACCCAATATATTATTATCCCATATATATATATATACTTATCCCATTATATAACCCAGGATTAGTTGTGAAATGCCCCCGACTGACTGTCGGGTAGATCCCGACAAAAATATTCCCCATGAAAAATCGCAAGGACATTGGGATTCGCCCAATAATTCATGGGGCTTTCGTCCCTTCATGAATGATTTCTACGATTTCTAGAGAAATAATATGAAATACTGTAGTACAAGTCATGGAAGTAAATCATCACTGAAATATACTTATTTCTAAAGAAAGAATACACATCATAGAAGTAAAACGAAGATGTAAACCGAAGTAATTCAAAACTGAAATCATAGCTTCCCCAGGTGCAACCAAAAGCTGCGCCGAAAGCCGTGCCCGAGGATGGGCATGACTTGAAGGATCTGACTTGATGAATTGGTGGTTTCTTTAGATAAAGGGGGGGGAATCCCAAGTCAGAAACCACTTCATGATTGCATGTCTATATTTGAGGTTTTCTTGAGTCATAGGGGATCCCTAAAACCAATTAAAACCATATGTTTCAATACTCAGTCATGGTCATGACTTGGATGATTTTGGGGTACCCCCATGACGAAACGGAAACCTCCAAGTCATGGAGAAAGCCCTCCGGTCATCAGGGGATGTTTGAAAGCTATGGCCATGGAAATAATAGGTGAGTCATCTATTTTCCCCTAAACCAACAAAATGTAGGGTGTTCCAGCCAAGAAAAAAGACATCCACAGAAGCACCGAACTCAAATACAACAATCAGTTGATAGCATAGACCATGAAGTGGATATATTGACATGTGGATGGGTAAAACAATCGATTTCCATATTTGGAGAAACCGCGGTACTGATTGGTGAGGCTCCACATCAGCAACTGACTGAACCCAAAAAACTCGGAATGGTGATTATTTGGGGGGATGGTCGAAAAAAACATCATGGCATGATCTGGCCATCTATTGGAATTTAATGGGACTTATTGGGATTTATTGGGATTTATTGGTTTCACACTTTTTGGCAACTCTTTTTTGGGGGTTGCTAGATATTCAGGTCATTTCATGTCCATCTCGATGTGGGATGCTGATCCCGACAGACCCATTCTTCAGCTGTAACGGGGAGTTGCTCCTAATGTTTGCCCTGATGGTTTCCTTTTTTGGGCTGATGTGGGTAAATATTCTAGGTCCATAGAAGATTGGGGTTTTCTTATGTTTTCTTAAGAGTAGTCGGAATATGAGATGGTTTAAGCAGCAGAATTTGGGATAAGACCACCAAAATGAAATGATCTATGATCCTCAAACCAGCCAGTCTGTTCCTTTGAGGGCGCTTAATTTTGACAATTGGTTGAATACCTATCCTGGTTGGTGGTTTGGAACATGAATTTTATTTTTCCATTCATTTGGGAACAATCATCCTAACTGACTAATTAATATTTTTCAGAGGGGTAGGTCAACCACCAACCAGCATCCCAAGAACATGTTTGATTCAGGAGCCAACTACGGGAGGCTCAGGACGGCACCTGTCCGTAGGGAGTAGTACGTTTCGCACGTCTCGGGTCCCAAAGGTGACGCCAGGATGTGGGTTGGGAAAGCACAATATACCCTCTGGTAATTTAACAAAAAACTATTGAAAATGGTGGTTGATAGTGGATTTACCCATTAAAAATTGTGATTTCCCATGGTTATGTTAGTTTACCAGAGGGTACATTCATGATATTTCATGATATTTTATCATTTTCGGTGTTTGTAATCTCTTCGCTGTTGAATGTCCGTTTCTTGATTCTTCATCCCAATTTTGATGCTTAAATTCATATATTTTACGGCCTAAATAACCAACATATCAACTTTTCGATGGTTTTTGATTGTTTCATTTTGTTAATGAGACTTCCAAACTTTCGATGGTTGAATCCATAGTTTCAAATTTCAAGCTTAAAACCACGTTTTTGAGGCTTACTGTAAATATCACATATGAGTTACAAAGAGCACAGTCAAATTTCACAGTCAATTTGATCTGATTAAACCATATTAAATCCACACTTTGAAGGCTAAAATGTCAAATTTTCACGGGTCAATCCCAACTATACCATTCTTCGAACGTCAATTTTACATGATTTTCCATTTTTGCACCCATTTTTTGGGCTTCAGAATGGTTCAAACCCAAACTTTTCATGGAAAAATCTCACCTTTTGGCCGCAGAAACGGGTGGCGGCTGCCGCGTGGATGCGACGCGCTCGCCGCGCGCCGCAGAGGCGGCGCGGCAGCCGGGCGCCGTGTGCGCGTTGGTGGGCGAAGTGCCGCAGCTGGGTGGATGGGATCCGAAAAAAGCCCCGTGGCATCCCGTGGCGATGAAAGTTGGGTGATTTAACCCTCTGGTGGTAATTTAACCACTAGGAAAATGGTGATTTTCTATGGTTAATAATGGTGAATAATGGGATGACAATGGGATTTACCCTCTGGTTATGTCAAAATAGCTATTGAAAATTGCCATTTATAGTGGATTTTCCCATTGAAAATGGTGATTTTCCATAGTTATGTTAGTTTACCAGAGGGTACCAAGAATTTTGGTGGACACCAGCAACTTGATGATTTACAGGGATGTTGGGTAGGGTTTACCCTCTGGTAAACTAACAGTTTGCGAACTGGGAAATCACCATTTGAATAGGGAAATCAACTATAAATGGGCCATTTTCCATAGCCATGTTAGTTTACCAGATGGTAAGCAAGAAATTTTTGTGGACACCAGCAACTTGATGATTTACAAGAATGTTGGGATAGAATTGGGATATACTGGACGTAAGTTGGGCGATGTTGCGTCAATTTATGGGTCAGAATACGGGTATCATATTGGTTTAGTATGGCCTAATCAGCAATTAAGCATGATGGGGGTATTACAAATCAACAATCAGACAAATAGGGGGATGTAATTAATTATAGTAGAGGAGGTGTTATAATATCCCCCATTTGATATCCCCAAATGGGGGTTATGATTGATCCCAATTTTTGGATGTTATTATGAATCACAAGTATTTGGGATTATGAGACTATACTTAATTAGCCTTCATTGTAATGAGGATGATAAAACTGTTATCATTAGGACTCCTTTATAACTCATAAAAACTAGGGCTTTCCAAGAACGGTGCGATTTTGTTGAATCAAGAATAATAGGGGAGAACAGTGATATGAAGCAACGTTCTCAATGGGAATTCTTGGGGGATTTCAACCATGATGGGGATGTAACATGCATTCAGCCAACCACAAATTTATCAGACAAGTGGCATAAATTTAACAGGGATGTAGGTCGATTTCTAGGAGTACAGTATAGTGTATAGTCACTATAGTCTGTATAGTATCAATATTTAGGAATCAAGTAAAAAACTTACCTAACATCAATGGGGATACATCAGAATAGACTAGGAGAATCCACCATAATCCGATTTCATATGGATATAATTTTCATGAGATCTTTCCTAATGTGGCTGGTTGGTGGTGACTGGTTTCCATGGCTGCTATGTGACTTTCCAGAAACACTTGGGAATGTCATCATGGTGAATCATCAAGGATAAATCCCATTTTAGTCAACGACTTGCTGGGGATACCCGGCCTGGGAAAATGTTGTTACATAGCGAACTGGATTAAATGGCCCAGAAAGAAAGTTCGTTGATTTACCGAATGTAAAAATTTGGTGGATCTTCCCATACTTAACCACTGATTTTCCATTAAAAATGGTGCTTTTCCCATTAAAAATGGTGGATCTTCCCTGTAGTTCGTTTTTTGGGACAAGGTTTACCGGAGGGTAACTGAGCTATAGAAAGAGTTCTTGGCCAGGACTTGACCGTCAGTTTATGTTTTGAGGATCGGATGGCCATCCGGAAAAAATTGGGGGTACCAATTCGTAGCTATAGAAAATCTCCATTTTTAATAGGTAAACCATCTATTTCATTCTATTTCTATGGGCCATCTATACGATAGCAAACTGTTAGTTTACCAGAGGGTAACAGTTCGATGTGGAAAGCCATGGGTTTTCAATTCGGAAAATGATCTACATATGGTGTGGGTTTTCCACATAACGCTGATGGGTGGGATGTAAACCATGAGAAAATCGACCGAGAAACTTCAACCTTGAGCTCGTGCGCAGGATCGCGCCACAGTTTCTGCCACACGGAATTGGAATGTGGATTTAAGATGGAAGATGGATCTCTATCATGGGTGTTTAACCACACCAGCCAGATGGGAACTGGACGGTTTTTTTAATGGAGCCCCTTATCTATGTATTTGTAATTTGTAGATAAATGGTCGGGTAAATCTGCATAGACCTTGGTTGGCCAGGTGAACGGGCTGTTTTCCGGGCATAAATTGAGATATTTCACCATCAGTCACTGCACATCAGGTTTGTGGAACCCGCCCAACGGATTTGGGTCAAGTTCTTTCGGGCCCAGATGATGCATATCTGTGGTCCCCTCATATTTTGCTGACTGTCCCAATCAAATGAATCCACGCTGCAGTTGTGAGGCACTGCACCCCTTTTCTTGAGCCATACAGCACCAGATTGGTGCAATTTGTTTGGATCTTTGCGCAGGGGCCATGCTAATCTGCAACCCCTTCAAGACTTGATTGCTCCCTTCAGCAATCCGGAGATTTTTCAAAAGTGGTGGAGCTATCGCACTCCCCCTTTGGCTTTCAGCCAAACAAAAGCATGCCGGGGGCACAGCTATCAAAGTTCAAAAGAAACCCCAGCCTCACACTTCTTCCACAGGTCCATCATAGATATGTTCCCAGCAGTCCTCCCTGGTAAGTGGTCTCGATGCCCTGGATCCTCCGGCAGGCATTGGTGGCTCAATCACCGGACCGGCTCGCGGACCTCGAGCCCCATCTCCGCCGGTGTAGGTCACACCATCACCGGCCGCGACGTAGGTGGAGCTTGGGAACTCCGGTGGCAAATCACTGGGCAAGGTGCGCTCTTCATTTTTCAATTTGAAAAATGTATAGCCTCTCCACTGGTATTCTCTTTCGCGAGTCGGTGCATCTCGCCAGTCGTTGACGATGACGATTGGCTCACTCCTTTCTTCTTGGTGAACAGGAAAACGGATTTGCACCCGGGCTGGCTCCAATTTGTTCCCACCAGAGGGACAACCCTTGTGCAATGGGTGAAACCCCTGGTATCGGGCTGCACCGTGCGTCCGCACCAAGAATTTCCCACCATTCAAGCCCTCCATGGACACCTCCGACCATTTGTCTTTCGTGACCGTCGGAGGCTGGCTAAAGGCAGCCATGTGCCAAGGCCCCGGTCCAATCACACCGCTCGCAGTTGGAAGATTGATGCCATCTGATGGGTCTGTCCCAGCACCAACGCTTGGCTTTCCCACAGCACCAACGCTTGGCTTTCTCACAGCACCAACGGTCCCCATAGACCCCGCAGCGTCCTCGGTCGTGGTGTGCACATTCACATTGATGTTGACCCCACCAAAACCACCAACACCATAGCCACTACCAGCACTGCCAGTGCCGGCCGCACTGCTTGCAGCCGCTTTCGCCTTTGACATCGCCATGGCTTTCACGCGAGGGTAATACTGTGAACCCTGGGAGCCCGTGGGGCTAAGGTCACGGGAAATTTCAATTTCCCACCAGGGGGTTGCCCCTTCCCCTTTTTTTTGTTCTTGACTACTTTTCGCCTGGCCGTGCCACGCGTTTTCAAGTACAAGGTCAGCAGGAATCAGCCCAGCAGAGCCACAGCAAGCCAAGCCACAACCAGCCGAGCCACAACCAACCCTATTGGAACCTGAACCCTCTCGGAACCGACCTTCTGCCTTCGGACCTAGGTTGGAGCTTGTCATTTTTTCTTCCAACCTTTTGATTTTGTGGGCCGGTTCATTTCCCCTGGCCTCCTGTCTTTCTTGTTTGTTTCTTGACTGTTCTTCCCCAAGCCCTCCACTATTCTCAGGCAAGTCCAACGTTGTAACTTGGTGAACCGTCGAACTTTCATTCGTCGCAGCCCTTCGGGCCGCCCTGGCATCTTTCCACTGTACATAGTCTTTCAACCACTGTACAGATTCTGCAAAACTGCTAACTGGGCTTCTCACCTGGGGAATAAAAACGTCCCGTAGACCCCTACCTTCTTCGGATCCAAGTGAGCCACAACCTATACATGGATCGGCAATGACCAACTCAAAACATCGGATAAGCTCCCTCAGCCAGTAGAAGAATGCCATCACGGCAGCAGCGAGCACGGCAGTTGTGGTGGGAGCCCACGCATCGTCATCCGCATGCGTTAGCTTCATTTCCACCGCCAATGCCAACAGAGCGCAAGCTGCAGTGGTCTTTTCCATCGCTGTCACCTTAGCAAGGGCGAGAGATCGTACCTCAGTCGACGGATCCTCAGTCGGCGGACATGGACCGTTCATGCCCAAAAAATCCCAAAACTTTCTCCAGGTGCTGACCTGGGTGATTGGTTTTGTGAGAAGGTCAGCAACCAGTTCGGTTCCCTTTACATACCTAAGTTTCCAACTCCCCTCAACACTTGACAGCTTGTGTTTCAAGCACGTCGCCCGGAGGCGAAGGTGTCTTGTACGCCATGGTCCGTCCGGCTTCTGGACAATTTGAATGGCGCTTTGATTATCCCCCAGTATCACCTTCTCAAACCCTGAACCATCATCAACCCCCACAATAGCTACCATCAAAGCCTCAATTGACTGGAGCATAGTCATTGCTTCACAGTACCCCATCAACTCACTTTCAGCCGTGGAGAGTGTTGGGAACGGTTGCCTATTTGATTCCCACTGTACAGGTGCACCAGCCACACATGCTAATACGCCTTGGAGGGACCTCCCACCTTGGGGAGCAAAACTGACATCTGAAAAAGCTTCAATCAAGGTTTCATGCCGGGGAATACCTAGCTGTTCTTCAGTGCCGTGATCACCGAGGCACGAACCATACACTAATCCTACATTTGGTGACCCAGCCAAAAACTCCAGGACATGATAGCCAAGTTCACAGGCCCAAGTCGGATTGCGAGTTGCTTGGCGACCCATCTGGCCTACACTGAAGGCAATGTCTGGTCGGGTTCTGATCGAGAGCCAAAGGAGTTCACCAGTCAACGCCTGAGCTCGACGGATCGACTCCTTGGACAAATCCTCAGTGGTATCAGGAGGTTCGATTTTCGGCATTGGGGACGAACGTGTTTTAGTCACCTGATGCCTTTCAAGGAGTTCCTTAGTGTAGGAAGGTTGTGCAATGGCCAGCCTACCATCCGCCTGCCATTTCAGTTCAAATCCACAAAACCTGACCCAGGATTCAGCATTGACATGTTCAGGCATGGATATCTTCCATT